GACGAGCAAGCGTAAACAAGGCTGTCATGAAGCAGATACTGCCAACAGGCATCTGCCCTCTGATATCCCTTCCAAGTGGCAAGTCATGGCAAGTCCAAGTCTAAGTTCAACACTCCGGACGGAATGCCAATGAACAAAACCTCCGCAAGTTAACAGAAACGGCATACAACCAATGTCAAACAGCGACCCTTTACAGCATCTCCAGAATGATCCCACATAGACTATGCAAACCAGTATATATATATACTACATATGTGACGTGTTTAATTTACGGTATGTGTTATATAATAATGCAGCTGATTTGTGTTTGTAACACATCCTGCATGTGTTCATGTCTGGAGTCATGACGAGAACAATTGAAGAAACACTGCACTTGACTGCAGCATGCTTACAACATCTTACCACACTGGACCGGTCAGGCCACACCTGTCAGGTACCCTGTCAGACCTCTCATAACTCCCGAAAGCGACTGGTCAAGGGCTCCGGCACGGCACGACGCCAGGGCAGACGAGAAGCTGCTCGATTGGAGGTCGTTGACGGCGCCTTGGGCGAGACCGGTTCCGCTCCGGGACCGGGACCGTGTTGGTTTTGAGGTTCTCCTCCTTCCAGGTTCGCCCTTTCCTTTATTTTATTTTGGTAGCCATGTATGCTGTATACAGTACTATAGCATACTATAGCCTGTAGCTACCAAAATTGGTAGCTGTATACCGCAGTAACACTTACAGTACCTTTTTTTAGTACTGTAAGTGTTTGTCTTGGTTTTTGTCTTGCATGGTTTTATAGATTGTATGGCTCCAGCACTGCTCCAGAATCCTGGACGTGTAGGGTGTCCACGTGTCCACTTCAGGCGAACCATATGACACTTTTTCACCACATGACGTTTTCACCACATGACAGTAGAACCACATGACGCTTTGGTCATGGTTCAGGACATCTTAGGGCTCTCCATGAAGGTGGATCTTGGGTGTGGCACCAAGGCATGTGGGGGTAGCAGGAAGCCAACCTTCGGATCTAAACATGTCATCGAACGTAAACTCTTGATTGGTAAACCCAAACCTCTTGATGTGGATGGTCAAGACTCCTGATGCAGGGCTTTTCTTGATGAATCCAAGAGTCCGGATTGGGTGGATGAATTCAGGAAAACGATGCACTCAAAGGATCCCACAGGGATGCCACAGAACACCACTTTCACGCCATACATCCTGTGGCGAGCTGAAGAAACCTGGAAACATGGCAAGCACGGCAACACACAGGTCGCTTGGTCTATATTGTTAGGACACCGAGGACACCAGGGCTGCACTCCACGTGTTGACGATCGAGGTCAGCAAGCCACAGTTGCACTTGCAGACTGACCTGGATCGGATGAATGTGAAGTGCCTCGCTGGGGATTTCCGTCGTCAACGGTTGACCGAACTGAGTGCTTCGTGCCGAGAAGAAGCACTCAGATGGGGGAGGTCCCAATGATGAGCTCCACTGTTAGCATAGTTTTCCCTAGGGATCCACACACACACACATATATATATATATATCCACACACCTTTTCAGAAGGTACTTGGGCCCTCCAAGCCTGCATAAATTGGTCTCCAACCTTCTCCGAAGGTATGTGGATCCTGCGACACTTGGCACGGCCGTGGAAACTGTGGAAACCTCCAGGTACACTGAGATCTCCTGGAGCAAGCACAAAATCCTCAGACGCTTGCAGTCACAGAGCTATTTGTCGGGGCCCCAGGGTTGGAGCTTCTGGAAGTCTTCTGAAAAGAAGCCCGATTTCATCCCCAAAGTTGGAGCCCTTGCAAGAAGCCCCCCGATCCTCGCACAAACCATTCAATGGGTGTCCCCCAGTTCACCCCCCTCCCACCACCCGGTGACCCTGTACCATTCCTGTTGGCCGAGCCGCTGTGGCACTGTGGCCCATGCGCTTGGAACGCCCATCATCCGTGCTGGCTGGCTGTACCGAGGCCTCGGTGCCTCATCATCCCTGGGTTGACACATCGACTTCGGCTCATGCCGGAACTCCCTCAGGCGCGCGGATTCGAGCACGATTAGAGTCGAGCATTTCCGGAGGGGTGCTCTGATGAAAGATCTTGCTTCGGTCAGAAGTCGGAAGTGTTTTTGGATTGGATCGATGATATCTCCAGCCATCCTGTGGAATCCTATGTGATTCTGGGAGCCTTGAAGTGTAGAACTGGTCATGAACGGGTCATGCTCGGCTCCGCCGCGTTGTATGTGGATCTTGTATAGCTTTGAATCTTCAACTGGCTCGTCCTGCGCGATTGGTCATGGTGGCTGTAGGATTTCCCAGCGTCACACGGGGTTTGCCCACCAGACCCAGTTCAGGTATGCCTGGTGAGAATGCCCCCTCATCAACAACAACAGTCTTCCCGGAAAATAGCAATCTCAAAGGATTTGTGAGGAGTCGCATGGACCATGGAGCAGAGTCTTCATCAGACTCGATTCCTGAAACACTCATGCAAGTGGAATACAGCCTGTTCGTTAGAGGAAACCGGTCTTCGCTTGGCCATGGGCCATGTTTATCATGTTTGGATGATGTTGGAGGGTCGGTTCCACAGTTTTACCACCTGGCTGGCTTTGTTCCATCCATGCAGAGGGTGGACCATGGTGGAACCTGGACCGGACCATCGGAACCTGCGGTCGACCATCGCGGTGCTCCGTCCAATCGAGGCGCTCTTTGACTATGTGCACTTGGGAGGTGGCGCCGGTTTCGGCGAACCGTCGGCGGTTTCGGTGCCGATCGACAGGGAGCCCCATGAGTTCGAGTTGACATGCCAAAATACATTTGTCATGATTCTTTCCCAATATGGGACGGACAAGTGGATAACCTGAGGTTTTCCCACATGGTGTCACGGTGCTTCAACGGTTTTTCCTCATTTTTGTAAACAGGAAGTGGGAGCAGGTCTGAGCTGTTGGTGACGGCTCCCATCTCCCAGGTGTTGGATGGTTTTTGGTCACCGTAACGATTGGACTGCGACCTCCAGTTGCCTAGGAAGTCAAACTTACTTTTATACATGCCTGTGCATACATACCAGGACACATATGGGTGTCTCTAAATATAATTAGCCACTTAGATGACTTAGAGGTGTCCATTAATCACACCTCCAAAAGGCCCTGGTACATGGCTTACTGTACACCACCTGCAATCTGCAAACCAGGAGGAAGCCCCCATTCGAGAAATTCAGATCGATCCCATGCTTTTTTACTACATTTGCCCGGTGTTCCACGAGGTTCCACACATGTGTGTGACAAAGGGCATGACTGGCTCGTGGTATTCAACCAGGACAGCTGCCTTTGACATGGTATGATTCCTACCTCTTTGGAAGGCTGGATGAGTTTGATGAGCAACCCTTGGGCCCTGCTTGATGAACAACATCCTGGTTTTTGGGCGTCGAACATAGGAAACCATAGGAAACCTATGGAAACCTTCAAAGCGTTGCCTAGGAGCTGCATGGGGAAAAAATAAAGGTTACATGAACTGCCACAGAACCATGCCAGTTGGTGACGCATGTGCCATGTATCAAGTAGTGCAAGTTATATTTCTAGCTAGCTCCGAGGAGCAAGCGACTGAGCCGGGGTATCCATGTTCCCTATTAGCAGAGTTCCCCAACCCCTTGCTAGATGTTGAATGTATTTGAATATTTCCAACTAGCTAATTAGTTACTTCACCACACCCTGTCGTCGCGGATGTCGCGACCTCCGCTGGCCAGGTCAACTCTACATGCTGGGCAGCCCGGTGAACATCCAACTCATCGAAAAGGCCAATGGCTCGGCTCAAGCGGCGCAACGGCTGCGCGCGGGTGTTTTATTTTTTTTCCGTGGGAATTTCTGTGCTGTTCCTCCATAATAAGGTTCTAGGAGCGTGCCCCAAACCAAGGTTTGGGCCAAACCTTGAGAACTGAGGCACAATTGGATGTGGGCTTAGTGTTAAGGTTCTTTTTAGCCCTTAGAATTGATTCGCTTCTACAACATATTGGTAACGACGAGGGGAACAACTGGCAACTAGGGTCAGGGCAGAGTCAACACCACGGCTAATTACTCACTCAGAAATACAGCACCTCCTAGTGCTCAATTGTCCAGGTGCCAAGTAGGATTTAACATGCTTTGGCGCTTTCTCCATATGGACATGTTTGAATTTCTTCGATGTTCTTCGAACGCTTCGACCGCGACCCTCCGTGACTTCTTCCGTGCTTGACCGCCGGAGCGCGGCACCTACCTTTACACGGTGAAGAGGCCGAGTTTCGGGCTAAAACCCTCGATGTTTGTGGTTGAACTGTTGAACAATGAGGAAACCAAAGAAGAGCTGCCGGAGCTGCTGGTTATGTTGCTGGAGCTGCTGGTTGAAAGCAACAGTGGAGCTGGAGCTGGCCCTTTTGAGTACCACTCTCCCAGAAAAGGATGTCGTTCTATCATAGTCCCTGCTCCTCGTGGCAGAGTTCAGAGATGTTCACTGTACTGCGTGTTGACCATTTTGGAACTCAGAATGGTGGTTCAGTGGTCCAACCACATGCTGTTCGACATGGTGCGATCAACATCCCACTGTTACTTTGATGTTACTTGAATTCTTTCTTGCTCCACCATGGGGAAGCCAGAAACAGGAGCGTGAAGCGGCGCACTCGTGCGGGACGGCATTTTTGTCTCGTAGCTTGCCCGGGAGACGTGCTTGTTCTGATGGGGATTGGCGGCCCGCCTCAGCAACATAAACAGATTCTGGCCGTGATCGGATTAGCCTGGATCATCCATGGAACGTGAAGGACGAGTCACTGAGGGATGAGAACAGATTGACAGACCACCATGGAATTGCCACTGCAGATCAAAGCAGCCCTCAGAAGCAGAACACCTCAGAAAACAATACACTACAACTGCTCAAGAGATTTTCAGAAAAAGAGTAGTCCACCCGTCCACCCTGTCCTGAGTGCGGCCCCTTCGCTTGCTCGCCGGCCGATGATTGCCATGTCCAAAGCGGAGTGACCTGATGCGTCACTGAGATGCCGGCACATCCCTTCCAATGGACAAGGTCTAGCTGGCTAGTGACTTTGGGTTGAGGAATCCAGGAAGACATCAGGGTTGATCGTTCCGCCATCGATGAAAATAGTGATGAAAAGAATATTCAACGAGTTGGCTAGGTCAGTTGATAGACGGCGATTGCTCTCAACTGAGGTTTAAAAACTTGTCGGAGGGTCGTCTTTGCATGGAGCCGAACACATGACATGCGATTTGGCATGCTAGTGATGCTGATCACTCCAGCAAATAATCCTTGGTGTTTCCTCCGCCAGGTTGAAGAACTCCGGGAATGTCTCCGTGTCCCCTCGTGCGGGCCATACCATCACCCTGAGTTTCCTGGCTTTGCTTCGAAGGGATGTGATTTTTGGCCTTCCTGTTCTGGTGGAAGACGTTAGCACTATTCTTTCGCCTTCCTGGTTTCGCAAACTTCTGAGGTTCTGTGGGCTTTCTGCTCTATGGCGGCATGGATGGCCGCCGGAACGATCAAGGGAATCCGGCACCGACGCTCTCTGCACCGGGTCGCTGCCGGCGTCGCGGACGGTCGGCGATCGTGGTGGTTGTGGGGCAGTCAGTTCCGAGCAAAAAGACAGGACCATGGGATCAACAGCAGTAAGGAGGGCAGATAGGACCGCAAGAAGTTGGGCTTGGAGTTTGGAGCTTTTTGGCCGGACTTGGGGACTTGGTTTGGTTGTTGAATCGTTGAAGCACTGCAAGTGGTTGGGCAAGTGGTTGGGTTTTGTTGGGTTTCCGCTTGTGTGGTGGAATGTGTTCAAAAGCATTCAATTGATATCAATTGATCATGGCTGCATGGTTACAGGCTTTGACAAGACAGAAAAGCAAACATGGACTAACTAGGCCCACTAGGCCCCAAAAAGGCGATCAACGGATCCTCCATTGGCTAAGATGACTCCACTCCATCCTTTCATATCCTGACTCCGAGTGCGCTCCTCATCACTCCGATCTGCAAGGAACAGCGATCTCTACTTGCTGAAAGTTGGAGGCAAAACCTTCCAGTGCCTTGGAGTCTTCGTCGCTCCGCTACCACACCAACGCGGCGTCTGATGCAGAGCCAAACAGAAAACACCAACGTCCAAAGTCTGGAATGCCTCATGGTTTCGGCACCTCTCGTTGCAGAAGTCAGCCGGCAAAAGGGTCCGCCGTCCGATCCGTCCAGAAGCCGAGCTGTGAACACCGTACAGCGAGATGTGAAAGCGGCGACCTGATCCGACGTGGAATAGCTTTGAAGGTGTATATATATAATATATATGTTAATATTTATTGGTCAAATAATTCTTATAGCCCTGGAAGATTACCACGGACCCTGAAGATCACGGTTGTGAAGGAAAACCCGTCTAAACGAGGGTGCCATTCTCAGGGTCTATGCTAGTTTTCGGGAGTGTAATAGTTGACACTTTCTTCCGATAGAGCCTCCCAAACAAATTGTGGTGGATATGCACGGGAGAAGAGGGGTTGGCTTGTGCCCCATGCAGCCGGATTTTGCTCTCCCAGGACAATATTAATATAATCGATATGTCTGTGAAGTTTATATACCCGTTGCGGATTCCTGCCGGGAATAGAGGCAACTGTGACCAAGGTATATATATATATATAGACTCTAGACCTTTTTGAGCGGGTATTGCACGGATTTTGCTATATGTGCAACTATTTGTATACAGAATGCAGATGTCAAATGTCGGAAGCTTTTCAAGTGGTGAAATCACTTGAAGGGCGTTGATACTGTAGCGAGTAACGGCTGTAACTCCGCTCCACGGTGAAGACACCCACCCCAGGCACTGGCCAAAGGGAGGCCTCACAGGATCGACCTGCATGTGACCACCTCTGTGGTGGGGCCTTTTGCCCGATGTACCGTTTATTTATTTCATGTTCCAGTGTTCATTTCATACCATGTGGATTTACTGTATGTATTTCTATCTAGATGTTTCTATACTACCGTATATATTTCCATATATGTCCTATGTACAGGAATTTGTTTCTTACTGTTCACGCATGTTGATGTTTGTCCACCTTACATTCCCACAGCTAGATCCCTCACCTCCTTTACTTGCTTCAGCAACCCTTCGCCAACTTGTCCAAGGTGGGAGCAGGTGGAGGTCGACCCAGGGTCTCAACTGCCTCCTGCTCGGACACTGCATACTGCCTTGGCCATCAGCCAAGATGAGGCGGATGTGGCGGGCTGACAACATCCACGAACACGCCCGGGAAGAGACCCACATGGAACCAACAGACCTTTGGAAGGCGATGGCGATGTTCGTCTACAACCCGACAGTGTTTTTTCAGGGGTTGCATGTAGGTCTCGGAACCAGGGTCCTTTTGCGAACAAAACGTGCCCACGGGACTTGCATATGATTCCTGGGTGGATCATTTCGAAGAGAGAGCCTAACACTGCGCAGATACCCAACAACTGGCTGCAACCCTGCAGTCAGTTGGTCCAAACTTGATGCACCCCTTGATGCACCCCAAACCCACCCGGCAGATGATCACACGATCGAACCTAACCAACTGGGTCGCTACGATCGAACCATTGAGTTCGCCGGCGTGGACGCGAGGTCTTTGTGTTTGGAGGCATTCACTCCGCTACTCCGGACCGCGTGCAGTCGTTGCAGGGAGAGGAAGGGTGGTGAGGGTCATTTCTAGGGAGGCAGCTCGGATCCCATGTATCTATATAGACCTTATAATGCCATACATGTAAACTTAACATAACTTAACTATATTAATACACACACATGTATATATATATATATACATACACACACCAGCGCCCTCCGACTGTAACAGGTCTCCTTTGGAGGCTGAAATGAAGACAAGCGAACTGATTTCGTGGGATGTTCAGTATATGTTCGATGCTTTTGCTGGATTGATATCGGAGCAGAACGATATATTCTGAGAGTTCCCGACGTGACCATTCAATTGAAAGTCGTTATATTATATAGTTGATTGTTTGGTCTTTCAGCATGCTGGTGTTGAAGTCACGGTGGTGCTGGCGGTCAGCTGACACTGTCTTTTGGGGGTTGGTTTTCTTTGCGGCCTTGGTTTTGCCACTGTGAACCAGCGTGTCGCATCCTCGCGTGCAAGAAGGATCGGAATCGGACGAGCATGACGGTCGGATGACTGACGGTCGGTGACTATAGACACCGCTATTTCTGCGATGTCTACTTCCTGTATAGAGAATTAACATGTACGGTAGAGTAGTTTCTTCTGTATTTGAAACCACTATAGCTGTTGTGGTACCTGGATCGGCACATTCACATGTGAGCCACTTCCAAAGGTAAATGAGGGCACCTGTAGGTCTCCGGCTTCACCCTGCCCAACTCAGCATTCACTGAGGAGCCCCCAAGCTTCCCCAAGTGCCCGATCCTTTGTTTGGTGCGATGCCGGCCGCCCAGGTGTTGAACGATGGTTGGATCCTGGACACTGGCTGCTATGAATGGAAGCATGTGGGTTTCCTGGCGGAATACGGCGGAAATACGGTGCCTACAGGGCACTCACTGCCCACTGCGTGAGTGCCCTTAGTCTTCTGGGGAATAGATTAATATATATATATGTGTGTGTGTGTGTGTTAGTTTTTTCTCCGCCTTCTGAACAGCAAATCCAAGGCTTCAAGACGCAATCCGAAGATGTCAAGAGTTCGCATTGGATGCTTGGAACGTCCACCGTGGGCCGCGTGTGCTTCTGGCTGAAACAAGAGGTACTCCAGTGATATCAAGAATGAGAACTGCCCGGCACAGTGGTGTGATTTTCCCTCTCTGCTAGGGTTGGACTGTGATTTTCTATGTGTTCGTTGTTGGGAGTGTATTCTGGTAGAGACCACAGGTGGATAATTAACTCAAACGAATAGATGCATTTACATTAGATTGTGCAGAACATGCAAATAGATTGTCAGGACTTGGGGCGAAGCTGCATGGCATGTGGTCAAGGATTCACCAATGACTACCCAAGTAAAGAGACTGACATGGAAGATCATAACGCTGAAAGCTCAGCCGGGAAATAAAGACAAAACACACACATGTTCCTCGACAAGAAAAGGTCCATCAAATCAATACTAATCACTTGAAGAGAAACGATCAACGATCAACGAGTAGGTCTGACGAGGAACGGTGGGTGGCGCATGGTGGCGCATCGCCATGTCTCAAAAGAAGTTGCAAAAGTTGAGACAGGCAAGGGGGTGGTAGATCACCGGAAAAGCTCCGGTCGTTGGGAGAGAGCTGGAAATGGGGCACCATGGGGCAAGCGGCAGAACTGCAGATCTAATTGTTTTAAGCCATTTTAAGCTAAACAGGCATATAGATCGATGTAACACAGTAAACAGACAACCTGAAGAATGACTTTAATGAGCTAGACACCAATCGAGACAAATGATTACGAGGTCTGGGGGGGTGGCCCGAGAACGTACCACGTAAACTCGAAATTAGGTGGGGGAGAGGGGTGCGCGGAAGTAAGGTTTTTGAGGTTGAGTTTTTGTGATTTGAGGGGGTGGTGATGCAAGAAATGCAATTCGCATCATTTGCATCATCTGAATGGTAAGGTGTAGGATGTGTTGTAGCTTCGTGCAGCGGTGAATGCATAACCTTCTTACGCACCTATATAAGTTCAAAGCATTAATGAGTCTTCAAATCCGTGGATTGCTGCAAGTTTCTCAAGGTTATCTAGCGGTTGACGGAAAGGGAAATTGAAGTGCTATACCCGGCAACTGAATTGTATACCGCGCGCGCGCCTAAATCAAGGGCAGACCGGGAGCCAGCAAGGCGCGCGCGCGCGCGGACCCAGGGTAGGTAAATTGAAGTGCGATACCTGGCAACAGAATTAATTGTAGCTACCCTGGGTCCGTATACGTGCTATGTTGCTATACCTTTTACACACCTATATAAGTTCAAAGCAGTCAAAGCATGAATGAGACTTCAAAGTTGTTGGCTTCTGTGCGTTTCTAAAGGTGACGGAAAGGCAACTTGAAGTGCTATACCTGGCAACTGCCTTGTAGCTGCCCTGGGTCTGCGCGCGCGCGCGCCTAAATCTAGGGCAGACCGGGAGCCAGCAAGGCGCGCGCGCGCGCGGACCCAGGGTAGCGGACCCAGGGTAGCTACCACTGCACTTTTACTATCTGGCTTCACACCGTGCTCGTGGACAAAAAACGCAGGCTTTCGTTTTGCAGCTTCTCAGGTAGCAAGTAATTTCAGTATGGACCATTCCGGGCGAGAGAGAGAGAGAGAGCGCGCGAGAGCAAGCGAGCGAGGGGAAATTATTTGTGTGTTTCCGATGGTGTTTATAACTAGCGAGTGTTGGTACGTCACTTTCCTTTCTAAACACGTAGACTATGATTCAATCACTGCCAACTTTCCTGCCGATTCTCGTGAACCCCACGTGTTTTCAGGTTCACTGGACACGACCGGACACGACGTCGTGTCCGAGGAAGCGCTTGTCGGGGAAGATTTTGGAGCACCCCTACGTGGCCGCGCAAGCGGAGGTCATCGGACAAGGCGAGAGTCGCGTCGATTCCACGGGGAGAAGCCATGGCTCGAGCCATGGACGGCCGTGGGATGTGTGCAGTCTACTTCAGTGCAGGAGCTTTCCGGAGAGACTAAGCCAAGATGTTGGTTTTGTCCTGATTTCATGCTGGTGAAGTCGTAGAAAACGCATGTCATAGTTGGACATGGGATGATGCAGTTAGACATGGACGTTTGTGTGTCGGTACAGGTTAAAGGCGGCTCCATGACTTTGTCAATCTTTGTCACTAGGTGAGATGGAGTTGGCCAAGGTAATGTTGTGCCACTAGCACTAGAATTAGAATACTGGTGGCTATACTGATCAGAGCTCCAAAAAACTGGTGTCCCCAGGACTGCTTACAGTATATAAGCCGTCTGGACACTTCGGCTCCCATGTAGACTCTTGAGTAATAGACAAATGAGAGTCTGTAGACTCTTGAGTAATAGAGTCGTGAGAAATAGACTCATCAATTGATGATGATTTGATCTACAATCACACTTCCGAATCGCTCCTCGATGCTAAGCAGGAGCCCCTGCATTGAGACACGGCCCACGTAGGGATGTTTGTCTACTATAGAGTAGGGAGACCCAAACTAACGTAGAACGTTGGTGAATACACCCCCTACCAGAACAGTTTTACATCTCCAGCAATTATGGGTGGGTTCATTCCCCAACTTGAATTGAGTAGCAAAAGGGGAAATTTCAGGCTTCGTGTTTGGCCTGCCTGGGAGCCGGTTTTCAACTCATGCCCAACCACCTCCACAAGTCACAGCGACACAGATTCCGTGGGAAGAGCTTTGAGCATCCACCAGCAGGAACTTGTGCCATCTACAGTACATGTCGAGGAAGGAAACTCTCGTATACCATCCAAAGACGACATGACGACTTTTGTTGTGCATACACTTGGACATCCATGAAGTTCATGCTCCAGCCGTTCTTCTTTTTCAATGAGAAAAACAAACAAACAGCTTTTGCCGCCGACAATTTAAAAACAAAGCAGCTTTTCGACAAAACAAAAACAGCTTTTGACTACTTAAAGATGCCAAACCCAAAGCGCCACCTCGCTGTTTCGCCGCCGAGGCATGCGCCGGAACACCGGCACACGCCGCATCAGCGGCATGGCGCAGACCGCGCGGAGCGCGGTGAGCGGGCTGAACTTCGAGACCCTGGCGCTGGCGGCATCCAAGGCGGGACGATGAGCCTGGGGTTGGCCTCGGCTTGGCTTTTCAGGTCCTTATGGCCTCACCCCTCCTAACTAAATGGATATGGGGTGGGACCTAGGTCAGGTAGTGGATATGTCCTCACAAGGCCTGGTGATGTATAACAAGATAAGGATTTGGTTGGTTTCCCCCGCTCCGGGTTCTGCTGCCCTAACCTGGGGAAGACGTTTTAAGTATACAGTATGCCTCCCCCAGATTCCTTAAGCAAATCATAGTAAAATCCAATTGATGGGTGCGGGTCACAACCTATCGGTGGATCCAAACGAGACCTTTCGCGCTCGCTGGAAAGCGCTTTCAGAGCGTGTAAATTGCGATGCCAGAGTCTGGCGGGCCTTTCGTTTGAACAGGTGTCCTTACTAGGTGTCAGTGTGTATAAGATTTTACATTTTTCATTTTGTTTGGAAACAACACTGAGGTGGCCATGTCATGTCATACATCCAAGACTTGACATGGTTTTGTATATATAAGGATACTCATGGATACCCGAATGAGTGCTACCATCCCAGGAAGGATCATTCAACCGGCATTCTTCGACGAGGCCGTGCGTTTTTTGGTCTCAAGGTGCTCGGCCCATCCGCGCCAGGCCGTCGTGGGCGCTTCGATGAGCATTGGCGGCGAATCGGGCGGCGACGGAGGGTCTTCGAGCCCCTTGGGCGAAGGAAAGGACGCTGGTGACCGGAAGATGGGGTCAAGCTTGTGCATTTTTACTGATTATTGTTTATTCCGTTTTCAAGCACGAGGAACATGCTTCAAGTGGAGGGTCTTGCAAAGGAGGATGTGCCAACACAAACGGTAAGAATCGCACATTTGTTTCAGGATGGTTCACATTGAGCTCGCGGGAGGTGCGCATTTTGAGTTTCCATTTTGCAGCCACTTGCAGCCTTTTGCAAATGGCTGCCCAAGCAAGTGGCTGCCAAGTGGCTACTTCTGTCCGGAGAATATCATGATTTCTCCGCACGCAGCTCTGGAGAAAACCAAGATTTCTGCAATGCTGTTCTGCGAAGAAATTCCGGTTTTCTCCAGAGCTGCGCGCGGAGAAATCAAGAAATAATCCAAGACTTTTCCGATAATAAATTCCAAACTTCTGCAGAGCTAGCGACGAAGAAATCTTGCAGTTTTTACATAAAGAACTCAAAGTGCACGTGTTGAAGTTTACTTGCTTGAGGGACAAGTGGCTGCAAGTGGCTGCCTGAAAGTGGTTGCAAAACCAAAATTCAAAATGTACGTCATTTGCTCGCTCTCTGTTCTTTCAAGTCTTTTCTTAGTTCGGACAGATGAAGTGAGCCACTTGTCGAGCATGGGGTGGTGTAGAAATTGAAGGGGTGCATGATTCATGAGCCCTTTGGCCACACGATATCTTGTGCGTAGTTTGATTCCTGTAGTCACAAAGGCACCGGGGGAAACCACGGCCACGGACAGAGAAACTTTTGAATAGCCGGGCGTGTCCGCACGCCCCTGTCACCGGTGAGAACGTCGGTGACGCCGGTGATGGCCACGGTGGGTCTCGTTCGTTTCATCAGAAATGGACGGACAAGATGAGGTAGGGCCAGGGGCGAAGACTCAACAATACAAACCGTGCAGGGTGTGTCCCAGCAAACCAGTAGTCTGTAAAGGATTCGGAAATATTTAAGTTTTTGTTTGCCGTGTAAGGTTGATCAGATGCTGAAACACCTTATGTAGTGCATATGAAAGCTGAGTTAGGCCTTAATTTTGAAGCAGCAAAAAATGTGTTCTGTTTAAAGTGGTGTCCTTTTGGGTTTAGGGTGACAGAAAAACCACCTGGGCAGGAATATCACATGAAACTTGAGGAAAATCCTGGAAGAAGTTCCTGGCAAAGCAGATGACGTCCAGCGTGAAAGCGGGTGACTTGGAGTGGTTAGCGTGCAGATGGTTTGCCTAAGAAACCCTGCATGCCTTCAGTTTGACCAGTCGTAGAACGGTTTTGTAGCTGTAGAAACCTTAGCGCAACAATGGTTCCTTGGTAAAAGAAGGCCATTCAATCAATGGTGGTTGGAATCCTACAGGGAAACCTTTCAGCATCCCGTGGCGGGAAGGCGCAGGCTGCGGCAGATGTTCTTAGCCAATCCGCACCCAGGATGCGGCTGACCTTCTGGTGCAGGAAGTCTGTCGTCCATCCAAGATCCAAGCAAAAAGGTCACCGGATGGTCCAACAATGAAGTTGGTGGAGAAACAGAAGTGGAGGAGAACATCTATTTTAAGAGAAGTGTCACTTCTCTACTCAGACAGTTTGTGGAGGAGATGTTCTTCATATGGAGACATGGGCCATCAGAGTCAGAGACACATTGCTGCCTAGCAGATCCCCTTTTTGCTTTGCAGCTTCCAAGGGTTCCCAGCAGAGAAAGGACCAACACTCGACTCAACTCTATTCTTTTGGTTGCGCCGGGCTATGAAGATGTTGAAATCTGTCTCGTTAGGTCGCCGTGTCTGGTCCCCCGCCCAGTACAGGCAACAAAGAGAAGCAAAGTAGGCGGGTGAGGGCGGGCGGCGTGGAGTGCGGGAGGCCTTTGGACCGTGCGTTTGGACGGCTTCAGATTGGCCAAGCACGGATCGAAGGCAAGCCCCTTACCATCCCCTTTCTACCTTCCTAACTGGAGCAACCAGAATGACCAGGTGATGCGATTATGGACGATTCACTGGTGTCGATCTACAAACGCCACCCAACCAAACCTGTCACATTTTGCGTGGCTCACTTGTCGATGCTTTTTCTCGTGCCAGGACGCGTTTCCAGCCCAAAGACGAGGCGGGATTAGTGAACTTCGAGGAGGAACAGTTTTTGGAAGATCCTTGGACCAAGAATTCAAGTGAATTCGCTGACTTTTGTCGGGTGGAATGCTCTGAAATCATTTGGCCAAAAACCCTTTGCAGGCGTGTAAGCGTCTAGAATTCTATAAACTCCACCCAGTTCCAAACATAACAAGCTTCAGGATTGTTTCACAACTCCGCTACCAGTTCTTTGGGTGGAAATTCCGGCATTTCGCTGCTAGTTCGTTGTCGGAAACGACGAGCTTTCTTCCCCATATTTCCCCATCCATGAAGTAAGTCCACCCCCCCATGAATCAATGAATCGGGTCCATGTTCAGATGCCCACCAACGTGACCCCTCCGGCCAAGACTTCAGCCGTCTTCAACCGTTGGAGACGGCGCAGTCTACGGCCCCGCGGTTGTGAGTCAACCGATGTACGGACGTCGCATGGAAGTGGATGGCACCCCGCTTGTTTGGCAGTCGGAAAAGGGTCAAACCCGAAATCGGGGCCGTTTGTCCATCCACTTTCCATATGTGTGTTCCAGGCAGTGTCAAAGTTTGCTCACGACACGGACCAATCTTTTGCCACTTGAACTGTTTGAAATGCGGTGATTCGCCTTTTGGACGCCCACTGCGCCCTCAGCTCGATCACTATTTTAGTGCAGACGGGCTTGAAAACACACAGACACCAGGCGTTTGGCACGAGTTTTTTGCAAGAACACCCAATACGGAGGACGAAAGGGGAGTGTCCACGCGTGTGCCCTGGATTCCGAGGACATTCTGACAATGGTATGTGCCACAGCTCAAGGTGAGACGCATCCGGCAGGAGTCTCTCAACAGGAACACACCGAGAGTTTACATAGGATGGTCGACACCAACAGCCAATCCATTTTTCCCAAGATTATGCTGATCAATGATCAAGGCCTTACACCTCCAAGTACCTCCTCAGAAGGTATTTGGACCCTCCAAACCCACCCCAAACACCTTCTCAGAAGGAACTTGGAGGCCTAGGGAGGTTGGACTGCATTAAATTTACCAGCGGCCCTTGGCGTGCGGGGAGAGGTTTTCTCGGCGTTTTGTTTTTGGATGCGCAGGGAACGAGGACGAGGATGCCAGCAAAGGACCCGCGCCACGTGGCAATCATAGCAGCTTGGCCGTGATCTACCACCTCAACTGTTTTACGCAAACTCCACCAATGAACATCGGTATACAGTGGCAGTTAACTGTGCTGCGCCCTGCCCAACTGCGGGTCCAGCAGTGCATCGTCCTTCCTCAGCGTGTCCCGGGACGGCTGCGTTGTAGCCAGACGCTGCCGAGAGAGAGAGAGAGGGAGAGAGAGTGAGTGACAGTTGACAGTCAACAGACAGAGAGAGGGAGAGAGGGCGCCAACTCTTTCGATGGTGTCCTTCCGCCAAACCCAAGACCGGGCCGAGGTACTTGCCTCTATGAGAATACCATCATTCTTTTCGGTGGGCATGGTGGCTTTGGCTACCAGCGGACGCTGGGCCGCATGGACCCGCCGAAAACCCCCAAAAGCCGGTTTTCTACACCCAGGGCACCAAATGATCAACTTGGATGCTTGGAGTGCTCTAGACATGTCCGACACATGCTTCCCATTGGCATCCCAACATATCACCACCAGTACCACCATATCAGCTACTTTGGCACCTTGCACGATACGCACCTGGACCATCTAAGGGGTCATGTCATCATGTCGGGCTATCCAACTCTGCTCATGGGCTTCCATGGCGCACCCCTTGGCCCCGTTGGCAAGCCGTTCGTGACAAGAGAATGTAGCTGAGGAAAGCCTTCAACGATGTTTGGGCTTTGAACCTAGATTCATTCCGCCACTTGGCTATTTTCATTTTGGTGGTAGTAGTTTGTATATGTTTGTATAACAACATATTTGTAGCTTTCAAAAGGTTGCCAACAAGTGAACCTATGTTGTGAGCGACACCTGGCAAGCGTGACACGTTTTTGTGTCTTTCTCTTTTTGGGAGGGCCTCCCCTGGAGTGGATTCACGTTCATGACTCATGACACTTTTGCTGGGTGATGGACCCGAGTATAGTAAAGGCAGGTTTGAATCGCCCAGTACTTCTATGTTTGTTTTGGTGGCATGTCCTCTATGTTTTGGTGGCACGGTCCACGTCTCATGGCGGGGTGCACAGTCGAAGTGCACTTCATTGGTCGAGTGTAAAGCTTTGCCTAGTTGAAGCGCAGAGGCGGGAGATGGGAGATCACGTGACCAATCATCAACACAGAGTTGTGTCGACAAATTGGTGGTTTTTGTTAGGCTGAGGCAGACAAAGAAACAGGCTTGGTTTGAGAAATCATTTAAAAAATGCACAGCCGCACAGCTACAAAAGAACCGGTAAAACATTGAGGTCAAGTTTGCAAGGTTTTTTGTTGACTCAAGAAGCTCTCACAATTGAAGTTAGGACGAGGTGTCCTTGTCACCTGTGTGCCTCAGGGTTCTTGGTAGGACTCGAAGGATTTGCCAAGGCCTGACGTTGGACTTTGTGGATCGGATCAGTTCTTGCAGTTCTTTGTTTGAGCGCTAGGCCATGCTAGGCCCTGTGTTTTTGAGCTGTTTGGGGAGCTAGTTGGATCACTTGTTGCACCATTTTTTGGTTTTTATAAGTCATTACTGGAGGATACAATGTTATGATATGCTGTTATAATAACTAGAACATTGTTTTCTTTCACTGCTGACAAGCCGTGCACGCAACTAGAACATTCATGCAACTTGTCATGCTTATTCATATTCAATCTACTGCAGGGTGGTTGTTGTACTGCCATGCCATGCCCTCGCAAGAAAGAAAACAAAGAGGAAGTACAGTTTTTTTTTTTTAGATCGTGGTTATATACAAATATGCCGTGATGGGCAATCTGTTTATTGTTAGAGGGACTGGAATTACCGGGACATATCGGAACCCCTAAGAATACAAGTTCTGCTGCATCTGTTCGCGCATATCGGAACTTACGCAGTTCCATCCCAAACTGCTTGACGTTATGGTTCCGAACCCCAACCAAAAAGCGTTCGGAACCTGATGTGGTTTCCAGGTGGGCGGGGGTTGAGAGTGGGGCTGAGGAGCTCCTGTATCCCCACACCTTTGGCCGCTCGAGGTTGGACAGAGCTCCTGTGCCATGGCAACCCTCCGGCACCACGCAGTGGGCATTGTGCTTTCCAAAAGGACCGGACCTCCGTGCCGTTTCTGCCGACTTGGAACGATCCTCGGCGCCTGTCGGACAGGATGGCTTTGTGTATATCTTTGGTGGGTGGAATGGAGAGTCACAGTTCAACGACCTGCAGCTCTACTGCAACGTTTCTCCGATTCGGAGTGTCCGAAGATGACTTCGGCATGCACTGGAAACCACATTCTGTGGGCTGGAGGAAAAATAATACAAAGTCCTGAGAACATACCTATATATATATATAAGTTATATAAGTTATATATATATAGAGATCTATAGCTATGATATACTTCAAGTGATGGCGAGCTTCTTTATTTATTGTATATATTTTGATTATACTATGTTCATCTATGTTTGCTTATTTTCGATTGTTTGCCTATTATGCATACACACCTCCGTGGTCATCAGATCATAGCAGAGTCCCCTCAAGAATCATAAATAATAATGGACGTTGCAGAGAACATGCCATGCCCTGAGCGGACACTTTTCATTTGGGCTTCATGCACCAATGTCGTGTCCCGAAAGTATCAAACCTCGTTTTACTCCGGTTTAGCGTATAGGACAGGTTTAATCATAAGGGCGACAAGGAGGTAGGACGTGTCAATCTCATTTGAGTCTTAACGTTCTACCCTGGTATGACATCATATATATTTGCTGCTTGGTGGAACATCGGCCGTCGAGAGGTTCATGCTGGACGTGGAGAATAAGGACTGGTCGGAAGCTTGGCCTCCTCAGTGTTCGGGTTGGCCGGGTGGTTCGGCAGGAAGACAGGGAATGCAACGCAGGACCTGACAGCCTTGAAAAAGAGGCTGCTTAGCTGAGACGTGTTCACTCTGGTGGGTGATGCAGTGCTCTGAGTAATTTGTGGGGTTGCTCAACTCTTTCCACCAGTTTTGAATTTGCCTGTGTTGGACATTGTTGGACATCCTCAATGACGAATGAATTTTCCCATGTCCAGATGGGATTCCAAACATTGAAGGGCTACAACATTTGCCAACATTGGATGAAACATGATGAATTCTTTTTAGAGAACATCTTAACAACATGTTACAAAGCCGGAAGAACATGATACAACCCAGCCATAAACTATCATATAATTATATATACTCCTTCCCGGTTCTGAAAACAATTCTCCGTCCCGGCTGGACCGTTTTTCCGTGGCTGGACCGAGCTCTGAGGATGTGGACCTCAACTGGAGCGTGCCGCGCTGGAACATGGCGGTCCAGCTCGTCGAGGTGATCCGAATCGGCGGAGTGGAAGATCCATTTCCATGGCGTATGTGTGTGTGTGTGTGCGTCCTTTTTTCTTGGTCTTTTTGGGCCGTTCGTTTTGCCGACATGGAGAGATGGTAAAGGCATGTAATATCATGTATAATTAAAGGCCAAAGCAGACGGAAGAGTGGATCCTCAATGAAAGTATATTCGATGCCGAGTATGTATTGTCCTGGATTGCCCTGGTTTCCAGTATGATTCGATATCGGAATAAACTGGGATGCAATGTGCCCAGATTCTTGCTTGCTTGACAAGCCGAGAAACGTCCAGCTTGGCCAGACAGGCACGACGGTCGACCTGAAATTACACGTCAACTGAGATGAACTGAAATAATGTAGACTCTTGATTAATAAACCCCCCATGTGAAGAGAATGTTTCATTTCAAGTGGGTGCTTTATTCATCAAGAGTCTAGATTAGGCGACCATGAAGCAGAGCTTTTGGGAGCGAACCAGATGAAGTACTGGTCACATCAAAAGCCGTTCCGCAAATAAACCAACACCCTGCCGAATGGATGTTCCAGGCGTTGTCTCGTTTTGGTGTGTGTTGGTGTGTGTCAACCACCGGCGCCACCGGTGACACACCGGTACCGTCTCGCAGGCGATCCCTTCGTGGCGTGTCTTCGTCTTCGGCGGCTCGGCGGACCGCCACGGCGAGGGGCGGACCATGGGCAGCTACGCCGCTTGGTGGACTGTTCTGACGTGATGGGTGGGCAGGTGGGTAGGTGGGTGGGTAGGTGGGTACTTGCAGGTGTGCGAGCTCTTGTGAGCTCTCGAACCTTCCTCCTCGAAGCTTCCTCCCAGGATCGCGAGCTGGGAGTCTTAGACTTGGGCGACGAGCGTTCCTGGCTCTCGCTCTCTCCTGAGCGTGCGAAGCTCGATGGCGCTTCGAGCCGACCGGACAAGCCATTGGATCGACCCCCCCCCGCGGGAGCACACGGCCATTGTGTACGATGCAGAGGAGAGACCGTCGTGGTCCGTTGGGACGAGTGCATCCACGGTCCGCTGTGGCAGGAGATAGAAGCCTTAGGGGATTGAACTCACATCCAACAGGATTAACAATTGATTCTCAACTCGATATGAAGATATTATATATCGCAAGTAAGTCTCAAGATTCATCGACATGTGTTGCATTCCCTGCAACAAACCATGGAAGTGGTAAACCAGTTGTTTGCAGAACATGTTCAACTGGCCATGCCATCCACGTAACCATGATGTACCATGATTACTTCAATGTAGATCTCACATGGCACCCCACTCGCTCAGCTGGCAGGAGAGTCGCTTGATCTTGTACGGAGGCTGGGCCAACAAGTGGTTGGACGACTGCTGGCAGATCGACGTCTCCTCCATTGTAGGCCGGGCAGGGCAGGATTGGTCCGGGGTGTGCCAGACCAGTGGGTATGCAACCAGACTGCGCGGAAATGGAGATGGTTGCTATACCAGATGCTTTACACAACGCAAAGATTAACATAGAACCTGAAAACCGCTGGGTTGTAGAGGAAAACAGTCTTCTACAGGTCCATTGTGAGGTTCCATGTAAATCTTCCTGGTTGCACCACTACTTACAATACCTTTGGGCCATCATGTGGTCTGGAAGACCGCTCATGGCAGGTTCCCAGGTTGCAGCAAAGCTCAATAACAACACCAGAGTGTTACAAGAAGACCAAGGCCAGCGCACCTTACAGTTGCAATGGTGGCAAATTTCCGCTGGGCAAAAACATGCAAAAACCCATCACAGTCCAAATATGCAAATATGTCCAAATGGCACTTCAAGCTGGAGCTTAGCATCGCCTTCTCGCATGTGGTTAAACTCGATCGGTGAAGGTAATGGATCGAGAGCGAGAGGGGGGGAGAGGGAGAGGGAGTCCGAATGGTACTTGTGCATTCCCTTGTTGTTCCGTTGGCTCGACTTAAGCCCCTGGGCTTCGACTGAAGCCCCGGATGGTGAGGACCGCCATATGCCATCGTGAAGGTCGAGCCATCCTTGGGGCCGGTTTCTGGAAGCCAGACTCTTGGGCCCTTCAAGTCTTTCCGGAGTGGAGCGCTTGCTGTTTTCGGTCATGTCGATGTTTTTTGGTATGTTTTTGTTGTGTTGGGCTGCAAACAGACAGTTTGAGGGATGTTTTTTGAGGTTGCTTTAGCATTGATCGCATCCATGCCTTTCTTTGAAGGGTGTTAAGATGTAAGATATGACATGATATGCCCAGAACTGGCAGCGATGATCCACCCTTTGTTGGAGGGAACATGAGTCAAATCTTGGACTTCCAGGGCCGACTCTATGGAAGGAAATGTCCACCTTCAATCCATCCACTGGAACGGCGAACTGGCGAACGAACGTCGGGTCAGACGGCTCCTGGGTTTGATCAGTCTCTGACAATGGTCCCGAGAGCGGCATCCCGCAGCATCCTGCTGGGGGGTGTCCTATGAAACTGCAACAGTATATTGAGAGGTTTCAGAGTAGATGGCACAATCCTGAAAGGTTACCCCCTTTCTAAACGACATTTGTTGGTTTGATGGCACAAACTTTGTGCTATATATCTACTCTGAAACCACTGCATCACCTTTTTAGAGAAAGGCCCTTACTAATCATCAGTTATTCCGGGCATGGGAGATACCCGACCTTCCAGCATCCCCACGGGCCCCAACTGAGCAGCTTCTTTTCGCCGAGTGCCGTGCCGGGGCTCGTCAATGAGGAAAGTGCAGATCTTCGGTGTGGGCTTCCTCTCAGTACCTGGTGTGGCGGTGATACGCTTCACTGGGGGAAATGGGAATCCCGGAGGCAAAGTCGACTGGAAGTTTTTGAAGGACAAAGTGACAAAGTATCAAAAAGTGATGAATCTCGCATATCAAGCCCAAACACTCCATGGGACTGCCATATATGCCTACAACCCCCCAAACCACCCCAACTGATCGGCATACATGGAGTGTTTGGGAAGGACGTGACTTAGGTTCAGATGGTTCACGAACTCCGCACTGGGTTCCAATCTCGGGTGGCCCAGTGATTCCAAGCACCCGCTCTTTCTAGAGGAGCCGCAAGTCTTTTCCGGGAGCCATGTTCCCCGGTTCCGCCTGCGATAGTTCCAACCCCTGCGGACGTCCCGCGTAACGTCGCGGCCACTCGGCCGGGCGGGCGACGGACCACTCCGCATCACTCCGGACGGCTGCTCGGTCCACTCCTCAGGAAGAGCGTCGAAGCGCAAGGGACGATCTTGGATGATGAGCTGGTGGAGTGTCTCACGCCCAAGGCCCCATTCTCTCGCTCGGTGGTTTGTTTTTTCGCCGATGTCGCCAATCTGGAAGATCGACGGGGTGGAGGCGTCCAAGGGGGAGGGCGTTTCAGGATCGGTTTTGAGACATACCACTGAGCCATCATGAATGGGATAGTGGCCACAAGCCTGGCCAACATGGCCATGTAATAGTACTTGCTGCAGCAGTCCCCAGATAAGACTTAGACAAGTGCACAGATCATTAAGACTTGACTCGACCAGACCAAGTAGGTCTATGTTTTGGTGGGGCAAGGAACTAGAAATGCATAGAAATGCTATACTGCTCCTTGGGATGACGTCCTCCCCGTTGGAGGCGACTTCCTGTCACGTACTTGCCAAGTCCAGTTTTGTTGGTACTTTTTGTACTGTAAAATAAAAGCCCCGAGGGACATCTCACAAATGGCAAAACCCGATGATTTACGAACGAACAACGCACGGACTTCTTAGGAACGACGTGGGACGCATGTTTGGGACGCATGTTTATAAAGCATGTTCTGCATCCCATCGATGTCACGCCGACGATGGGGCCTCCATCATTGTGAACCACACGCCTCCTGTCCTCGGTTCTGTCCTCCTCGCAGAGGCAGAGGGAATTGGACCCCGAAGCTGTGAAGTGCGAATTGCCATCGGCGTGAAGGACTTCACCACCACGATGTCACTCAGATGAGTCATAGCAGGAAATGAGCTCCTGCACCTAGATGGCTTCAGGGAACAGAGGAAGATGACGTTTTTCTGTTCTACATCATCTGGGCTTTTGCGTGGGAACAGCTGGGCTTTTGCGTGGGAACAGCGGGAACCAAAAGCATTGCAACTTCATGTTCAGGACGACCTGAACATCGGCACAATTCCCTCCAAAAACCAACTGGCTCCGGAAGAGAACTTCCCAGCTTCTATGACCACCTCCTTTGTCAGTGACCACCTGGAGGTGCCCGTGATGTTCCAAAAGGACAGTCCTTGGCAAAAGTCACCCGTTGCTTCGCAAGATCTTCGCGAAGTTGACAGACACTGCATGGGACTGGAAGATTTACCTAAGAGGTTGACCCCAGAAACCACCCAACTGATCGGCAGTTACAATGACCGTCTCATGCAGTATTTGGGACTGTTTTGACTACAGTACCCTGCAGTGAAGGCATGCTGCATGCCAGACCCACAGACCCTGTCCACAGGCGCTGGTTCACTTTATAGAGGTGTCAGGTCCTATTTTTGTTTCTTTCTTGTGATCTCAATTCAAAGCCACGAGTTCATTCTCAAAGAGCACAGGCACAGCTCAACACTTTGTTAGATCAGGTCCTTTTTTTTGTTTCTTTCTTGTGACTCATTCTAAACCCACGCTTTCCTTCACCAAGAACCACTTCGTGTCCTCACGGCCGTTGAATACGGCCGAGCGGGACCGAGGGCGGAGTTCCAGTACTTCATGAATACAGTGCCAGAGAGGTCGTTGTGCTACGGCCCTGGGCTACTCATGGAGCAGCAAGCGGAGTCCACGACACGCTTCCGGATACAAGCCAGGCCGCTGAAACACCGACCGAGTCAAGTCACCGGTATTAATTAGGGACTGGAACCAGTCACGGGTATCAATCTGGTTTGAGGCACTTGCTTGCATGACTCTTCCATACTCTTCCACTTACTCTTCCCAACTTTTTGGCCTGTGATCAGTAGGCTTTTCAAGGTGAAAAAGGAGGTGGAAAGGGTACGAAAGTGCAAGCACCATGCAGTCTTGTTCCTCCAGCCAGGAATCAGGCGGGTGACAACCGCAAGTCTGGCAGAGACGAGTGGGTCATACAAGTGCAGCACGTCTATGCTGCTTGGCCAGTCTGACGGCCATGATTTTCAGGCAGCCCCCGCCACACACCTTAAGAGAGGTCGAGAGTCGAGTCTAGACATTGAGTTTCTATGAGGTAGAGTTTCTATGTGTTTTTTGCAAGGAAAACTTGACGTTCTGTTTTGGTAATTAGGTTCTTCCCAATAAGATCCAATAAGGGAGGCTGGGTCCGAGTTGTTCAATCGCTTTAGTGGAAGTGAAGGTCGAAACGCATTGAAGGATTCATTAATTGAGTGCCGCAGGTGATTTTGAAGATCACTCCCCCTCCCATTTCTCCGTACGTACATGCATAAATATATGTCATGTTTATGTTACACCCTACAAGTCCAAAGACCCAGCAAAACTTGGTTCTTTTCCTTCTTGAGTAGTGTCTTTGAATGACCTACTCCAGTTAAATGAGGTCTCAAACACCTGAATACGGTTTTGTTTGCAGACTTCGCTGGCTTCACCACCATGGTCGAGCCTCGCAGGCCGTTCCGCACGCTTTCGCAGACCTCGCTCAGGTGAATGAGAAGGGCAAGGAGTCCCTCCGGGAGCTGCCCCATGAGATCATCGACTTTGACACGGGGCAATACGAGGCGGAGCGGCTTTCTGCGAGGTTGTAGGTCTAATTAGGTCTAGAGACTCCATGTATGGTCGTGTATGGTGCATATATGCTGACAGTGATCCCTGAAACCACCCGGATGTGGGCTTCCATACATGGAGTGTTTGGGGTAGCCCGGTGAAGCTGTAGACCTTGAGAAGAAAAAGAACTCATGCTTGGTTGCAAGGGAACTTGGCATGTCAGGAGATGCTTGGATGTGGAAATCCAGTCATGAAGGTTAGTACTGCGACCCGGTGGGTGATTGTGGATTCAGATTTCTAATGCCTGCAGCTGGCCCCTACTGCACTTCATTTGCCAGTTCCCAAAGTGACTAAGCTCCCCGAGGCAATCGATTGAGCAAACCATCCCGCCACAGCGGAGCGGGGTTTCAAAGGCTTTCAGGAAAATGACGTCATATTCCGGTCCACCTATTAAAAAAGTCCGTTTTTTAATAGGTACTCGGGATTATTCCTGGATTTGCTGGGATTATTCCTGGATTTACTTAGGGTGATTTTGTTGCCTATGAGTCAACCCCCCCCTTTGATGGGAATCATGTGTTATTTTCGTCGTGATCGTGGAGTCCGACAGCCAATCCAAGTCTCGCAAGTCTCTATTTCAGCGATGAGGGTTGTACAAGGTCTATTCCTTCCATGCCTTGAAATGCCTCTACTCCTTCTGGCACCCGCTGAAGCTTCGGTCTGAATTCGTGGTGAAGCTGCACCTGCAGCTTCGGTCACCAGGTCAGATACATTCCAGAACCTGGAGATCTCATCATCAGAGTCAGTATGGTGGACGCTGCTCGGACCCAGACGTTCTCCCGGCACGGTGTGAGTAAACCTGGGATCATCCCATGCCAAGTAAGCCATTGACCGAAGAGGAATAGACCCATTGAGCCGCGTTTGCGAAGACCACACCCACTTGGAGCAAATGTTCCACTGCACGGAGGAGCAGGATAAGAATGGAACAGAACAAAAAACAATAAGCATAATAAGATAATTAGCTTGAGCTACCTGAGTTCTCCTTGCTTTAGCAAAAATGTACTAAAAATCAGGATTTGGTGATTTGCATTGATCAAATCCCCCCTGTGCCGTCGCTGCTTTGGGTCACATTCATCCACCTTTGACGCCGTCATGGACTCCTACCAGGGTTACTTGTGATTCCCTCCTCTCTACTTGAAGTACAAACAAAATAACATGTAATATGTTCTTTCTTTGTCTAACCCAGATACAACAAGGCCAGGTTTTTGGAGGGTATCGGCATTGGAAAACCACCCGTTTAGGGGTCCCAGGGGTCTTTCACTTGAAGGCTCTTTTTCAGGCTTTGGGTTTTGTGGGTTTCTTGTTTGTTTGTTTTTTTGGTGGCAGTTTGCTATGGCTGTCCAAGTTGTTGCCCTTGTTCTTAATGGCTTGTGCCGGCTGTGCTACCAGCAGCTCGACCTGGACTCCCCAACCCGCCGAGGAGCTTGGAAAGCCACGACCGATCCGTGGAAGTCCCTTCAAAGCCTCGAGTATTCAGTACGTCTCGTGGCCGAGCGAAGTCGCGACGCGAGTCCAACCGGCCTGACGCCTGGTGGTGGATTGGGACGACCAGGTGCGAAAAGGTGAGATAAGAGGAGTCCCGGAGTCATTGGAAGTTCTTGGTGGATGAGAACTGACAATTGTCCAAGTGAATGGTTTGTGCTGCTGCTGCCTAGGTGGCCTCGGGGCCACCGCCCCAAGGCCAGAGGTATTGTTTTCCTCACATGGCACTCATAGCAGCGGGCAATCCAAAGGCCCTTCATGGCCAGTGTTTTGTTGTCCAGATGTTCTGTTATGATGTGTGGCTGCTTCTTTGATGATTTGATGCGAACGGACAAGACTCACGTCGTGTCACAGTAAGACTGTCGATTTTCCCACTGGGGAAGAGTCCAAGCCAGCAGGCATGATCAAACACACCGAAAAGTTGCTCGAAAGCGAGGAACATCACGAAGACGAGTTTTTCTTGTGCTTGCTGTGAGGCTTTTCGGGTCGGGATGATTGGTCATTTGCCCAGATGAGTGTGGGTCGAAACCAAACACAACCATGGTATGATAGATGGATACAGATGGCATTATGATGCTTTATGTGATGGCACAGGGTTGGCCCGTTTTGGGGACCAAACTTTTAGCATTGCCCTTTATGGGACATCCCCACCAAACAAGCATTAAAAACACTCTTTGCCGACACGGTCAGAATGTTGACGTCCAAGTCGTCCACCCGTCCACACGGGAGCGGACGACGGATTTGAGGCCAAGAACCGCGCGAATGAATATTTGGGCCCCATCGTCCACAGCTGGCTCTCGCAAACGTTGAAGTCCTTGGAGCTTGGGCGGTCATGCAGACTGACGTGTACTGAGGTCTCAGGATCATTTGTTTGAAAGCTGCTTATAGAAGATCCACGGGAACGATCAGCTTCAGGTAGTTTCCTGTTTGATCCTGCTATGTTTTTTTCCTGTAATTTTGATCAGTTGTCCAATTGCCTATTGTGGCGTGACCCAGAATCTACTTGACGATGGTTTCGATGCTGTAGCCTCATGCAAATACAACAAGAAGAATAGATGTCCACAAGGAGCAACCATAGCCCAGCCTAATTCTGGTCTCAAGGCCTCCACATGGCAAGTTCCGCAAAAATCGGGTGGGTCCAATCACCTTCTTTGCCTGATTCCATTTGATTCCGCCCTTCCTTTGTGGTAGACATGTGGAGTTCAAGGGGGGCGTTCTGCAGCAAGCCGACCCACGGTGCAGTGACAGTCAGTTGAGTGAGGAGGGAGGTGATGACTTGGTCTTGATGGGGTTGGGGTGGCCAAGAACAGGGGATAGGAGAGTGTGTTGTTTCACGCTAGGATGTCGAATACATGTCTCACTTACCTACCGTTTGGCTCAAGGAAAACCAGGTGCGACTTGTTGGTAGTTCTCGGTCGTTTACCTGTATCTACAGAGTGGAAGAGGATGTGCAATGCGAGATTGCCATATGCCAGGCCATCCATGTATGGAATAGTTATGAACAGGTCACATGTACCATCATGTACCCCATGAAAATGACCCTAACATTGCACCCGCGTTCACGCGTCGGTTACGATTCCATCCCATGACCTTTTTGGGCGGCTGAGCTGCGGCTGGGCCCACCTGCTCGACCGAGGATGATTTCTATCGCAGCACCGAGACTGGTCAAGGGGCCAAGTTGAACGAGGAGGATGTGAAGGGACTCATCAAGGCCACCTGGCCGGGCCCGCTTGGGGCCGGTCACGGCATTTGGCCGCGGGGTGCCAAATCGGCATTCTGCTGGGGTCAGGGGAAACATTTGGATCAGCCAGAAGGACTGAGCCACATGGCGAGGGGTTGGCAAAATCTGGACCTTTGGGTTTCAAACCTGCTGAGCATCCGATGAATCTTCACAGAGATGAACGTCCGAAAGTCGATAGGGTTGGAAGAACTGGAGGAAGAGCCAGAGACGGGGACAGGGACACACAACAGATGCAAAAAACATCAAAAATTAGGAATGTTTGCGTATTTGATATATAGTAACAGTAATATAGGTACATCATGATATATATATATATATATCTCCGTGTGTGTGTGTGCGCCAGCTATTCGTATCTATTCACCATCATCCTGGAACATATCCTTTTCGCCTTTGCCATGTCACTTGGAAATCATGTGTGAAAATCCTGGCGCAGGCTAGAGCATTCTGATGCATTCCAAGCTATTGAGTTTGTATATTTATATATATATATACTTTAGTTATTTGAAACAACAAGTGCTGAGTGCACACACATATATATATATATATAAGCAGTATGATATATACATACACGTAGTATCTCAATGATCATCACCGTCATTTCATGGCTTGGTGGGCACTCCATTCCCAACTCCCCCTCCTGCTGCCTGAGCTAGCTCTCCCTACCCTTTTCTCGCGCCACGATAAGTGAGAGGTGATGAATCACATCCAAGACCTCTACAAGAACGAATCTGAGTTGATTCGCCTCCAGGAGCTGCTGCAAAGCCTTGACAAAGCTGTACAGTGGCCTCAGAGTAGATGGCACACATCCCAAGATGTCCGTATTAAAAACATGGGGATTGTGCCATCTACTCTGAAACCACTGTAGCCACCTCCGCGAGCAGCTGCGCCAGTTGTGTCAGCTGCCAGCCGAGCTGGCGAAACATGACTGACCCTGAAATGAATGGGGTGAGGCCGGAGGATTGATGTACCCGGGGTTTGTCTCAGAACGGCTGATGGAGCCGGTTGGAGTATATTACTTATTCTTTGAAGTACTGTATTTGTTTTGAAAAAAAGCTTGGAACTACAACTGATACAAGGAACAAAACAAGATCCTGCCCTCTATCTATGTAGGTCTCTTTGGTACAGCCATGTGTTTGTCGTAGACTGGTAGGGTCCATCCCTTCTTCCGGACAGGGCTCCATCTCAGTGTGGGAGACTGGCCTGCTGAAATCAGCACCAGCTCTCTGCATCGCTGCTTGTGATGATCCACGATGTGCAGGATTGCATCTATGAGACCTTGGCTCACATCGAGCGTGAAGGAGTACCAGTGGAGAAGCAGTTGAAGAGCTTGAAGAAGGCGAGAAAAGAATTGACATCAAACACCTTCCCTGAAAACCAGCGGTCTACCCCGAACGGCGGCCAATTCACACAGGATTTCCCATATGAACAGATTTGCAACTGAACTAAACGCATCGTTCCTTCATGTATTCAATTGGGCCGGTGATGCTTGATAGACGGGCGGCCCACGATCACTATACAACAGGGCATGATAATTATTGTGACTTAGGCATGTCATGTGAGCATGTGGCCATTGAACCATCCATTAAAGCGTGTTTTTGTTGCTTATTAGTTTGTAGAGGCAAAACATAGAAATCATTCAAGTGGGGCCATGTTCCACTTCTTATTTCAGGGACCCATTTCTTTGCCCTCACATGCTTCAACAGGCCACTGCCGCTTCGGAGCAGTGGGCAGGAGACACGAGACAGTATGAGATGGATGTAAGCCTCAAACGCATGGCGAAGGTATGCGAAGGTGTTCTCCAAATCCTGAGTCCCGCAGTTGGTGTTCTCCAACGCATCCATCGTGCAGTTTGGAAAGACCTCATGTCTTTATTCAACTGCTGGAACTGGTTCACTCAGCAGACTCTTGGGTGTCAGCAGCACATGTGGTTTCTTTTTTGAGCGGTCTGAGCCCGCCCCTCTTCTGTCAACCAGCCGTGGCTTGTGGTGCGGCCGGAGGTGTGCAACGCTTTGGTGCATTTGCGCACCTTGTGCCATTCTACTGAACAGGCCATCCAGCCCATGGTGCAGGCAGGATGGAATGACTATGGCATACTATGACCATAGTATTCAATTCGCGCAATGACGAAAGGTGACGGGGTTGGGGTGTAGTTACCGCAAGCACTCTAATGCTCAATGTGCCGGAATTGATCCTACCTACTGTGCCTATATCGGAACCTGTATAATATGACCACGCTCAGTCTGAGCATCGAAAAACAGGTGAATCCCATTTCGCCATCCATCCCCCTACCCGCCGTCCCAACACCGAGCGCCCTTGATGAAGCCACTTTCGGCTTTTCACATCCGCCGGTGCGCCCTCGCTCCGTGGGACTGGTTGACCGGATCAGGACCTACTCATTGAAGTGAAAAGGGGTACTGCCCGGTGGTTTTGGGGGCAAGGCACAAGCAGCCGTTTTCGATGTTTCTTCCGCAGTCTATTCAGTGCTCACCTCGCAAAACCTTGCCGACCAAGTCGTTTTCAGGCAGCTGGTAGGTGAGAAAATGAGAAACCATGGTTTGGTGCAATTGGATGTATTTGGTGTGCGATTCAAATCCAGGGGCAGAGGGAGTTCTCAATGGGGCAACCAGGGAGTGTTTGATGTCCTCGTGTGCCTGGAGCTGGCACCTGAGACTGAGCTCCTTTTTCCTGGGGGAACCGGGTGGTTTGCTGGAAAACTCCACATGGGGTTGGTGGGGTCTTCCGCTTGCATGTTTGGCAGGTGCAAAGCGAGATCTACAAAGGAAGTCGCTTGGAAAGCACGGAGCCAGGCATGGGACACTGGCTTGCGGCTTACTTCTTCAGGGTGGGAGGACAGCGCACTGGATGTTCTACAACTCGTCCCAGAAACACGAGCAACTCGTCCAAGAGGTCCGCACAGTTCCTGACGGTATTGCTTGGGAGCACTCAGCAGAGCCAGAGCAGAGTGTAACTAGACGACTAGCTGCTGTGACTAGCTGACTAGCGTGTCCAAAGACAAAGCAGGCCTAGAAAACCTGGGTTCCTCGCCCAGCATGGACTGTAGTGTTTACCTACATTGATCCCTTTCGACCACCCCAAATGTATGTAAACACACGGACCGGAGGTTCTGGCCTCGACACCGGGTGGTGTTCCCGCAGTGCTTTGGCCTCGCCTGGCTGGGAATGTGTGTGTTTTTGTTTTCCATATTCTTCGCTGCATGGAAGTCTCGTTTTTAGGTTTGGAACCGTTCTTTCTGCATGAAGCCACAGACCGAGGCTAGATGCACCAACAAAAACACCAAGCAACAACATAGCAGTGGAAACAGCTCTTTCAAAACTGGAAGGTGCCAATGCCTCGCTCACGTCAAAGTCCATGATTACAGTAATATGAGTATGCATTAAACATATTATTAACATAATATATATAATATGATCTTAATATGTATATAAACATCGATTCATTGTTTGATACTTATTTAGATGACTAGATGTAGAGGTTCCATGTCATGGCCGGCCATCCACCCTCTCAGTGATCCGCCTGTTGCCGAGGGATTGCCGCCTTTGAGCAGTCACTGAGAAGCTATCAAGCAGGGCTCAAGCAAGAGGCCTACTACTACTACAGGCCTGAGACCTTATGGGACCCCTAAAGCAATAGGGGCGCATAAATGAGAGATGCATTTTTTGGGGGATGCAGTAGGCGGGTTGTTCAAGCCATTTAGCTGACTGTTCAGACTTCAAGTTTTTGTCGCTGCAATCCATTGATCAGAGGTCAATATAGGAGGGAGCTTTGCCGTGCAGAAACGCACCCAGTCGCACTGTTTTTAGTTCTGAGCGCTCCTTCCAGCGCACCCCGGTGGCGGTCCAGGCGCCGGACCCCCAACCGGTCACCGGTGAAGCCATCGGACCGCGGCAGGTCCGGTGTGGAGTTGGCCTTCCAACGGATCCAGACCGTGACCACACACCTGGACATGACGCTCGACCGGACTTCACCGTGGTTTTGTCCAAGAAAACCACCGAATGAAGCGGACCAGGGTGCACGGCGCGTTGAGTGCTGCGTTGGTTCGAGAGCTCAGGAAAACTGCGGAGTTGGAGGACCTGCACCTGGTCAGCAGTGGATTCCTGGATTGTTGCCCATGGCAGAGGTTGAGGGTCTTCCACAATTTGCTCCAGAGTTCGCCCCGGCTTTTGCCAAGTGAACTTGGTTGAGGCAGAAGACCTTCCACTGCTGCTGGTATGCGTATGAAACACTGATTGGAGATATTTATAGATATAATAAATATATATATATACCGACGGACTGGAAGATAGAATGTGCTTTTGGACCGGCAAACACTACATTCTAACAGTCAGTGTTAGAATGTGCAGAAAACCTTTGAATGCGTCTCTTCATGGTTCAGCGACACATTAGGACCAGAAAAACGAATGCGAAGGGAACATTAAAGGAATTGAAGGAATGTTCTAAAACCACTCTAACTTTGGGTCTCGTCCACCCGGGTCCAAGAGCTGCTAACTCTCGATGCCAAAGTTTTGGAAACGGCGCATACATTCTAAATCATTCTAAGTTCCAGTCCGTCGGTATATATATATATATGTAGATATCTATTTCTCTATCCATCCATCTATCAATCTATCTATCTTTCTTTGATTGCCATGATCCTTTTCTTTATGGAGTGGATCACATCAGATGATCCTCTTAGTCAAAGGGTATGCCCCCCATGACTTTTCGTCCTTCTGAGGCAAGTGCTAAACTTTGATCTACACATCTTTGCACACCGAATCTACACACTGGGATGTTTTCCAGGGTCGGGTCAGGGTTTGTTTCCGGGATCAATGTGTTTTTCTTCCTTCACCTGACGCTGCAGCTGACCCTATTGGGACAGTCGTAGGCAGGTAGTATACGCCCCATGTGGGCAGAGGTACTTGTCAATCCTCAGAGCAGCGCCCATTGCGACCGCATCCCGCCGGTCCACGGTCCCACACCCGACGGGGCCTCCAGGCACCTGATCGCCAAGAATTTTGACTACCCCGACGAGGTGAAAGAGTCCTTCAAAATCATGAGCCTTGCCACGTGTGTTTGGCTGAAGTTGGGACATTTCAGCGGCTTAGTGGCCTCGAGAGAGAGAGAGACACTCACGATTTGTTTGGGGATGCACTTGGGTCATTTTGGCTAGCTATTCTGGGTCCCAGCGATGTGCTTTTGCATCCTGCTCTTAGGGCCTTAGGGATGGGATGATTGGGATCAATGTGAGCACCGGGAATCTCCGACGGGCCCAGTGGCGTCAGACGGGCCACTTCCCTCAAGCGCAACGGAACCCACTTCCTCCACCAATCACCGCTTGATCCGGATTCTCGGATCGGTTTGGCCGCTCACCGCCTCGACGTGGTCGACCACTCGGAGCCTCGGGAGCATCTCTCGACCGATCCGCGAATCCGAGGAACATGATGCGCGAGGATGTGGCGTTGATCAAATCCTTGTGGGACCATGAGGCCTTCCTTTGACACGTCGATCAAATCGAACCGATCGGTGTTCGGGTGTTTCCGACGTCGGAATCACGGGTTTTTGGGGCCACGCAAAGGGGGGGAAGTGTTCCGAAGTAGCTGGATTCCAAGAAGTGGAAATGAAAAGCTTTCTTCGGTCTTGAGAAGACATCAACAAGAAAAATCAAAGAATGTGGGCAGCCTGGGCTGGGTCTAGAATCCTTTTTCGACCTCTTCTTGGGAGATTGTGAACTCAGTGACAATTAAGCAAACAAATGGTTGGGAGCCAGGAGATTGTGGTTGCCTCTCCCACATAATTATGAGGACTTCCACAGGTTTTGCCTCCAGCCACGAAGCGTTCAGGCACTTCTGAATACTGCGTACCGCTTAGTAGACCAACCCAGCCTGGAAAAGAAGTACCCGTACTGAAGCCTATTGGACCTGGAGGACCTCAGCCCATCGACATCAGATAGGTCCTGATTGGAACGCATGGTTCATCATACCGAGACCAGTACCCAGACCATACATGTACGAATTAATTATACGGGTAATAGATATTCATAAAATAGATGTTCATGATGTAACTAAATATGATATATATATATACCCAAATAGTGTATGGAATATATGCTTACATTGGCCGCAGGTCAACCACCCCAATGTATGCAAGAATATCCAGTCCCACGGAGTGTGTTGGGATATATAACTACAAGTGCACCTACAGAATCCTACAGACTACTATTATCATCTATGATCTAATATTAGAACCATGACGATTTCAGTTTTATACACTATAGGAACCATGGAGGGTATGATGTAACCATGGAACACTTGATCTCTTTGCCCCCGTTGGCAGCCCCTTTGCCCTGCGCAGGTGGCGCGCATCCGGCTCGCCGAGTCGTATTTGGTGAAGCGCTGGGGCACCGTGGATGCCCTGCAGATGGAGGACCAGCGGTGGAGAAACCGGTCTGACCGGTGTGACAGGTCTGAAATCAGTGCACCGAAATCAGTCAGGATCCTGAAGGAGTCATTGCTCGAAAGAATCTTAGACAAATGAGCTGGTGGTAAGGATTGGTAAGGGTTTCAATACTGGACGTATCTGGAGGACACGATCTCCTAGCAGCAAACTTGGCAAGTCGTCAGGCATGTCAAGCGTGTCAAGTTCGCTGACAGGATGATATCAAGACCAACTTCAAGAAGTTGAAGGAGTACAAGGCCTGAAAGTTCCTGAGGGGCTGCGTTTCTTGATTCGATCCAGGACATGTTGACATCGGTGTCCAATCGTCCCAGATATGTTTGGGGGTTGTTGAACATCACAGGGTTCCAATGCGCATTCTCAAGGTCCATTGTGATGGACGTCGCCACACATGGGTGGTGTAACCCCAAGATTCGGGAGCTTGAACCTGGCGATTGAAGTCAACTTACTTGACCCTTTTGGGCACACCAGCAGAGGTTTTCAGAACCCTATAGACTATCCTAGTTCGGTACCCCAGGTTACGGGTCACGTTCACCTTTGTTGCCATGTCTTTTCCAAAAGGAGCGAGCGAGCGTCTCGCCCCGGCTCCTCGGCCATCTGGTCCGACACTCGAGGCCGTCGGAAACGCGTTTCAGATCTAGGGGCGCGCCCGACGTCCCGACCGAGTCGATAGGTGGACAAACGATTGGACGTCTACACAGGGATGCAGGAGGTGATCAAGCGATGGGCCTCTTCGACGGAAGACGATGGCTAAGATGCGCAATATGCGCCAAAACGAAGAGTCGGCTAACGTCTGGGACGTTTGAGAGATGGCATGCGTACGGGTCGTGCCCGGTGGATCAAATCATGGGGGCACCCCAGGTTTTTCTCCGTTCGTTCGGCCCGCCATGGAACTGCTACGTTCGCTCCCCGGAGATGAACCCACGACGTCGGCTGATTCACTGTTATTCACCGGAGATGAAGATGGGAACTCATCGGCCTTCTTTGGTTCTCATGTTGAATCATGTTAGAAGACATTACAAATATAGGTCGTGTCCATTTCACTCCTTCAAATAGTCATGGATTGCATGGCCCCTTGGATGACCATACAGGTAGTGCCTCCACTTCCATATATGATTATTGCAGGGAGTGCACCTGTAACAGTCAGCAATGGATTACCACGATGTTTGAGAAAGGTCTTTACTAACCATCATCATCCACGGTTTCTGGGAATTGGATCATTTTGGATCCTAGCGCCCTGAGGGGTGTGATTAGGAGACTTGTTTAGCGAGTTTCCGCTGGCCGTAGCGGCCTGTTTTCTCTCAGCAAACCAAACGCCCAAAACCCTTGGGTCACAGGTTTGCACCCTCTAGGTCTAGGTCGCCACCACCGCGTGCGCGTGTGCACGGGGGGCGATGCTACATGATGCCATAGTAACCTCTGCCAGTTGGCCCAAATTCCGTCGTACCCTTGAAAATCACCCATTGCTTGGCACTGGAAATCATGGCATCCATTGGCATCCTAGATTTGACTGATTTGACTTCAAGAAAAACGCACCAGAGCTACCCTTCCACCCAACCTGCCCCCGACCACTTCCCAACCAAGAAGTTGTTCACCAATCAAAGCCTTCACCCCCTGTGCATCCCGAACACGCAGTAGTGCGCCCGCGAGTCGCCGCGCTCGAGGTGATCTTCTGCCCGTTGGTCGCCGAGTTGCTGGACCCTTCGATGCGGCCCCGGCATTGGATGGCCTTGGTGCACCTTTGTGGATGCCTGGCATGGATGGCGGGATGGTCCCACCAGTTCGGCGGTTGGGGGCGGGTTGTGGTGTGAGGGAGGGGGGTTTGGTTCTTTGGGGGGGTCGGAGTGAGGGAGTGGGTTTCGGGGATCAGTATGTCAGTATGTTCCTTCTTTTTTGTTGGGGGGGTGTTGGTGAGATATGGTAGCATGGGGCCCAAAAGGCGAAGAAGCGAGTTCCTGGAGTCACCGAGCGTATATAGAGCAAGCTTTGGGAAAGTGGAGGGCGAGGATTCTTGGGGTGACTTGTGGGAGTTTCGACCAAGCCTAAGAATCCGGTATTACTAGTAGCGATGCACTTATTACTAGTAGCGATGGCCTCCAACCCAGTGTTATCCCACGTTATCCCTGGGATTAGCTATGTTACATTATCCTGTCTTTTTGCCAATCGGGACGGTGCTTTAATGCCAGCTGTAGATTTGTGGTTTGTTTTGAATATGCGTATCAACGTGTTCCTTACTTACTGCAATCTACATCAAGGAGAAAAAAGCAAACCCCTGAAACGAAACAGCGTCTCGAAGGGCGGATGAAAGAACTGATCTCCGCCGGTGCTTCGCCGAAGGGCGGAGCATTTCAGTGCAAGATTGGGCGTTTAAACTATCATGATGAAGCCAGGCTAGGCAAAAGAAGTCGTACTGACTGGCTGATTGATTGAGGGATAAGTCAGGGTCGTTTCTTCAGATGCCTCTTTCCATGCCACTCACGACATGGACTCCGGCGCTGCAGGGAAATCGGTGGATGTGTCCAAAGTCAAAGACCTCTTGCTTCGAGACATGTGGACCTTAGAGCTCTACAAGCACCCACAGGTGCCGACGGTGTTCACCGGTACCGTGATTGGGCAACAGGAAGGGCTCGAAAAACGGTAATTATATCAATCCCTACCAGACAGTGGAGATGTTTCACCTGCGAAATCTGGTGTTTGGGGTGGAAGACGGGGGGAGGCACCCCACTGGTTCCAAGAACAGGTGCAGTTCGTTCGGTGTTATGTTTTCCTATCATGCACTGAGAGCAAGCTCTCTTTGAGTAGTGCTGGAGAAGCTCGTTTTGATGCGCTTATTGATGCCTGCGTAAGTCTACAAAGCACGGGAGCAGGGGTGGGGCTGCTGTGCTGAAACAAGAGGGACTCCACTCCCATAATCAGGAGCTTAGGAGCTTTGAGGTTGACTTCATGTGGCGCCATGTGGCGCCATGTGGCCCCTGAAGTTCAGCCACAGTGGGACTGTGGGACAGCCATCCCTCCCAGTCCTTTCATATGTTGTTTTGAGTTCATGGAAGCTTAAAGACAATAATATGGAGGGTTGAAACATCAACCAGTACTGGCCCTCCCCACAAGAGGCTGGAGAAGTGTAGGGAGCCGCCACAATTAGCAACAACACAAAATAGTACACAGGTTGATTATTGGGCAATATTGGGCAAATGCAGAACATGACAGCACCAGCGAGATGGCATCACTGATGCTGTTGCTGCATTTTTTCGCAGGAAGTGGAAGAGATCGGAGAGCAGGCAAAACAGGACAACTGCTGCAGTTGAGCAAGTCCAGCGAGCTGCACACGGGCAACCTCACCCCCGGGCCCCAACTGCTTTGAAGAGTTGAGTTCAATCAGATGGTCCCAACTGCTCACGACACGGGGTTTTCTTTTCTTTTGTGTCACTGTGTCACTGTGGGTCATTTCATGCGTTTTCATGTCCTGCACTTTTGGTGGCGAACGGGTTTGTGTGCCGCAGCGCACGGGCAAGCGACGCGCCGCGCCCGAAAGACTCCCATGGACCCTCTGGAACCCTGGAGAACCGTCCAAAAGCGGAGCCGAGCATCAGAACTCCTGGCTCGAATGCCAATGAGCCAAGAGTCTTGAGGGGGGTACATAAATCTTGCGGCTAATTTTCTGCAAAAAATCGTTGAACATGGATTGCCTGGACCCTTTTGGCTTCCGACGCACCGTTCCATCCGCGACTCACCACGCCCATCCAACACTGTCAGATGTAGTCCGGTTTGCTTCCAGGAGTCCAAAATGGAAGGCACCATCGCAAAACTACATCGAAGCCCGGATGATTGTGGAGAGGCCAATTTTGGCCTCTGACGTAAAGAGTAAGGAAGTGTATAGTGGTCAAGAACCGTCCACAAAATACAAGGAAGGTCTGAAGAAAATGGGTACAGAAGAACCTTTTGGGCGCTTGGCGCTTGAGCAATACCAAAGGAATTACTCGCGACCTGTTTGTAGTGTTTGGTACAAATATTTATCTTCTGAGCCCGCCACTATAAATGCAAGCATCGCCCAAAGTAGCAACTTTCAGGCAGTTCTATGAGATGCAGACAGCTACTTGTGAAGTGTTCGTAGCCAGATCCTTTCAGTGAGGACGGTCTAGCATTGGGGTGGGAATGTGATCGGCTGGCGCAACCTGGGGGTCGGATTCTTTTGCATGGCCCAAGGAATTTGGTCCGCCGTGGAGTTCGTGTATGAAAAGCACAAGGGGAGCGATGTGATGCTTATGCAGCTTGGACTGGGCGGGTTCCACGTCTGTTTCTTTTTGGCCCCGTTTTGGGTGTACATTAAAATCCGGAGATCTTCCAGTACGACCCCCTGGAAGAAGCGATACAGACCAAAAACCATTGGGCATCATTGGGCCACGGCCATGGGATCTCCCTATTAAAATGCTCCCAGTTGCATGATCCTTTTAAGGTAGACCTCACCTCCAATAACATAGTTCGTATCCATTCGATTTGTTGTTGGTCCATCTTTGGTGGCAGGATCTGGCTGTTGGAGGGGTGGACCAGGTGGACTTTGAGGTGTCCAACATCCCTCCAACAGAGGTTAAGTTAAGTGACCTTATAGGACCCATGGCATAAACGTGACCGGGGTACCTATAGGATAGTCTATAGGGTTCTTCAACCTTTGCTGGTTGTAGTTTCATGTGGTGTCAATATTGTTTCGTAAGCTGGTCTTCAGCTCTCGGTCGTTGCCCCCAACGGGAGAACCCCCCAACTCCAGGGCTCCCGAGAGAAACTTCAAGGCTTTGAAGGTTGTATTTTCACCTTGTGATACAGTGGTCTCAGAGTAGATGGCGCAGACCCCATGATTCAAAGATGTCCTCTAGATGGGGGTCCATACAAACCACCTCTTGGGGGTTGTTCCATCTAGTCTTTGGAAAGAGCCTGTTTTCTAAATTTAAAATAGCAGTCAAAAAAGTCAATCCCAAAAGTCACAGTCAAAAAGAAGTCAAATCAGAAAATTTCAGAAAGTCAAAAAAGTCAATTTGCCCAGATCCGACTTTTTTTAGACTGATTTTTTTTTGACTTTTTTTTGACGTTTTTATGTTGTGTTTTCGACTTGTTAGTTGATTGTTGTTCTCGACTTGTTTTTGACTTTTTCGAGTTGTTTTTTGATTTTGTTTTTGACTTTTTGTTTGACTTCTTTTTCCGATTTTTTTTTGACTTGTTTTTGTCCTTTTCGAGCTGTGGTCTATGGTTGATTTTGTTTGTTTTTACTGTTTTTTGACTGTTCAATTTGATGTTTTTTGACTTTGACTTTTCCAGTTGGCTTGTTTTGATTTTTTTCGACTTTTTTGTTTAAATCAAGGATTCTGGCCTTACCATTTGAACGTTTTTTCAAAATAAATCTACTCTCAATCCACTATAAGAGGTTTGAACAATGTTTAGAGTCTGGATTTTTTGGATCAATCATGATCAATCATAGTTCAAACGGTGGTGCATGATCGCAAATAGGGCCACTGCAACAGGCAGCCGAACACTAATAAGGCTGCAATAGGGCGACAGTATGGGCAAGCCATGGCAAGCCTGGTTAGGCAAAGAAGAATCAGACTTGCACAGCTACAGTATGTCAGCCTAACCCTCCCCCCCGGAAAAAAAGAAAAAAAAGAAAGATCCCAAACGGACTTTCCTGAGAAGTTTTGGTCCGTTTTCGCCTCCACTATGTCCCTTGGAGCCTTGGCTCGAGCCACCTTCAAATGCCCCTGCAGGAGTCGCACCGCTCAGAACGAGATGGTGAACCCCCCCAAAACGAGAGGTGTTTCCTCACCGGAAGGGTCTCCATGCCGGTTTTCGCGTTTTCGCGGCGCGGAGAGGCCGAGTGGCGACTCCATGCCGGAAGGGGTTTCCGAAAAAAGATCCCTCCATGTCTCGTTTGCTTGACCATCTCTGACCCACGAACATCCAAGAGTTGAAGGACCCAGACTGGGTCCAGACACTTAACCTCTGGATGGAATGGAATCCGGACAGTTGGGCCCCCGGGTAGCGACCATGTGGCGAAGGGCCAATTGGATGGGCACTCCGATCCACGAGGACTGTTGGTTCTTTCAACCTAGTCCACGGAGACTTGCAACCATGTGTTGGTCCTGACAGGATCAGACCTGCACAGCAGGTGCTACTTTGTATAGGAATTGGGTTGCCCAAGATGTTCCAACATCCTTTTTTGGGAGCACGACTGTAAGATACTGTAAGTACAGCCAGCAGGCTGTGCGGTTCCAGGCATGGAAGTGAAGAACAACGACTATAAGGCCCACAAGACTCGAACGGCCTTATTCCCAACTGTGATTTCTAGTGATTTCTATAAGGCTGTGCCAAAGCTCTGGAAGGTCTTTGGAAGGTCTTTGGAAGAGCCACCACTTCAGGGAGGGCAATGCTCCAACTACCTCCTGAGAAGATGGTTATGGTGGGTGCCATGGGGGTGCAACAAGGTTGGAGCCTTAGGGAGTTGTTATAGTGCTGTGTTGCTTTTTGCTTGAGGCATCTGAAGGATGAAGATGTGGAGACCCTGGAGGAGACATCCCAGTTTTTCCCAGTCATTGACTGGCGCCCGGGCTTGGAGAGAAGCATCCGGAGCTGGGGGTGATCCAAATTCATCCAAATGCCCTTCAGTTCAGCAAAGGAGCTGAAAGAAGATTCCCTAACCACTTGCCAGATAAGGAACATAAAGGAGCCAGGTTTCTAGCTTTGCTTTTTTAGTCTTTCCAACTTTCCTACTACTTGGCCTTGCTCGAAATGCTGCAATGCAAACAGGCACCCACAAAGACAGACTTCGATTACAGCCAAAGACCCTCAAGAGCTAGAGACACGCAACAAACCAATGAACTCTGTGATCGACAGCACTGCCGTGCCGTGCCCTGCCCCTGCGGACGGAGACGAGTCGGCTTCGTCGAACACGCAGGAGAACCAGGTGCAAGTGCAGAACATGTTTGCCTCGCGCTTTTTGTCCACTTTCGAGGCAGAGCAGATGCGGGTCGACACGAGTCGCGTTGCCGATTCATATCAGCAGGTCGAGTCCAGTCCGTGCGATGTCCGATGTGATGCGAGCAGATGGTCCCGGCCCACTTTGAAAGGGTCCATGTCACGGTGCGCTTACTCCCACGGCGGGGGAGTGTCTTTGGGATCTATGATGATCTATGGCACTAAAGTGAGAGCTTGGTTTTGACTCCTGCCATTCTATTAGGAACCGGTCTTCCCCTACATTGTAGGGGACGGGCAAATTCATCATAAGTAGATGTCAAGTCCACCAGTGGTGGTATGACAAAGGCAAGCTTTGTCCTTTGATTGTGCTTGTTTTGCACCGCAACCACACTGGAACATACTGGAACCATGGAATGTGAATCGAGCTTGCCGAAATGGCACTCACCTAGTCACTCACCTGTTAGATCCTTTTGGATCCTTTTGGCTTAATTTATGCATAGAAACAACCTCTGATGCAGGAATGAATGCACGCGATTGCACGCTACTCTCTAGGTTTGGAATGGTTTGGATATAGACGCCGTGTGCTTTCCAGGGAAGACCGGAACTTTTGGCAAAGATCATGTGAACATGGGGGGCAGCCTAAAGACAATCATGCACAAGGATCACGGATCCAATCAAATGCCAATTCTTTGGCCTGGCCTTGTCCACGATCGGCCTTTTGCTTCATGGCCAGCTGGCTAGATGACGGAATTGGCCATAAAAGTAGGTCCACTTTCGCCCCCCAGGGCGTCTCTTTGGCTGCCAGGAACAGGTTCTGTTCTGGCAGAAGACCTTGGCCTCCATCAGTGGCTCGATCGCACCAGTTGGGCGATGGCTGCGACTTTGGTGGCCTGGGAGTTGGTTCTCCAACAGCAGCCGCAGTGCCTGTCTAGGTCTAGACAGTCATCGTTGGAAATCCGGGGTCCATGGGACCTTTTTGGAGAAGATTCTTGCAACCATCGGAGAGATCATGAAGAACCTTGGTTTCGACTTTGTTGGATTTGATGGGTCGATTGCTACAAAGCAGGTTCGTGCTCCCTTTGTGCGTCCCACGAGCGCCCGAAAATGGGCCGAGCACCAAAGGGGGCTGTCGGTTCTTTTCTCGAAGAAAGGGATGTTATAGTACCGTGCTGTATTTTGGAAGAAATGATCTGCACCAAGAAGTGCCCGATCTTCCATTTGATGTGGGGTCGGAAAAGATGGATCTTCCATTCAATAAATTGCCTTAATATCTTCCAAAATACAGCACCGTACTATAAATCTAAAGAGGGATTTGTGTGATGTTTGTGAGGCTTCCTTTGTTGTTCTTCATGTGTGTGTGTGTGTGAGGGGAGGTGGGTGCACGCGAACTGATATGACATGAGAACGACCAAAGTCACATCGGGCAGTGAACGGATAGGATTCCTGTGACAGATGTAGCACCGCATGACCACACCTTCCTCGAAAGCAGGTGCATGTATATCATAATTATCCCCCTACCACAGGCCTGCAGGGCTGCCATGGCACCCAGACACTCCATGTATAGCAAATACATGCTGATCTGCAAATATGCCATTGACCCCAGGCCCACCACCCCTGTTTGTTTGTAAATATGCCAGTCCCAGTTTCGTCCGGGCTTCGCTCACGTTCACACATTCGGTCTTTGGACGCGCGGTGAAAACCGGGGGAGCTCCCGGAGGTGAGACGTCAAGCTTGCTCAGTGAAGTGATTCGGACCTGGGTCTTTCTGGAGAATCTCTTCATCCACTCGGAGGACGTGGTGGTGGTGGTGGTGGTGGTGGGCGCGTGCGCGTGTGCGATGCTGGGGAGGGGACAGGAAGGTCAGAGTTGGCGACGTTGTTGGGCAACGTGGTTTGGGGGGGGACAGGAAGGTGATGCTGAGTTGTTTTTAAAGATGATCCCTTTGGGCATCATGCCTATGTTCCTTAATTTCGTTGGTGGCTGCGGATCTCCATCAAGATCGGATTTGTCAGCTTAGTGACATGTAACATGCATACCTGCGTCCTCAAACATATGCCACATTATTGTTTCATATTATATATATATTGCTTCCCATGAAAATGGTTTTGGGACAAAGGTCACTTTCTTGGTTCGTTACTGCTTTTTGCTTTTGCCACAAAGTGAGCAGGAAAGAGATCTTCAAGTGGCACATCATCTCGCACGAAACCCTGCAAAAACAACCCAAAGATGGTGCAAACAATCAGTATGTACAAGTGCACATGTTTAAAGGGGATGTGTTTTACGAAACAACACTTTTTAGGCAGGCCAAACCACAATGAAACAGATGCACCAGGGTGGCGTAGGCATAGGTGTGGATTGGAATGGGGACACCCCAACCAAAAATACCCTTCCCTTCCACCAGAACAGGTTTTCTAATATATGTGGTGTAATGTTCAATTTGTGTGTGTGTGTGATGTGTTTCTTTGTTCCCATGCACAGTGTTACCTTACTTCTTCATTGCACCCCTTGTTTGCCTTGGGTCGCTCAGGCTATGGCCAAACGCAAAATATACTTTTTCTCGTACCTGCTAACATGTGACCATCCACATCACAACATGATCATCGGCATCACAACATCAACATTGTCATCGATGAGTCGTAGCACATTGAAAAATCAAAACATCGCTAGCTGCTCAGTCGTAGACATCGACGCAACGACCTGAGTTTTTGCAATTTTTTTGGGGGGGCGTGCTGACCTGACCGTCGTAACTGCAAGCAGAAAATGACTAGGCAGTTACCAACCCATGTGAAAAATGGTGTATTTGCTACACGCTATGATGAGTTTCTTGTCCTAAAGTGACAACCCTTCCAGTGTTTTTTTCTCTTGGCATCCTCAATGGTGCAAATTGGCTCAGGCTTCGCATAATGCGGCCGTTACCCTTGGTCTAAGTGGTATACGCTATGCGCGTCATCGCACCCCAGGAGGTGAAGAAGGAGCTACCCGACGAGACCGAACGCTTCATGGACATTGACGAGGCCACCGCGCGCGGACGCGGACGGGCTTCTGCATGGGTGGAGCAAAACCAGGCGGATGAAATAGAACACGAGTACCTATTAGGGGGGCCGTTTTTTTTTTTTAATAGGTGGACCGGATTTGAACACAACAACGTTGTTTGGTATTTCCCAGTGTTCCCAGTGTTTGGTGACAACGTCAAGAAAACACAATCATCTTCAGGTGGTGGAACAGATGAACCATACATGTTTCATGGTGTGTAGTGGCACACGTTCCAGGAACAGGTACTACTACGTAGTAACAAACCAACAGCACGAGGTACAATGTCGTATGGTCCTAGCACTTTAGCGATTTCATGAAACATGTCAATGTTTGGTCTGGAAACGTGCAGCAAGTCCGGTTGGAGGTCCCCGAGACCCGAATTCTACGACTCCAGTCCCTCACCCTCCGACTCACTAACATTGTAAGGGGATGGCATGAACCTTGGATGACTCCTGGTATTGCTGGTCCCCGGATGTGTTGCTAAAACTTTACTGGCTTACAGTACTCACAATGGTGGGAACCCACTCCATGTCGTTCGTGCCATTTCTGTGCCAAGCCATCTCGTCTCCCAAAACAGTCGACGCACGTCCTCCGTCCGCGTCTTCGTCCTCGCGGCTCGAGGATGTGAAGGCCCTCCTAGCAAGGGGCTATGAAGCCCGCTTCGCCAAGCAGTTCTGTTGTGAGCCCAGCGACTGGGACGGGACATACCGCACCCGATCTTTGCGGACGACCGGCTGTTTGGAGACCCGGGAACCGACCGGGGGAAGGAATGCCTGGCCCTGAACCTGTGTGCGACCGTGAGAACGGTCATTGCGGTCCCGCACCTGTGTGCTGGCCGTGATGGGACCCTGCCTAGGAAAAGTTGATGTTCCGAACCTAAGACTTGTTTTGGGGATGGACTTTTTCTCGACGATTGGAGACACCCCACTCTGATGCCAACAGGTGGAAACAGGTCTGACTCTTTTCAGATGAACTGATGTTTTTTCTCACAGTCAGGGTCATCCTGTTGAGCATGTCAGCAATGGCAATTCACTTGTGGGGTCGTTTTGAACGTCTCCCAATGCCTCCCACAACGCCGAGTGCTGAGTGAAGCAAGCTCCGTGGTGGGGGCGGCCTTGGCCGGCCTTGGCCCCCCAAGTCATCAGCAGAATGACACAGCCCCTGGCACCCTGGTTGCCTGAAAATGAACCGATTCTCCCGGAATGTCAACCTTTCATGGTTTGTGGAGTGAGGTTTGACCCAAATGCAAATTATCCAAAGACATCCTATGACCATGTTCTTTTTGGGGGGCAACACCTGATATCAACGACTTGGGGATTGAGCCGTTCGAGTCTGCTGGGGTGCACACGTGGGGATTTTTCGAGTTTCGGTCTCCTTGGGCAAGGATGCGGATGCAGGACTTGGCGTTCGGAAGAAATCATTCACCTTGTCAGACCCTTCTTCACACCGTCAAGTCAAGGCAAGCCATAACGACCTCAGAAGCATCTCATGCTGCCCTTTCAGCCATGCATCGCCCCACTCCCAGCCTGGTGCTGGCTGGGGGACCGATGTGCGTTCCGAAGAAGCTAAGGTATCTATCGGATCTTGGCGCCTCGGCCGGTTAGTATCATCCGCGGGATGATCCATGAGAAGATACCATCATCCTTAGTAGGAGGTAAAAAAAAAGATGTGAACAGAGAGGCTGCTCAAGCAGAAAGTAACCCAGACTTTGAGTTTCGGGATGTTTCGGGATTGGGTAAATGGTCGAAGTATGACTGACATTGTCACGTCCATTTCAAGCGGTCCCAGTTAGGAATTGGAGGGTCGAACAACGATGGCGGAACCTTTCGGCATGTGTTTTAGCAGTGGCCTATGAAACCTCGACAGCTCATCATGATGAATCCAGTGGTGACTTCGGACTTGCATGTTGCAAGGGTGTTATGCTGGCAAGCCAGCATGGCCATCTCTGAAGCAGGATTTCTTGACCAAGTCTGTGATTTCGCTTTCATGGGATGGAGAAATGGAAGTAGACATGTGTAAACATATGTTGACATGATGGGTAAAGAAAGCTTGAGCCAAACTTTCTGGATACCTACGCAAATGGCTTGGTGTATTGTGGTGTGCTTCTTTTTCAAGCTTACGAGTGCTTTCTTACGTCAGGTGCCAAGTGGCTCCACAGTCCTTATTTAACCTGGCATATTATTTTTTGACATTCTTGCGGGGACCCTGCTCGTGAGGTTTACTTCTCATTACTTGCCTTCATGTGCACCAATTGCTTAGGAGAAGACTCAACAACAGCTCCTGATGTGCGAAAAGGCCTTGAATGAGTTTATGGATGGCAAACGCCAGGCGCCTGGCGCAAGGTGATATCTTTGATTAGCGCAGGTGCCGGGACCTGTGAGGGAAGTAATATGATGTGACCCATGTTCACCTGTTGGTGCCTTTCGTACCATGGAAATCTCCCCCTACACAACAAGCCAGCTGCTAAGTTTGGTATCTTCATGTTCCTTCTAGGCTGATTGCGCTCTCTGATTTTGCTGAATTTAAGTCGGATGTGTTGCCATCCAATTTGATGCAACCAGCGGCTTTCGAACGAAGGGGCGTGCCTATGCCTGACCTCGGGAGTCCTAAGACTAGTTGAAACATGGTCTGAGGAAGACCTGAACAGGAAGTTCCTTTGCTTGTGAGGTGGGGCCAAATGCCTTAATACCGTTTTAGACGGTTTCGTCATGTTTCATCATGCCTTCCCTGAAGTGTGCCGTAGTTCCTGCGTTTCCCATCCGAACTTGCCGATGTCCGGGCCTCAACGAGGCCTTTCCACGGTTCTATTTCATGTCCTCGGCGGATCTTCTGGATGTCCTCAGCAACGGCAACAATCCCGCGCGTGTGGTGCACCACTTCCCCAAGTTCTTCAACGCCATTGAAACTTGGTTGAACTTATTTTCACATGAACTCGACCCCAATGCATGAAATGAGTGCTTGGATTACAGTCTAATCAGGGTTTGGATTAACTTGAAACTTTATACATATTTGTAAATTGGTCCGTGCTATTGCAATCTTGGTTGGCAGTTGGCATGGATTACACGCACCTGTTGATTTCCAGATCTAGTTCCTTGGCATGTTTCCTCCACACAGGCTATTTGTGATTTCCATTTGCTTGATCAGGGCGATCTCGTCAAATCGAGATAGTCCACTTATGGATCCCCCCCAAAAGGGGCAGGGGCGCCACTCAACGTCCGATGGCCCGTCGGCATGAAACCTTTAGATGGTGGTTCTTGAAAGATCTTGAAAGATCCTTCTTTTGGGAACCCGTCAAAAAGTCCACCAAACGCTGCTCCAGACCTAGACTTATATAGCCGCAAGTGTTGTTTGGACACACCTGGGCCTACCTGGGCATTTTTAAAGCAAAGCCAACGCTTATTTTGGCGAGGGCCCAGGAGGGCGCTTTGGGTGGTGTCGGTCTCCCTGAAGGAGGAGAATTGCAGAAACCAACAGGAATCCAACAGGATTACTGCGACAAGACGGGGATGGAACATGGCCCTGGCAACCGATTTTTACTCCTACAAGCAGGTGATGGCGTACCTCTATGCTCTTCTGTTGATCAGTCTCAGTGCCCAAAAGTGAAGATGAGCATTTCAACACATGTCCAAGTACGTGTCTCAAGCGCTGACCGCGGGCTCCAAGGAGAAGTACGACCTGGAGTTCCCAGATGGACCCACGTCCCGGCCCTATGCCAGTGGCTTACATGCGGCCATTGGCAAGGAGTATGTGCCCTTCTTCGAGGCATGTGCGAAGAGTCGCCGAGAACGCCCGGTCGTCCGCGGCTCGGAGTGGTTCCCCTGAAACGATGGGACCAACCGTGAGGTTGGGGCCATTCCCATGTCATCCCTCTGACTCAGACCCCTATGGACGCAACTTTTTATGAGTTCTTTTTCTTGTTGACCCTGACCAATGCCTTCATGTCGACCATTGATGTTCAACGTTTCGGACCTCATTGATTGATGCAATCGTAGAGGCATTGCACTTGGTGGGCAAAGTGGAGATGCTTCTTGGATGCAGTGACCGCTATTCGAGACAACCAATGATTGGCCCATGACCTGGGTAACGAGATCCATGGCTGGCCACCCTCGTTTCCCCCTTGGCTGAGCGGTTTGGATTGGCTGCATCAATATTACTCTATATATATAATGTATGATTTATAACGTAATGTATGCTTTCTTATTTGTATACCTCCAAAAGTAAGGATATATATATATATATACCATAAGTGTATAATATAATACATATATATATATATACACATATTTATGCACATGACATAGATTCGATGATTCCTGATGGCTCTTTCTTGCTTTAAGGCGGGCGCCTCCAGCCAAGCATTGACAGTTCTTGAACAACATGGGAGACCAGGATCACACAGCAGGGAGTTGAGGCCAACTCAGTGCAAATTCCATGACATGACCATGCCTTGGGCTACCCCCACACCCAGCAATCCGTGCTAGTCTCTTCACTATCCTTTGGTCCATCGGTATGTAGGTATCCCAAGAGCAACTCGACACGACAGGAACTCACCAGACGTTGGCTGGGACACTGACCTGTGCTCACACCAGCCAAGCGGCTGGCCCCCTCATCTGAACTCAAGACACCGGTTTCCCACCCCCCAAATGATTTCATCGAGCTTTACCGTCCTTTTGCCAGCGTCACAGCGGCACTTCAAGCACAAGATGAATAGCACTCAGGGCGATTCATGCATGATCACCAGTCAGTGGAGTTGTATACACCATGCTGCCACGCACGCAAAAGCTCTACCAAGGCGCCCCTTTCCCTCTTCCTAAAAAAATGAAAACACGGCCAATCCGCTAGAGCCACCGGTTCCCGACAGCCGGCTCCCCTCGCTGCGGAGCGAGGCTCCCCTCCCCCCCAGGTACTTGGAGCGATGCATCGAAACCTTCCGCACCACCTTGCGGCACTTCGCCCTCAACGACCTGCGGAGCTACGCGGAAAACGACTGCCAGGCAGGTCGACCGGCAGGGAAGCCTGGTCTCACTTCACACACGGGGGTGTGGCACCGGTGGGGGGTCAGTTGGTGATGAAAGCCCGCTTCAGAGCTGGGCTTCTCTTTTGGGTGCTTCGCGGTTGTACAAGCTCTTGAGCGTCGGGACGGGTTTACTCAGTGGGTTTGAAGGTCGGATGACGCCACAGCCAGCATTCTGTCACAGTTGGCTAAGAGGTTTCCTGCTTTTGACTTAGGTTGTGACTGTTGCACAGCAATATCAAACCAGTTAGCCAACCCTATCGTGCTAACATATAACCTTGTGTTGCCCTGATTCTGTAAAGCCGAGTTCTTTCTGAAAGTTGTTTTTCCTCAGCATGCGAACTACTGCTCACGCGCATTCATTCCAGCGTCCTTCCGGCGCGCATTCGTCGGGGGGGTCCCTTTGGTCGCATGCGGCTGCGGCGGAGGTGGATGGACCTGCACGAGGCAAGTGGCTCTTGGGGGTCAAGGCAGCACAAGGTGCTTTGCTCGTGCAGCTGCTCGTGCAGCTGTGGAGGACGTTTGGGAGGTCTGAATTTTGCGGGTGGACTGAACGCGGAAAGGAAAAAAGCAACAGAAAAGAACGGACAAGACAACATGTGGGTGGGGCACCGCTAGAAAGTGGAGTAAGACTGAATTGACATGTCTTAAACGTATTTGGATATGACTGTCACTGAGGTTTCTCGAGGGGCCCCAGCTCTAGGGGCCAAGCCTGCCAAGCCTGTGTTTGAAGTGCTGCAGGGCCATTCGCACGTTCTTTTTATTCTCAGCTAACTCCTAATTGGCTGGTTGAAGTCTAATTTTTGAACTTTAAAGGTTGTTCCTGTTTGATCCGTTGGTGTTTGTCCACAGGTTTCCTGCCAAAAAGCACCCACCCAAGTGCTAGTCTTGGACCCAAGCATACAAGAGTTTATTTACCTGGAAGTTAATTTCTTCCGAAACCTTGGGAAACCTACTCTCCCAGTTGCAATCCCAAGACAATCATCAGTAGATAACTTTGTCAACATCGTCCAAAGAGGAAGGCGATTCATTTTGGATGTATTTTTTCTACTCGAACAAGCTGCATGAGAACATGAAAAAGCCTTCAACTTTCAACAGTGCCACAAAACACTCCCTCCCTGAACCTGGAGCCACAGCAATGGATGTGAAAAGTCCACATAAGGAGTGGTCTTTTGGGCTTCACCATGGACTGGACTCCCCTTTTGGGGCTTCCCCCCGTTGGGGGCGCCCAACTGAGGCTCATCACCTGGGTTCAGTTGGTGGAGTCCGCCTTCCAGGCGGAGCCAGCACAGCTTTTGCGAGTGTGTCATCGACATAGCTTGGATTGTACTCGTTCGTTTGGCAAAACACCGTGTAACCATTGGTAACCGGTAACCACTCGACGGTCATTCGCCTGCATCTACAGCTTGAGGATCATGCGTGGGGGGGTGGAAGGGGGGAACAAGGGGGGAACACGAACATCGTGAAGCAAGAAAGGGGGGAGGAGCGAAAAAGAGATGCCGAATCTTCAACAGATAGAATGCGCTCCGCTGTGGGCCCTATTAGTATTGATTAGTCATTAGTCCTCCACTCATTGAGGGTCACACCTTGTCGCCCACACAGGATGCACCCAGACAATAATTGAACCTAATGTGAATCTTCTAATAGGTTGGACATCAGCTGGGTGATTAAATTAGTTTGTATTGACAAGTCGTGAGAGTTCGGTTGGACATCAGCTGGGGCCACTTTAACAGGCCTTTACGGATTCCAACTCCAAATCTACCATTTGAGTTTGCGTGCAAGCTCCCCATTCTTCACCGTCGGAATTCTTGGCTTAAAACCCCAGGAGTTCCATTTCATGCAAGAGTAGATGGCACTTTAGAAGATGTCTTTAGATAGGAGGTCCACATGGCTGTGGACTACTAAGGAGCTCAACCTAGCAGGGTTTGGGGCTCTTTGCGGCTGGTTTTGAGCCAGATAGGGGCTCCGAGAACTTGGGGCTTGTGCCATCTCTCAATCCACTCTATATCCGTTCACCACTTCTGGGTCCAAGTTTCGCTGCTTTTGATCGCTGAACTTTGTTCGGTTTGGTTCGCGCGTCGAAGGGCGGCGAAAGAAAGCGAACTTTGCCTAGGAATTGGTGTCCCAAGCTCTGAACTGGTGAAAAGTTCGGTTCGGCTTTACATTTCGGACACTGAGGGTGCAGGTTTAAGAGGAAGCTGATGTCAGGGATGACACTCCTAGAAGACGCAACAACAAGCCAGTGGCCTTTGATGGCCTGACAGTTCTAACTTAGATCCTTTTTTTGGTGGGATTTCTAAGGGAATTTCTGCGAATGGGAGCCTTTTTGGGCGAACAAAACCACCGAACTGCGGGAGTGTGCCATCTGAAACCATGTTATGATATTATGTGTCTAGATACAATATATTAACTCTCTCTCTGTATGATGTATGTATGTATAATATATATATATATATGTGCCTACATAAAAACGTCAAATATATGCAAATAATTGTTATTGTATAATGTATATACACACATATGTATCTATCTACACTCCTTTTAGGCAGCTTTTGCTTGTGTGCTGCGACTCACGTGGCCGTGTTTTTTGCCGTGAACGGCGGTTCGCGGCGAGTGTTCCAGGCGGCGGTGGTCTCGGAAGATGAGGCGATCCTGGACGAGCAAGATGGGCAGAAGAAGGCAGCATGTGTGTGTGTGTGCGTGCGTGTTTATGTTTTTAAACGACGTGAAGCGAGTCAGGAGTCTTTTTATTATAGATGCGACTAGACTAGTCACTCTATACTATAATCACATGTTGAACTGTTTTGTTTCTATCCTCCTGAGGTAAGTTCCGGGTGTAGAGGTCCTGCTTTGCAGCCTTAAATTATCTTAACTTGAAAAGCTGTATGAAAAACACACATGGAATCTTTGTTCGTTCGAGCTCGAAAAGCCCGTCCAGCCCACATCAATCAAACACAGTCAAGGCTTTCGATGCATCGTTTGGTCGCGTTTGCTTAAGTGGGCCCCGGCCCCCGTCAGGAAGATGTCGGGAAAGTCGGTAAAGGGATTCACAGCTCCGGCTCCAACGCGTTGTTTCCATGTTTGATCTACAACCCTCATTGGCTCGAACCATCTCGAACCACACCAGAATCCATCAGAAAGAAGATGAAGTATCAGGAATACCATGGAAGACATCTTCAATCATATTCCTATTAGTGTGATCCATTGCCAATATTGGTGACCTCTTGGAAGCAGCTGGCAACATTTCCTAACCATGCCAAGTCAGTCCAACCACCGAAGGCCAATTTTGTTCCAGACGCACAGTCAGGTGGAGGAGGCCTGGCGTCGCCAACAAGAGCTCCTCCTGGACCTCATCCGCCTCACACAAACCGACCTGGACAAGCCGGCCCGACAGAAGGCGCTTTCTGCCGCAGGTCAGTCAGAAGGAAGAACTCAGCAGATCAATAATATTATTTAAGCAACCGATTAACAGACAATTCTAGCCTGTTGTAGTGGAGGATGGACGCCGACTGAAAACATGTTGGCCGGAAGAAGGAGCATAGAGAAAGGAACAGAGAGAGAGAGAGAGAGGGGGGGCACTGAGGTGATGTGTGCCATCACCCTGGATGCGCACAACCGGGACGTACAGGAGCGATTGGTTCGAGACAAGGTCACTTCGGCGGACGCCTTCCAATGGCAAAGCATGCTGAAGAGCTATTGGATCCTGGATGAAGAACATGAAGCAAATGCGCAGATGCACCTATGACCAAAAGATACTAAAAGTGTGCCAAGAAATGGAAGCAGATTGTTGAAACCATGTTTGAACTAGAAGCTTTATTTAATTATGGTTCTTGCTCACGGACCTGTTAGTGACTAGTGCGATAGAGGCAATATGCGCGCCACCGTGGCAGCCATGTGTTTTCTCCTTCCTTCTCCGGGCGCTGAGGCAGATTTGCGATGCACGCATTTGGTATGCCTACGAATATCTGGGGAACGGACCTCGCCTAGCGGCCCGGCTTTGAAGTTTTTGACGGAAGCCCACCACCACTCCCTGGCTACAGGAACGCCATGCTGATTGACAAAGGTCCAATTTGTACCGACAAGATGTCGTTGGGGCCAAGCATCCCTATGGTGTCGACATCGGCACCCATGTGGACATTGGAAGGGGCTCCTTTTCTTTGATTCACCACTCGTGTTTGGTGATGTTTGGAGCCTGAAACAGGATGTACTGCTTGACTATCGCTCGGGGTGCAGCAACTCTCCAAGGGTCCTGCACAAAAGGAAAGAGATGGAAAGAGTGACCGGGTGAAACTCATCTCATTGGGACCAGGACCCCTCGAAGACTCGGTGTTTCTTTGCCACTTCGGTGCCCGGAAAACCACGGGCATGTCCGGAATCCAAGGGTGCTGGGGGGGGGAGATGCCCTTCGACCCTTTTTGGTTCCGAAGTGTTTCGTTGAAACGACCGGGCCCTGCACCTCCGGCCTGAAACCGTTTCAGGTCGTAACTCCCTTAACGGACCGGATCTATGTCACTGCCACCCAAGCACTGCACCTGCACATGGGCTGCGCCCCTGCGGGGCCTGCGGGCACGGGTAAGACGGAGAGTACCAAGGAGTGCGGCGTGCGGGCCGGACGCGACCTGGGGGAGTTGGTTCGCAAGTGGGAGAAGGTGTCATGGCATAGTTTCCCTTAGTCGTGGACTGCTCACTTAGTCACCGCGCAGCAACTGCGTGGTGACTTCAAACTTGGACTGACTTGGCTAGTTGCAGCATGTTGCACTTTCCTGAAGTGTATCAACCCCAGACACTCTATGTATGCCATATATATATATGCTAACATTGGGATGGTTTTGGGGGGAGTGTTTGGGATATGATGAAACGGAATTCGCCGAAGTCACCAGAGTCACCGGCGAGGATTTGGCCAACGCTTTGGCACGTGCCTGCTACGTTGCTCGTCGATGTGGGATCCATGGAGGAGTCGAAAAGGTAATGCGATGAGAAGCACAGGATCTCAGGATACATCAGGATATATCAGGATACTATACCGTATGATACCGTATGGGTGTCATTCTTCTCCTTGCAACACTCATGGAAGTGGACAACCACCTGTTTGGTGGAGGAAACTAGTTTTCCAGCATGCCACGCACTCCACGCTTCGATTGTTTTTTTTGGGAGAAGATATCGTCACCTTCCGGCGTCCCACTGTGGCGAAGCTTGGCAGGGCGCTGGTTGGTTGGATCATTTTCCATCCTTTTCCCAGTGAATCCAGTGGCCGGTTGCAACAGTAGTTCGCCAGGTGATCGAAGATGGTTTCAGCGCGAGACAGATGACATTTTCGGCCCACGGAAACGCGCGTGCAAGGTGATCAACGCAGCCCCTGAGATGGACTACCTCACCCTGGGAGTTTTGGCGAACATGGCGTCGAAAACGAACCGTGGGAACACCGACTTGGCCAAGTCACCAGTGGTTTCTTGATGTTTCTTGTGCTATTGCTTTGCAAGGCGGAATCTTCAAACCTTCAGAACCTGGTAAGATCCAAAGTAGTCCTTTTCTTGGACCAGCCTTTCTTAGTCTCGACATTTTGACGGGTCACAACGTTGGGATGGGGCCATTGTGGGGTCCCGACCGGGGGAGATGGCCTTTAGTCAACGACTGAGCCCCATCAGTGGGCCAAATCTGGTGCCCCCTGGACCAATCACCAGAAAAACTTGGCTTAACTAATGAAAAGGAATTTGTCGGTGCCAACGGCAGGCTCCCAAGGCACTCTTTTCAGGTTGGACAGGTCAAGCATCCATGCATCGACAGCATCCACGGAATGTATACCCTTGGACTAGGGGGATGATTTCGGACACCTTTTTGTATTCTATTTGCTTGAGTGCATTTATTTGATTAAATCCGTGCAGCACCAGTGAGTGCAATGTTACGTACCATTATGTACCATTCGCCCCTTGTGGTTGTAAACCCCGTACCTTCCACGGTCAATCCCATGGAACATGCACCTTGGGAATTCATCATCAAGTTTCATCAAATTTCATTGTTTTGTCTTCAGGGCCAGGCTATGCCAGGCTCACATATATAAGTCTCACATAATTGTATAGAAAGCGGTTCGTGTGTGCCTGAAAGAAGGAGAACCCAGAAGAAACCTGCATGAAACTTTGTATGCAACTTTTTGGGGGGCCCTCAACATGCTGGATCAAGTAAGCATCGCAAACATGAGGATTGACAAAAGGGCACTGGTATGTAGAACCCCGTAATATTATGAACTATGATGTGTTTGTTTGTAGGTGCAGTGTGCGCAGTTTACCTCTTAAGTTCGTAAAGCGCAACCCAACTTGTAACTGAAAACCATTCCGCATCTCACTATACCACCCTACTCCCCCCGAACAAGAAAGACACACAAGAGCAGAACAAAAACAGCGCTGTTGGAGGCCTCATCTCATTACCCGATCTCTGAGGGAACATCTTCAAGGGCTTAGCTGCTAGCGGCTCCTGGGGATGTTTCGATGAGTTCAACCGCTTGGTGCCCGAAGTCCTCTCTGTGTGCACGGTGCGGGGCACTTGGGGAAGTTAGAGCCGGAGCGGATCGGGTTCTGGGTGAACTGGAGGAGATTTGCATGGTGTACTGACCCTTATATTTGTAAATATTAGAATGGCTGCAAGTGTAAATTCAATTAGCATCATATATATATATTATATATGTATTGTATATATTATATTCACATATATTCTATACATATTAAATATGTTTGTAAGTGTCCAAGGACCCATATGGTTCCAATGTGTGTTATGCATGTGAGTTGTCGCCGAATCTTCGGGACTGGCTGAATTGCATTGGTGGTCACCTGTTTCGCTGCTGGGCACACGATCCGACCTCCAGACGACATGCCGGGCTGTTTTTGAGAGATTTGAGAAGAGGGGGGCGCATCGTACTGCGCCACCTATAGCGGATGGTGGCGGAACTCAAGAAAGCCTTTGAGCCAGAGTCCCCACCCAAGACATTTAGCACTAAGACGGAGCTGGAGCTGATCGATGTGCCACATCCGACCCTTACAGAACAAGAAACAGGTCGAAACAGGGCTCACTGGATGTCACGAATCTTTCAGCACTTCTTAAGCCGGAGGGTTTGGGCCAGACTTTGGCCCCAATCTTCCTCAAACCCGAAAACAGACGGACTTGAAACTCGGCGCTGCACGAGGGAATGCACCAAAAAAACAACACCCATCTCATACCATCTCCGCTCTCCCCTCGCAATGGCGTCCGCTCTTTGCATGGCACCGGACCACTGTCATACTCGTGGCACCGCCACGGAGGTTCAATTCAAGGCGGTGTGCGATGCCCTGCGCCAGCACGCAGCGCGCTTCATTTTGCAGGGCGATGAGATTCAGCTGGACCGAGGCAGATCGAACATGGTGTTGCTGGACAGGGCGGGCCGGCGGAAGTGGAAGATGCATGAAGTGGATGCGGACCTATCCTCGCTTCGCTGGGAGAAAACACCTAACATGTGAAAGGATATGCAATGCAAGGATTATATGCTTTTCAACCAGTGACCAATGTATATATATATATATATGGGTCCACGTAGATGCGGATTGAAACCACTAATACGATACGTACCCCTCCACTCCACAAGAAGGACTTTGGCCGCACGGCGTGGTTGTTTTGGGTTTGCACCGGCAAGCTGAGAAGGGATTGACTGAGCTGAAAGCCTCCCCATGCTGCAAACAACTGCCGCACAGATCAACTCTCTCAACAGTTTCCTCCATATATCAACTCTCTCTCTCTCTCTATATATATATACCCCCCCAAAAAAAAGGTGTGTATATAACATACATCAATATGTTAAAGATACTGTTTTTCTCTATATGTTATATATGACAAACCAATATGTTAGATATAATTAATAACTATATACACCTGTTACCGCCCGTGCTTCCTGCACCAGACATTGACTTCTATAGAGCCCCGACCGAGCCGGGCGACGACGTCCGCCGCGGCGGAGGTGTGGGGGTCTTCATCACCATGAACCCGGGCTACTTGGGCCGTAGTGAGCTGCCCGAAGGCTTGAAGGCACTCTTCCGGCCCATTACGGTGATGGTGCCCGACTTCATGCTCATCATGGAGAACATGTGGCCTGGCCGACGCGGAGGGCGGAGACAGGGAGGTGGTTCGTTTCGGCCCGCGGGGAGTGGTAAGAGACGGGGGACAGGCGGATAGGGCCGGGGGCGGTTTTTTTGGTTTGAAAGGTGTGCTTTTTGGCTCACCAGGCACTGACAGACCAGCACTGGGAGACCGGGGAGAGGGGCTCAAAAAGAAAGAGCATCCATGGACTTATTGAGATGAACGTGGATTTTCTACGTATTGAGATGCAGTGTGGCTAAAAGTGGGCCATGCTAGGCTGAGGTGGCAGACTTCGGCGCAATCCTAGGCGATGTCGAGTAACATCCAAGCGACCGACCAGCCCAAGCGGCGGCAAGCAGGTGAAGAATGGTGATGACAAAGCCATGACAAGGCACTTATACCCCGGATATATTGCAGTCGCCTCCATCAAAAGGATGTTTGCAATATATAACACTCTTATAACATAAAAGGTGATAACGTTGCTGTTTTCTAGTGGAACATCAACTACACCCGTTCTTTGCCTATTATATTGCCTCCAGTCCCCCCACAGATGCCAATCTGTTGATCTCGCATTCTTTCTCGCAGACCAGCTCGTACAGCTTGCCATGGACACCCAAACCGGCGGGTTCTAGTTCTGAACCCAAAACCGTCCGCTGTTCGCGTCGTCACTTTCACCCCCCAGTTCGGAACGGTCGCACGAACCCCCGCGCTTCTCAGGTTCATGTCCGAGGGCTTCTTAGACGCCAAAAAGTTGGCACTCAAGTTTTCCACCCTCTACGCGCTGAACAAGGACGGTCGTGGCGCGAGCCACTCCGAACCATGCCGGCGAAGCGAGCGCGACTCCATGTACCTTTTTGCGCCTGCCGGCATGCCGCAAAAGGTAGTTCCGGCTCATCAGGTCATGTATGTATATTTTAAGGTTCATGTACTTCACATGTATATGTAATATACGGCTGAGATCTTTGAGCACTCCAGAATACAGAACAGTTAGTAGAACAGTGATATATATATATATATTATAATATATATATATATACTGGACGTGATCACTTGGTTGCATTCAATGGACAAAGATCCCTTTAGTAGAATTTGCACGAATTCGCCATAAACATATGGAGGATTGGCCAAAACCAGGGATGACCACAAATACTTTCCGTTCACGTTTTCCTCCATGGCACATGGGCCAACGTTCTTGAGTTAACTTGAGTGGGCCCCTTGTGCGGAAAGGGGCTGAAGGAAAATCATCTTAGATGGAGAAGAGCCAGTAGACGATTTGTTCATTAATTCACAGACACTCCGTGTGCCATATATATGCCTACATTGGGGTGGTTTTGGGGGTCCATGGGGCCGCAGTCCTATGGCAGTCCCATGTGTCGTGTTTGGGATTGTTGTATTCGCAGTGTGTTTGGTGCTTCGCAGTGTGTTCGACGGCTCGACCAATCCCATGGGCCCCTTGTTGAAAGATGTGGAGCATCCTGGGACCTCCCAGCTGTAACCACCCTGGGCTGTTTTGTCTCGCCGTTTGTTCTTCTCTTGGGGGGTGACTGAGAAGCGCGGGCGCGTCCTCAGCAGATGTGGGGATGGTGGAAGCTTCTCACCATATGGCCGGACTCCATTACGAGAGAGAGAGAGAGATGTCATGTGTGGTTTGGGATGTGGATCTCATGTAGACCCTTGATGAATAAAGCATCCCATATATGAAAAGGTCTTACCGTCCATGTTTGGGAGGTTTGAATCTACATTACCCGGACCCTCCCCCAGAGGCATACTGAAGGACATGTTTCAAACCCATCAGTGAGTGAATCGCAGCGGTCAAGTGGGCGCATCCCATTGGCACAGCTTTGGAGGACCTCTTGTCCAAATCGAACAAGTACGAGTCTCGCCAGAGATCTGATTGGGGTCTAGGAGAACATCTCATCTATGGTTTTACCATTGTTTTCACTCCCTGAAGCAATACCCTGAAAGAGGTTGACGTGGTGATACCTTACACCCGGTCCGGCATGCTAAAGCTTTGCGCTGTTCGGTTCTGACTGGAAGACATGTGGGAACCGTTTGTTGATTTTTAGTTACACTCTGACTCACTAACATATGGAAGTATATAGATGCCACTTCCATGCTAGTGTGCCGGAGTATGATTGGTGTTTGACCAAGTTGTGTATGCCAATTTATTGTTCGAACTTATTCCGGACCCTGGTTGGGCTGATGCGAAGGTTTCCCAGGCTGCACCACCCACAGGCTGCACCGTGTGCCAACAATGAAGTATAGGTCCCCCCAAAAGTTTTGACGTTGCTTGGGTTGGGATGGACCTACCTTGACTGTTTTGTTTAGTGATTGGGATGGATTGATGTCCAAAAAAAGGCGGTTTTGTTGCCAAGGTTGAGTCAGCAGTTTGCATCCCTATTCAAGTCGCCCTTCCCCTTCCAGTCCAATTCATGCAGGGAAGTCCCAAGTTCAGGCGATTTGGAGTCACATGGAACGACTGGATGGCTACCTATGGCTACCTGGAATTTCTAGGAATGATGACTTGGATGAGTGAGAAGGAGCTTTAGATGGCCGAATCCATCTCCGTGCGGGTTTGGGGTGGCGCGTTTTCCGAGGATTGGGGTATGCGTGCCATCAAGTCAGTGCTTGTGGTGGCAGGTGGCTTCAAGCGCGCGGACCCACGCCTTTCCGAGCAGGCGAGGAAAGCTTGGTGGTGAAGAGCCAGGCTGGTCCAAGAAGCCCAGGATAGCAAAGGTACCTGACGCAGAACTACTTAATAAGCTACACGTATAAAAAGATCCAGAACAAGACATAATCCATTTTATTAGCATGGTATTAGCAATAAAGCTTTGAACTGTCAAAATGCTCAACATACATCTATAATCGCCGTAGGCTAGAATCTTCTGGACCAGAAAGGTTATTTGCTGTAGCCTTAGGCTTCTTGGTCTATCTTTCGGTTTGAGATGCACCCCTCAATTACACAAGATGGGCTAGCGGCTAGCCGTTCATTTTTCGGCTGCGGTCCTGACAAGTGAAAAGCATCGACCGAGACACCTATCGGCGTCTTGCCACGACGCCACGACTGATCCGACCCGCCGGTGACAGGTCCAAGGTTCGGTGGCCGATGCTTCCGGTGGATTCCGCCGTTGTCAACGAAGCCGGCAGGCGGTTCTCATGCGATCTTTGCGGGACACCAACGTGGCCAAGATCGAAGGAGAGAGCGTGTTGTGGTCCACAGCGATATGGGTGTCGTAACTTCGGGAGACACCCTGGTTGAATGAGTAGGGATGGTCTATTCTTATCAAACCTTCCAGGGGGTCGTTGCCTGGGAGGTCTCCCTATACTTTAATGCACACCCTTATCGCCATCAACCGAAGATGGTTCAAACATGTTCAAACACGGGAGAGCTAGCTGAAGTTTCCTTATTTTGTGCTTTTTTAAAGATATATATGATGATGCATGCAGCTGTTGGGACTATAGTGGTGACCTCCCAACTGACCTCCGTTTCCACCCGTTGGTCCCTCTCCCCCTTGAAGGGTCCCTCTCCGATGTCTGAAGGGCTCGGGGGGGTCCGGTGCGGAGCCGGAGAAAGGGGCACCAGTTCGACCCAAACGCCGGTGAAAGCCGGTGACTGGGGCTTCAACGCCCAGTCATGCAACATCAGCTGCAGCTACTGAGTTTACTACATGTTAGATCCCACTCTCCTCAGATCTCTTGGTTTTGATGGATCTATAATCGCAGCCATGTGTGTCCAATCTATACTGTATATGACTTTATGCAAAAACAACTTGCTTCAAGCGGTTGGTTCTATATATACTATTATGCAATGGTTCAACAACACAAATTCAACACGTGAAAACACGTCACACGTCCTGCGTGCGTCCTGCCTTGGCATTCAGCTGAAGGAGATGATTTGAAGATCTTCATGGGACTTTTGGCGGACCTTTTCCCAGGAGTCCAGGTCCCCGGCTGAGTTGATCAACGCTTGGCATGTATATCTCTGGACCTTGATGTATGTCTCTCTACGCATATGTATGTATTCACCTGTGCAGAACGAAGGTGTTTATACTTTAGATATAGTAATTAGTCTATATATATATATATATATTATACACACACCAGACACCTACCAGCACCACCCAAAGGGCCCAAAGGGCCGCCATTGGAAGAACAATGCAAAGTCAGTGGGATCTATAAACAAAAGTATGATATATATATATATAACACCCTTTTTGAATAGTGCAGGTGTGTGTTGTCTACTGTAGTTATTTATTTCGATACATTATGAGATATTGTATTCTTGGCACCCTGCCATACTCACGTCCAGTCCACACCCGCTGAGAGCGGGGTCCTGGGCGCCCCTTCTTCATGCAAACAGGTCTCGGATAATCCGCATGGTTCATCATACCCAGACCATCCATGTATGGAATGGTTACTTGCATTTAAAGGGTGATAAATGGGATAAATAGTATGTGTCCACGAGGTTTTGTGATCCTTTCTGGATTCTCCAACATATGTACACCCTGTCTTTATATATATATATATATAAAATATACGCCCCTCCGTTTGATGCAGCTGTTTGACTGAAAGACTTATATTTGACCCACATCCAGTGACTCTTCCTGAATTGTGCAGGTGCCACGAGCGAGGGATACTGAGTTCGAAGAGATTGTGGTGGACACGATGGAAAATGAGCCGCTTGGCCTGGTCTTTTCGTAAGGTTTAGTGGAGCACGAGCCAAGCGATGCCCTTTATTTGTTCGGACGATTGCCTTGCCAGGTACTTTTTGGGCTAGGCCGCCACATGCCATGTCCCCCAAACAAATACAAAAGAGCTATGTCAGCTATGTTGGATTTCAGTTGTATTTCTAGTTCCGGTGCTACGAGGTGGATCAGTCCGTCGTGCCTGCAGGGTGGATCGCTGGCTTTGAACCAAGCGCTGGTTTGAGCAGTACATACACGTTGCATGCAGGTGCTTGCAACTCTTTCCTTTGTGCCCACATGCACGCAAGCGCAACTTCTCAAAAATTGGGTCCAGTGGCCCACTTCAAACGCTCTCAACAAGTCAGTAGGCTCTCGGATGCCTTTGTAAGGGCATGACTTGTCGATTCTACCTGCCTGATGTTCCTGGGTGGCTCAGAATCCCCGCAAGCGCAGAAAAGACGATGTCAGCACTTTTCCCCAGAAATCCGCCCCAAAGTTCACCTCACATGGCCGCCATACTTTGACCCGGATAGAGGTTCGGCTTCACCAATGACCCAGATGGATATTTGCTGCTGCAGCTGGGCAAGAAAACGGTCTACTCTCACCGCCGTTGCGGCACTGAGAGATGGGATTGTTGCAGCGGTTTCTCCCGTGGGCCGTTGCATGCCGTTGCTGTTTGGCTGATCCAACATCAGCTGCCCAGTCTTGACAGATTCATGTGAAAAGGAAACAATATGCATGCAGACAACCTCAGCTGGTGCAAAGCCCTGGGCCATAGGTTGCATCCCACACACACAGACACACAAACACACACATATATATATAGTCATATATACAGAGGTATATGCAGACATATACCCGGGGGTGTATTCTAAAACAGGAGACCTCTCTCTATCACCTACCAGCACCCTCCAACAGGTCTTCTCTGGTGGCTTTTTGAGACTTAAAAGTGGCAGGTGGTGACCTGTTACATCAGCCACTTCTTTTTGTCTCTATCTCTCTGTCTTCAGCTCTGGGTTGTACATAGACCACCTGCCACCTTACCTTGCATTAACATGGAACGCGGAAAACAGCTTATTTGTGGAGAAAAATGGGTGTCCAGTGGACTATTGTTTGCTTCTATGATTAGCTCAGGGAGTGTACCGCACCGCTTGGTGTGCATTGGTGGTCTCTCAGTGCTTTCCTCACCGGTTCAGGAAAATCTCTCAGCTGATCGAATTGCTGGATATTCGCCATTCGGTCTTCCTCATGGGCAATCCTGGAAGCTGCCTGGCTGGAGACACACCTGGGCTCCGGTGTGGGGTCGGTGTTCTGGACTCTCGACACTTGTGGATAGATTGCAGGCAAACAGGTGGGGAAAAGGTCCACAGCTCGTATGTACGGCCACCGCTGGCTGCACACGATTCGTGCAGAATCACGGACCACGGCTGCATGAGCCGGCTGGCCGGCTGGGTGTAATCAAGTGCCGAAGCCACGCGTGTCCACGTAAGAGAAAGAACCTTGGACGTCCACACCCCGGAGCCTCACCAACAGCTCATCATACATACCCGTTCGTTGGAACTTCGTTGTGGGTCCTGGCTAGTGAACTTGGTTGGAGGGCTGGCAACGGGTTCTTAAGGACGGACTGATGAGGGGGAGAGGGTGTTGAAAAGGCCTGCAAACACTCTTTTACATGCTTTATGGTGTCCTGGCACTAGGATTCGGATGTCGCCACCCAACAAATGGGGCTTCTCAAACTCCTCCATGAAGATCCTTTCTTCCAGCCCTTGGCACTTGAGATTGGATCCTGAGCCCTGCGAATGGATCCTCGCAGGGACTCCTCATAGGAAAGTGAATGAAAAAACAATAGTTTGGAGTGCCCCTACTTCTTGCTGCTGTCTTGCAAATGTTTGTTTTATCACACCCGCGTGAGCCTGTTTTCTTTTTTCTCGGACCCCGCGTGAGAGGCTTCAAGTCTTTCCTGTGGAAAGTCCTCAAGAATGCCAAGACGAAGCGGGGCGACAAGACGACGGTGGTGGATTTCAGCCCAAAAGCCATTTCCACCAACGAGCTGTATCTTGGATGGCGCCATACATCTTCTCATGCCGATATATCTACGTACTGCTAAGCTATGAAACAAGAGGTTGAGGAGATGAACTTTAGTGAATTCTGCACATTCTGGAAGAGAAAGAGGGTAGCTCACCGCGATTCTTGCACAGCTATGAACGCTCCGTCATTTTGATTCTTTGATCTAACATGTGCACAAACATGAAGACACACATCTGGGTGCAATTGTCCTAAGCAAACATAGCTGTACATTTGCAGACCCACAACACTGCTCCAATGCAACTCATGTCTAACAGTCTAACTAACAAGCATGGACAGGTACCCTGCGCCTGTGGCCAAACAACCTACGAACCCCTGCAGGAAAGAGCCCCTCGTTCTGGCCAACCCGGGCAACCCTAGGATGTAACTCTTGCTTTGCCGGTTGGTTCCAAACGCGAGCTGGGCGTGACGAGGTATGGCAGCGTGAACATGCACACCCGTGAGTGGAAGGATGGCATTTTGTCCAAGACCATGCGCGACCTGGGGCAGATCCCTGACACGCATCCCAAGTGGATCATGCTGGATGGCGATTTGGACGCCAACTGGATTGAGTCCATGACACTTGCCATGCAAAGGGTGGTGCTTTCGGAGTAACATGGACTGGAGAAACCAATGTCACATTCTACGTTGGATCCCCCAAGATTCTGGGCATTTGCATTTGCATCCAGGGGTCTGCCAGTCGCACCGTCCACCAGGTGCCACCCGCTTTCGTTTCACGAGTTTCCGGCATCCAAACGAACAACCCGGGGCAAACCTGCACACGGAATGTGTTTCTTTTTTGTAAGGGGCAAGTCGTGACCTGTTGCCATTTTCTAAGATTTTTTCTGTATTATATACATATCCCAATCTCCCATCATCCTAGACAGCTTGCCCCCTGACCAAACAGCTTGCTTCCCGGATCTTTTCCGGGCAGGTTGAGAAACGGCTTCTTTCCTAAGAAAAAGACGGAACAAGTGTCAGCACAAAAGCATCAAAAAGCGCCGGGCCGCCTCCAATGCCAAAGCCGCGCCAGCGAGTCGCCGGACTATCATCACCTCCCTGTCCAGGAACAGCGTGATGGATGATAGTCGCTTGCTCACGTTGCCCTCCAATGAGCGAATTCCCTTGAAGCTGCACATGACGCTCGGCTCGGCCCGGCTCGGTCGTTGGTCGGCGGCGAAAGCCACGAGGAAGGTGAAGGTGGTGAACTGGACACCCGTGCGACCGAGACGCCACAAGTTCGTTTGGTGAGTTGCTTCATTCGTTGTTTTTCACCCAGTTATACACTGCATAATGTTGAAACTGTAATATGCACAAATAGGTCAATAGGTACACTCCCGAAAACTAACATAGACCCTGACAATGGTCCCATGGAAGACTATTTTCCTCTACCAACCAGGGGTTTTCAGGTTCCATGTTAGTCTTCCAGGGTGTACTAATATATATATATATATATATACCGATACCCTCGGAGTCAAAGACTACAGAGATTGGCCGGTCAAAATATAGTCTTTGGACTTCTAGGGTGTATACAATATATTGTTATATGTGTAAGACTCAAGACAGAGGCGCCCAGATGTGAGTTGTTTCATCCGTTTTTTCTAAGTTATTGTGCTTTTGAACTCTATTGAAGTCGCAACTGTGCTGGAGTGATGTTCTTTGGAGAAGGAGTGCTTGACTCGTCTCCGGATTCCTCAAGCTGCTTCACTTGTCACAAGGCTCCCCATTTTTGGGCAATCAACATCGAACGGCAAGGGCTCCAAGATGAGATATCGTTGTTCATGTCCGTGCAGCATATGATTCTGACCTGTTTCTTGAGAATGGACCGGTGGTTTCGACCATTTTCCTCACCAACTTCATGGTTTTGGGGTTCCATGTGGTCCGAATAGCAGCGAGTGACTCCCAAAAACCCGATCTGCGAGATGATCGGCGAAGGAAGATGATCTTCGAGATCCGCGACTTAAACTATGCCACCCCGGCCACCGCCACCCGCGCGGGCATCGTGCGGCTTGGTTTGGAGCGCCCAAAACCTGGCAGGTGTGGCTCAAAACCTGTGAAATGACGATTCCTATAGGTCAGGGATGTCAAGCCTGTCAAGCTACCAATGGTTTGTTGGGAGAGGGTTCTTAAATGTTGTTAAGACATATGTGGGTCTTGAAGCGCCATGAGTTTGGTTTCTCATCAAGAGCTGAAGCTCGATGTAGTTTGCACAAGAGTTTCAAAGGCCCACACCTGGCAAGGTACCCCCCCAAGAGAACTCGCAGCGATCAAAGCCTTGCCATGAGGTGTTGGGGGCTTGACCCAAGCCTTCCCATGAGGTGACAAGCCTTTTTTCCAGCAACAGAACTAGAGAAGGACTGTCCTTGTTTTCCACGCCCATTGGTTTCCAATGGCCACTTTTACAATCCAAATAGGACTTATTGAGCGCGAGACCACAAGATCGAAACTCATTCTACTGACGGCTTGATTTTGTTTGACCAAGTCCCAATGGATGCATCCAAGACACCCCACGGCTTGCGCATGCTTGCGCCTTCACAGCCGCTGCTCCAGGTGTATGTCGGACAAAGAAGGGGTCCAATGGCAGTGCTATGTGAAGTCCTGGGTGAAAAAGCTCTCATATTCGGACACTGTCAAGGAGTCCGTTGGCGACGGATGGAACACATACCCATGCTGGAAGTGTTCTTCGTGGATCACCTTGGGGGACCATTGGGGACGCCCCACTCAGATCCGACTGGTGGAAATGGTGGACATCACTGGTGGGAATGGAATGGGGGATGACCCCAGTTTTCCGGCCTGTTTGGCTTCCACACTAGTTCAACACAGATCTTTTGCTGCAACTGCTTTGTTGTTGTTTGTGCTTCACCCCTCTCCCTAACTGCGCCAGGAGCAATTATCCAACTTCTTCCAGAAGTACTGCCCGCCGACCTTGGCCTGGATTCGAGCCTCAGCACCTTAGGTCGTCTTGTCATTTGCCTTTGATGCATCCCCAGGGCTCCACGCCTAGAGTTTCTATGGAGTTTGACAAGATCACATGAGTTTTTTATGCACGCCCCAGATTGAACATATTTTCGCGCGGGGTTGGTGTATGTGTTCTTTATATAGCATATTAAGAAACGTTTCTTTTTCCATCAAATCCCGTGCATCGCTTCGTTTGCCCAGTGGTCCCCACCCAAACTAAAAAGAACTCCCGATCAGCCGACCTGTGTGGTGGCATCAACTGCTCCCCCGACCTGGTTGCTTTGTGTCCGCCCGGCTCAAGTTCCGATATGTTCCATTGGCCATCCATGTAGAGGATCACAAACCATATCCATATGGAATTTGCTAGACAGACAGCTATGGATGCTTCGTTTGCATGTTCCATCTTGGGGTGATGTTCATCGCAAAATGAGCGGTGCCCTGCTGGACTCCGATGACCACATATTATATATACATATATGATGCCATCCGCATGCTTCTTTGCCAGGAAAGACGGCCAAGCTGCAAGTGCCATATGTTGAGATCTCCTTGGTGAGCTCCTTATGCAGCTTGGGATAGCATGGCCTAAGGCATGGCCTAACGATTCAGCGAGTGGATATTTTTACAGTAATTAAAGAGCAGCGCATGTTTTTGTGCCTTTTGCCCCAGAGGCTGGAAGCGTTTACTATATAAATATGTCGTCCGTCGATTTCAAAAGCAAATACTGTACTGCCCGGGATGGTTCAAAATCCCCACATGATGTTTCTTTTGTCAATCCTCAAGATTCAACATTACTTTGAGCTTCGTCCAAGGCAGTTTGTTAGACGCCCGCTTGACCTCTCAGAATTTGGCGTCTCAGCTCGCAAAGTGCGGTCGGATGCGTGGGATGTTAAAGTGATCAAGGAGATACTTGCAGCTAACCTGGTCACCCTGTTGTCCCGAGAGCCAAAACCTCTTAGATTTGGTGCCAACACAAGTTTGCATATTTTGTCAACTGCGGGGGGGAAACAGCGCAACTGTTTACACAGAGGGGCACAGAGAGGAGTATGAAACCGCATCTCATCCAGCTTTCTTCAGACGCCCGGGCTATACTTGCAAGGCGGTCGAAAGTCCTCCTATGATGTTGACGAACACATCACACACTGCCTCGCCTCGAGGCGTACTTCCCAATTCATCCCAGCTCGGCGTCGGTGGTCGCACATCCGGCGCTCGGTCGCAACGCGACCGGGTCCTGAACCAGGAGTCCTTGGAAACCTGGTTTGCCTTCAGCACCATCTTCGCCACGGGCAGTTGTCTGGCAGAGGTGGATGGCGTCGACTACCGGAAGGCCTTCAGCAACTGGTGGAAGACGGAGACACCTGGAGGTGTTATCAGATGGCGAGATGATTCCTTTCAGATCTTTCAGCCAGCCCAAAGGTTGTTCTTCCCATAGGATTGGGGTGTTGTTCGGCCGTTTGGTGGGGATGGCTTGAAGTACAGAGTTGCTTTGGCGGGGGGCCTGTCCAGCAACGATATTGGTTCCTGGAGTGTTTATGGCGCATGATGGCGCACACCCCTAGAGGTGTTTTTGGGTTATTTTTGGATGGGGGTCCAACTCTCAGTGCCATCTGCTCTTAATCCGCTAATTCTAACTAGGTGGAAGCCTGAGACTTCCAGCCACACCTGAGACTTCCAGCCACACACCTCCTAAGATTAAGCTTTTAAGGATGGAACCTGAAGAGACCGGCATCATGTGTTTCATCAGCATGTTCCACGAAAAGGCAAGGGAGAATCTGGTGCATCATGACAGCATTGGTCACCATGCACCAGGTTAATAAGACTCGTTATCAGACTCGTTGCCGACAAATTCCATCCTTACCTGCCAAAAGTTTATTAATACACTCCGGGGGATGGTCGTCAACAGGCAATGTGGGTTGCCACCCTGGCGAACCCAACAGCTTCCTCAGCTTCGAACATGTCTAAGACGGCTCAGCCCATCGCAACCAACGGGTCGAGATGAGAAGATCACCCAGTCTGGCGATCGCCTCGCATGGCCTTTAACCCCCAGTGCTAGTCCAGTTCGACTTCGGTGACTGACTGAAGTACAGGAACATGGAACATGCCTTCGTCACCGTTCGAGTTATCGTTCGAGGCCTCAGACCATCCCAGGGGTCTCCCGAGCCGCGGAGCGTGGTCAGCGCGAACACGGCCGGGGTGCCGAGGATGAAGACGGTGAAGTATCCCACCAAAGGCTTGGTCTTCGACCTCTACGTGCGAGACATGCGGCTGGAGGACAGGAAGACGGTGGGGAGGAGGCTCAGCAGGTTCGGAAACCGTTTTTCATGGTTCGACCTACAGCAGGGGGGATGGGATGTATGGCATATGGATACATTTTTGGTTCAACGAAACGGGCGAGTTGAGGAGTGGAGTCAAGCATAGTCAAGCTATAGGAAACAGGTGGTAAACAGCAGTTGGACGGCAATCTGCTCAGGAGGGATGTTGCTTTAACTATAAAACATTATAAAACCTCCTCATGATCATCGATCCAACGTTTACGGTGAGTATGGCTGATAGCGTGATGCCCCATTACTGTAAGTCATACAACCATGGCAGTAACCATGGCACACATCAACACACTCCCTAGGGCTCCAACCATATCCTCAGAAGGTGGTTAGACCCCCCAATCCCACCCACCCCAACCACCGAACCCGGGATGTAGGCCAGAAGCCCTAAAGACTCATAGGGACTATACCAAGAAAAAGCTTCCAAGGCCCCCCATTTACCGACCTACCGGACACCAGAGAACGTGGCGCCACCACACCCATGGGTGAGCTGCCCCTCTCTCACCCTGCTCCTCTCACCGGCAGGAATGGAGCGGTTTGGTGGAGCCGATCCACTACCGATCCACCACACCCATGGGTGAGATCACCGTCCCCACCACCGAAACCGTTTGCACCTGGGCAGACGCTTCCCGTCGACCGGTGTACCGGAGTCCGGTGTGTGCGGGCGAGGGTCGGTCGAGACGTTGTAGCTCAGTTGACATCTTAACCTTGGGGAGGTCGCAGGGGTTTAGGAGACTTAAACGCCAAGAAAGACCCCGTCCCCATTGGCCTGAATCATCAAAACGCATGTTGATGCATGTTGGATTGGCCGTCCAACTGTGAATCTGAAGCATCCGGGGTACTGTAGGCCTTGGAGCTTCGGATTCTCAATTTCCGACTGAGAAAGCTCTCGCTCCAGTAGAGAGCCAGAGTGTGCTAAAGAGACCACCCAAAAGAACCAACTCACAATCATCCTAATGTGGATGTGTGAGAACAGGGCCCTAGGAGGACTTTCCCATTACGTATTCAACCCCCGTTGAGTGTTCATCTTGCAGAGGGGTCCCCCTACTCCAAAACACACACACGTTTCTCTTGCTCCAGGCAGCTACATACCCCACTGAAAACTAACATGGACCTTGAAAATCAATGAAAACCACTGGTTTCTATTCGCAACATCGTCTTCCACCACCGGTGAATTTTTCTGGTTCCATGGGATCGTGACAGCGGGAGTGGAGCAGTTTTTTGGAACACTGGAGTATCCTGGAGTGAATCTGGGGGCTTTCGCCAGGTCTGGATTACTTCATGAGAGCTTTGATCGAGGTGCAACACCCGGCCGCTTGGTCCTCCATGTCGGAAGGTTCACGGCGCTTGTTCCGTGGGCGCACCGTTGGCAGTTGAACGTTGTACGTTTTAAAACATATGTTTAAAGACATATATGGTGAGTAGTGTGAGAGAGCTGGGTTTGGGGTCACATGTTTTGTATTAAATTGTTAAATTTTATCATTTTAAAACTATTGTAGCATCATAATTGTTACTATTAACTATCCTAGTGGGATCTGACGATTCCATATAGGTGATATATATATATATATGGGATTATATGGGAATGTATTTTTTCGTTCCTTTGCTGCAGCAGACTTGGGCTGCGGCCACTTCTTGTTTTTTGTTTTACTTTTGGGACTCCCAACAGAGATGGGAACCACCCACTTTGCTTTGGTGCTTGACCATGAAGGGGTAGATTTGGGAAGTCCCAAAGAAAGCTTGGCTGAGAATAGTCCAAAGTACGTACAATCCACCCAACTGAACATGAGTTACCTCCAGCTCATTGATATCCTGACCGCCTTCTCTCAGGTGATGCTCATTGGCTTGGCAGGTTGCGGCAAGACGCAGTCCTGTACGGGATTGCTCAAGAAGCTGAATCATGAGGCCGTGCCGAGGGCTGCGTCGGATGACCAGTTGGGTGGGAAGGGAACGACCGAGAGGCGATGGTCTCCACTCAGCGCTGGACTGCTCGGACTTCCTGTTTTCTCATCAATTTCTATATGGCCCAGACGCTCCATGTCTCCATGGGCCATGTATGGAATGCCTACATTGGGCGTGGTTTTCATAGTTCAATGTGATATTCCATACATGGAGTGTTTGGGATAGAGTTTTTGATTCAGGTGCTCGCAGGTGTTGCTTCCTAGTGGCGGCTAGTGATCATTTGCCAGTACATAGGCTTCAAGGCTTTGGCGCTTGGCTGTCCTGAAACATTGATAATGAACTAAGATGAGTGCTTTCGGGCGGACAACTGAAGAAAATCCACAGGTTAGAAAATTGAATGAACAATGGTGAAGAATAGCATCTCAATCCACCTTTTCTATATATATATAGAGAGAGACCATGTAGTCTTTCAATAGTTTAAATGGTGTGTAGAAAAACGGACCTTTTCTCCTTTTCTCCTGCAAGAGCCCCTGCAAGAGCGACCTGTGCGCACCAGTGTGTTGAGCAATTTGCAGCGGGAAGGTCCATTGGTGGCCATGTTAGGCCGAGCTGTTGCTGTTTGCCAAGCTCGATCCATGATCCATTCCTTCTTTGGCATGTGAATTGGGTATAAATGTATGTTTATACGCTGATATATATATATATATATATCCACTGTATATGACAAGTACGCCTGCATTATTCTCGTGTTTTCTGAGTAGGTGGTCGGCGCATGCCCAAATCGATAGCACCAGACACATTGATAGACACCGACAAGTAAGCTAGTGGGTATAACATGGTATAACGAGTGATCAGACCAGATCAGACCGTCGGTCGCACCGCCCCGTGAGGTCTTCATGGGTTACAAGATGAACATGAGCTATTACACAGATTCCGCCATGCTACAGACGATGATGGAGATCCCGCTGGAAAAGAAAGCGGGAAAGCTGTATGCCCCACCTGGCAAGCTGCAGATGATGCTTCACATGAACTGGTGAGTTGATAGATTTGTCCCCGCGGTCGCCGAGAATTGACGCGATACTTTCGAGATGTTTTCGACCATGTTCCGAGATACCAACCTGGGTTCCATGATGTTCCATGTGATTCCATGATGTTCATGTGGTTCCATGTGATTCCATGATGTTCCATGTGGTTCCATGTGATTCCATGATGTTCCATGATGTTCCATGTGGGGAGTCCCCCAGTGGGGAGTATGAAATACCCACCAGTTGTGACATGACCCTCTCACCCAACCAGCCAACGCCGGACCGATCGACGGCGATCTGCGGGTGGGACGAAACGTCCGGTTCCGGAGCCGCAGGTCCAACGGGGGACCTCCTAAGTCGATGACGAATGAATCAGAATCATGTGTTTCTCATGTTTTGTGTGTTTTTTTTTTTTTTTTTTATGTTTGTTTAAGTCAATCAGAATCATTTGTGTATCATGTTTGTTGTGGTTTCTGATTTTGGTTCCTTCCCTTCTCTGCATAGTACAAACATATTTTTTTTTCCCCCTAAACATCCCTAAACCGTCGGACCCTCGTCCCGGGGGTGAACAATCATAAAACATGACCTTACTCAAGCGAAGTCCATTGGGGATTCATGGTCCCAGTTCCGGCACTTCCAATGGGCTCGATACATAGTCAGCACCCGATGCCGCAACTCTCCGTGTGCCATTTGCCGGTTTCAAAGGCTGCGATGTGCTGCAGCCCAATGCAGAGTTGTTGTTTGTTTCATATTTCAGAGTCCTGAAGAAATACACGTATTTTAATCCTTGAGAAAGGAACATTTATCGTTTAGTCTATTTGTTGTTCAGACCAATCAGGCAGTTGTTTTCAGATGAAACAAATACCTCCCGATCTTGGGACTTGGATCCAAGGATCTACTTCATCGATGACTTGAACATGCCTGCCTTAGACAAGTACAACACACAGTCAGCCATCGAACTCATCAAACAGAAGCAGGACTACAACCATTGGTATGACCGCGCCAAGATTCAGATCAAGGTCCGCAGCGGGATTTAGGGTTTTTTGATCGTGGGGGCGTTCCGTTCACCGCTTGACAATTTTGCCTGGAGAAGGGAAGAAGGAAGGCAGTGAAGGGTGTCACCCTCATGCTTTGCTTGGATAAGACTGCCAGGGCAGTCCGAGGCCTTACAGAAGTCCTGGTAGTTCCTGGAGTGCGGATGGTAACCGCTGGTCGCTTCAAAGCCTTCTTGGCATGAATGCCACATCATCCATATCCCCTATCTTAACAGCCTAGTCATGCACGAACAAGTTCTCCTGCGTCTGATGATGATGATGATGATGATGATGAATGTTGTAGAACTGGGCATGCGCGAACTAAACTATACATATATATGATATGTGGAACCAATAAAGCAACATAAATAAACACATATATGCCACAGTAAAGTCTCTAATATTAATTACATATACATACAGAGAGGGTTGATGGATCAACCCCCCCAAAACAAAGAAACAGCTACACACAACCACACGCTGTCATCGCACACCGGTGTTCCCCAACCTCTTCCTTCGGACCTGTCACAAGGACATCGGATCCACGCAGTACCTCTGCTGCATGAACCCCACGGCGGGCTCCTTCACGGTGAACCAGCGGCTCCAGCGACACTTCTGGACCTGCTCGGTGCAGTTCCCGGAGCAAAACGCGCTCAATGTGCCTGGGCGGAACGCAGTGGCGGAACTTGGAAGCGGCAAGCGCTTCATCATGCGCATGCGGAGGGGGTGTTTAAAGGAGCTCAGAAGAGTTTGCGTGAGATGGTCCAGGCATAGATCATGTTCATACAAGCACTGTGACTATGTGTGGTCCTTTTCAAGCAGCATAGGGATGCATAGGGCTATACTGGGCTGGTATATAGGGCTCAAGGTTCCTTTAGCTTGACTATAGATTGACCAGGTGGCAATGCAGTGGAACACGCCCATCAACCAGACGTTGGGCAGACTCTGATATTTTATCCATTTTGTATTCGGAAAGATGTTGCATCAGAAGCCGTGCGACTTCCAAAGCCGAGGTGATCTATGCCACATTCATGTCACTTGGTACGGTGCACGCGTTTCCAAGACACGAACTGGTGGTCTTGGACGCAGAAGGTTGCTGCGTCATAGGCCAACACCCCAAGTTCTGGACTGCTCCATGATCCAACCCTCCAAAAAATACGAAACACGAAATCCGGTAGCTTTGGAACATGTTGAAATGTGGAGAGGACGTCTTTTTTGATTGTTTGTCCAACTAAGACAGTGACATAGTCCTGGGCTGTCTTCAAGATGTTTTTTTTTCAACTTCCGGCTTTGTTATTCTCAAGGTGATAGAGACGATAGAGAGGAAAAATCAAGAGTAGCCAAATCTAGGGCAGCCAGGGAGCATTGCTGATTGACGAGAGGTTCTGGTACCTGGACTCCAATGTCACATGGGCAGGCTATTGGCGCTATTGGGGTATGGTATTCCTCATTTCGGTTGGTGCGGGACTTATTCTATGATAATTATTTGGCAGATGGCAGATGTGACCTGAAAATCCCTGAACCATATCTATGTATCAGTGGAATCAGGGACAAGTTCAGAACCATGACTCTGGGGTTCCAAATGGTTGCCATTGGCCATCCACAAAGCCCCTCGCCCAGAGATTCTTTGCCGTTGGTTCCTTGTTCTCGCCCGGACGTGCATCCGCCGCTCGAGAGCCAGCTCAAGAGCCGGCCGAATGTTGAGGAAGGGCCACTTCGACACTTACTCCTTCAAAGTTCAAGTGCAGGAGATCGCCAATTGGGTCATCAAAGTGCCACGGCTGAAAGTCCTCAAGAGTGCCACGACTCCCCCCAGACCCTCGACCCGCTCATTTTTGTGCGTCAAGAAATCATCAAAAGCTTGGCTCAAGAGGGTTTGCAATGGTTTGGAAGGTCACGAGAGCCAATATTTGGATTCGGATTCAGGACATTGGCCGATTGGCTTGGGATGGGTCAGAAACTGGGTCATACTTGGAATCCTATAGGAAAGCTTGTGGTATTACTAGACTCGAAGTTGGACGAAGTACCAAGCAAGTCATACAACTCAGCGTGCACTGGAGGCATCGCTCAGCTTCCACACACAAGTCAGCGCTACCTTCCGGAAGACGGCGAAGAGCCTGAGCGAAGGGCGTGTCAGACGAAGTGCCCGCCGTCCCCGGCCGTCGCTTTCTCCTCGCGCCGAGCGTCCCTGACCGTGGCGGGACGATCCAGGGCGGCTCTTTAGACGATCCAGGGCGGCTCGCGTCATGACTAGGGACTTCGCCGTCCCAGGAGATTTTTGTTGGGGGGTGTTGCCTTTGGGGGTAGGTTTGGGCCAGCAGCACTGGCCTAAAACTGAATTGATGGACCCTGGATTTGTGACTTTGCTTTTGATATTTGGACCGTTTTTGGTATGCAAGACCCACGATGCTGCGATGCTGATCTCGTAAGCATAAGACGTCCTGAATCTGAGGTTTGGACGGACGGTTAGTGGGGAGGGCTGAGCAGATACCTTTCTGCACCCCCATGTCCTTCTCCCTCTTGTTCGACGCCAAGGAACATGCACTATGAGTTCAATATTCGCCACTTGGTGACAATGAGAGCGACAACTGTTTGCCATCAATAGGCCACGGCACGAAATTGGCCATGATTGGCCATGAAATTGATTCCTTTTTTTTCAATCATGGAGGATGTCTGGCAACTGGCTCGTGTCAAAAACAGACTTGGTAGGGAATCGGTGAGTAAGCCTCCAATCAACCGTCAGCCGTGATGCCATCATTCTATTTTGTTAATATTGTACTCAAAATATTGGCGGTATGCTCCGAGGTACTTAAACCAACAAAACCAGCTCAAGAAAAGACCTTGCCACTGCGTTGCCAGCAAAAACACCAAGACTTGCTGTTTGGAACATGCTTTAATCCTGCATAATTGGAGAAGCAACATCAAACAGCAGATCTCATATTATCAGTATTTGCCCTTGACTCAACCCTCCTGCTGTCCTGAAGCCTTTTCATGGATGTTTCTTTGATCCGGCGCATCCGCCCAAAAACCATCAAGTCCGGAATTCGCCGGTCCCAGGGCACATGAGCGGCGTCTTTGCGGGGCTCTTGAAGGCCAAGCCGAGTGAGTTCAACGACGCCGAGAAGCTGGTGCTCTTATGGATCCATGAGACCTGCCACCAAAAGCCGGAGTGATCCACAACCCAGGGCCGAACCAAGCAAGGAGTGACCGACCCAGGCCTCAACCTGGACCCCTCAAAGGTCGATGTTGGTTGCAGTTCGAGGTCGAAGCTCTCTCCAGTTCACACATTTTGGGGCGTCCTGTGGTCCCAAAGCCCCCCTAAAAACCGATGTTTTGCTTCGGGTCTGGATCCCTTCAGCTGGTTATAATGTATAGACTATTGATTAATAACCCTCCCCATCATGGCCCTCATATGAAGAGGCTTTACACTCAGGCTTCTTGGCTCAAAGCCACTAGCCTGAGGGCGCCCCGGGACCCCAGGGCTGAGCTGCTCTCAACCTTTGAGAGAGTTCAGCGTCTACAAAGGATTCGTCCTTCCCGCCCGTGTCCTTTGTTCCGTGCGTTTCCTTTGCACCTGCGCCATGGCTTGGTTGAACCGCACTCTGGCCTTGGTTGACGAAGCTCTCACTGAGCATCGTAGGCCCGCTGTCCTGGAATTCTTCAAGAGCCGTGAATTTCCTACATCCCAGGTGTGTGATGGCCAGTCCTGCATTGTGATGGGAACTTTGATCAACAGATCACAAGACCACATCCGCATTGCTCAGATGAAGTTTGTCCCTGGCCAGGGATGGACGCAACCAGACGCTGATCCCAAAGAAGTGTTGGTTATGGTCCCCAACCTGAGCAGAAGGCACCTCAAGATTGACGCTGGAGAGCAAGTCTTGTGCTGTGGTAAATGCATTAACTCTGAAAATGAGGCCCTTACCTTTGACGAACAAGTCCTCATACTTCCACGCCCAGTGTGGATGTCAGATATGCCGATTAACACAGTTCACTATTTTGCTGGAGCCTTCGGAGGTTGGTCCCGTGCCTTGCAGTGGCTATGTCAGCATACCAAATCCTGGACCCTTGGGACACAGATTTCAGTGGACGCTGATGCAACGGTCATGAACATTTGGGCAGAACAGCATGGTCAAGCAGCCTGGCATGGCAAAACATCACCGACGTGCTCGTGGGACCCCAGCAGCCATGTTGGCCTTTGCACGCATGTGGGAGACAAATCGCTGTTAACCAGGTGTGCATTCCCGACAAACAGCTGTTCTACTATGTCCCCGCCATGCATCAGTTGGTCTCGGGGAGGGAAATCCCAGGGCCTGGATTGTGCTGCTGGCTATGCTTTCTTCGAATGCATTCAGGCCATTGACCTCCAACAACCCATCATGGTACTAGCCGAATGTGCTGATGAAACTCCCCAGCACCCGCATTTTGACATCCTTCGTCAAGCCATGTTGCTCATTGGGTACAAGCCGCTGTGGGAACAGGTGACCCCACTGCACCTCCTGTCCCACAATATGAGAACTCGGTGGCTCGCAGCATGGATCAGATCCGATGTTTCTGGATGCAAATTTGATGCAGTGATTATTCCAAGAGCACCGCCAACAACACCATGGCACTCAGAGGTGAACAACTTGTGGATTCCACCAGAGGTAGCATCTCAGCTTCACGTCACCAAGGAAGCCAAAGCAAAGTACGTTGACCCTCAATTTTTGCCGCAAGCCAAGAAAGCAAGAGTTAGTGGTGGCTCAGCCAATGAAGTACTGCGACTCCGACTTGCAGCACGGGATGAACCACTGCCTACGCTGTGTAGTTCCTATTCGTCGCAGCACATGTTGGATCCAGTTCATTTGGCAAACAAGGGAATCTTTGCAGTGTTGGATGCCTGTGGTGATGAGGTTTCTTTTCTGAGCCCCCTGATTCCATTGTTCTGCCGTGTGCAGTTTCTGAGGCGTTCCATGGACCTAGCAATGCTATCGCTCAGCCACATGCCCTCCTCGCTTGGTCTGTTGCTTTGCGTGCTTTGTCCACACAGTCTGAGGCACCTGAGTTCCTCATTCGAGAAGCCTGGCAGCAGAGAATCACGTCCCTTAATGCAGTTGTGCAGAAGAAGGGCCAATGGTTGTGGGTCCAGAAGCTAGAAGTTTTCGTGAAAGCATTGGACTTCCGGTTTTATTTCTTGCCAGACCCTGCTGTCAGGTACATTCTGATCAAAACCTGCTTGCACTCCGCAGGAACCAGCAGGCTCACTCACGTTCCGGCAAGCGCCACGCTGTTCGAAGCACTCCAATGCATCCTGACCTTTGCGGACACCAACCCAGAGGATGTCACGTTTGACCAGGCACTCGGCCCAATCGTGCGAGAGGAACTTGCCGCCACGTCACTTGATGGGAACAAAATCATTCGTTGCTTCTGGAAAAATCAACTCATTGCCACACTGGCACTTGAGTCGAAGTTTGATGGTATGCACCTTGTGGAAGACATCATTTCACCAACTCAACCCTTCGAGTTTCAGGAGCCTGCAGACAGCATTGTGATTTCGTGTGTCGATCAAGTGTATGCAAGCCTCACAGCACACCCAACCTTCATGCATGCCATCACCTTCATGGAGTTTTGTGCCAAAGCCTGCCGAGAGTTGCGAAACCCTTCGCATTGTGCCATCGCATGGGAGCAACCACCTTTGCTTTTTGCTATCCAAACACCGCAGGAGCAGAGTGTAGCGTTCATCCAAATGCAGCTGAACCAGGTCTGTGACAAACACTACCAAGTCTTTGTCAGTCCAGTGTCCTTGCCAACAATCGCTGAAGGAGACCTTGTGTTTGTACGCCCCCAAAAGGAGGTTGATGATGTCCTTGTCATCCTTGAAACACCGAGACCCACAGCTTGCTGTCATGTGAAGTCAGTCCCAAGGACCTTGCCAATTCAAACTACTGTTATCACACGTCATGGACAATTCGAGCTTGCCCAACACAATCGAAGGCCCCTTTCAAGCAGCTCCGTCCAGTGTCACAATGGTGATGTCCTTGACTCATTCAACGGCAATGGGCTGCCTCTGATGAATTGTATGATGCTGTAATGCAACTGCAGCAGAGGGCACCGCAGTATGCCACTTCGATTGGGCTTCAGCGATGGGACCCCAAGTTTGATGATTTTAATGATGACCTGTTTGGGGAAACCAATTTTGCCACGCATGGCCGTACGCTGATGCTCTTGCAAGTGCAAGCCCATTGGGCCCTCATTGAGACTGTCCAGAACTCAGGAAGCATCACTGTCAATGTCTTTGGTCTGCCGCAAGCCCTCGCTGTTCGTGCAGCTCACATCACATGTCGACTCGTTGACATTGCACCAAGCCGTGCCAGCATTGAGTTGCACTTGACCCCTCTTGATGAGAACATGTGTGGATGGTGTTTGATCTATCGCCTCTTTCGAGCAGTTGGACTTCATGAATGCCTCCCTGATGGCTTGTCCAGAAGCTCAGGCCTCAACCCACATCACATTGAAGCCATCATTGCATCTGTGCTTGCCACAAAACGGGAGTGGGATCGCTACACAGCTGATGCGGACTTGAAAAGCTTTGCCTTTCGCTATCGCCTCAATTTCTTGCTTCACCTTGCCTCCATTGAGAGCACTGCGGGACTTGCCACGGAAAGTTCCTTTGAACTTGCATCCGATTGCCTTGCCCTCAGCACCAGCCGCGGCCAGTTCCACCTACATCCATGACCCACCGTTGTTTCGGGACTCCAGATCAGTTGCTTGTCAAACGGTGCAGACACATCCTGTTGACCGTGTGTTGGGTCGCCTTGTTGCTACAACTCCCCATCCTGGCTGGCTCTTTTCTGACACGCTTGACTTTGGACTTTCATTCCTTCGGCAAGCTGCCCCCAGAGCGTTCTTTGCTCCACCATGTCAGTGGCAATCTGATGAACACTCGATTTCCTTCTTTGATGGACTTTCTTGCAAGATTGACTCCTACGAGGTTGCGTTCGTCTTTGTCCTTGCTGACCAACATTGGCTCTTGTGAGTTTTGCAGGCATGTGTGGGATTTTGTGGTCTTTGTCCATGGCCCTTCCGAGCGCAGAGAACAAAGTGAGATCCTTGGTCATGCCCTTGCGACGAAGATCCTCCATGGAGACTGTGTTGTCCAGGTCCGACATGTTGAATGTCACACCCCTGCCCACATGTGTGGTTGGACTTTACTCTCTTCGGTCTTCCAACGCTTTGGTACTTTGATGCCACTCCCACAGACAGAAGTCCTCGCCACCCTCCGCATGCATGAGCTAGCGCCTTGGTTTCAATGGATTCAGCAAAATGCTGCGGCCCAATGGAGATCCAATGATCAGCACCTTGTCAATTTTGCCGCTCAGCTGCTTGTCCTTCACTTTCATGAGATCGTTCAGAATCGCATCCCACGTGATTTTGCTGCAGGCGGAGCTGTGACTCCCAAGAATTGCCAGATGCCTCCACAGAGGCGCCAAGTGCTTCAGTCGATCCTCTTACCATCCACGATCCATGGGCGAGGGCCAAGAGCCCTCCATCGAAGTGGGAAGACCTCATCCTTTCCAAGAGTCACCCATTTCTGGATGAAAAGGGCAATCAGTTGGCCCAATTGCACAGACTGCAAGCCACCAACCTCACGGGTGGCATCATCATGACAACTCGTCAGTATGTGCCTGACCTTTTCAAATTGCAAGGCAAGCACACACTTGTCCTGTTGATCCCGCAATTGGATGACCATGCGAAAGCCACTCTCGGGGTTGCAGCACACGGGCCGTTCGAGGTGATCCTGTATGACAAGGCTGTGAACCAAACGTACAAAAGAATCACCCACGCTTTCGCAGCTTGTGGGAATTGAAAGATCCCTCGTGTGAGTTTAGCATTGTGTCTGTTTCCGAGCTGGTCTTGGAATACGATTCCAGGCTTTGCAGCAAGCAGGATTTTGAGCAAGCCAAGGCATCGCCCTTGACCTTTTTCAAAGACTTCTTGCTCACTCGCATCCCAAGCCTGAAGGACAAGCTCACCATATATGGATTTCGCCACAATCGCCACCCGTGTGCCCAAGTTCTGGGACATCAACATGAAGATGCTTCGCGAAATTCAGATCACCACTGATCAGGTGAAAGGGGTCGCTGGACTTACGATGACCCGCAGAGGGCTGGCAGTCAGAGCATGGGCGAGCAATGTGGCAGAAGTCCGACGCCTTCTTCTCCCGGCTGACCCACGGCCCACTGACTCCAACATAACCATCGTCCCAAAATTCATGTATGAAGCGTCAGGGTGGCCCACGGGCGCTGGTCCTGCCGAGGTTGTCGAAGCAGTGAACAAAGCCGTAGGGACACCACCAGTCCCTACTCGTCAGTACCGCCTTGCCGGAGTGCATGTCTGGCAGCTAGGGTTTGCCATTGAGCCCAAGCTTGACACCTTCACTGTCAAAGTGAACTCCATCGTGTACCAGATCCTGCTTTCGCCGTCAGCTACAAGCGACAAGGGGCAAGGCAAAGGCAAAGGGAACAAGAAAAGGAATGGCAAAGGTCCACGGCTAGATGATGCCACACCTGTCAAGGTCTCCGCCCCTTTGTCCTCCACGGCAGAAAGCAAGCGCATCGAGACCCTCGAGGCAAGGTTCGACTCCCTCCAGTCGCAAGTCACGGGCATTGAGGCAAAGCAAGGGTCGCTTGAAAGCAAAATCGATGACCGCTTTGTTGAGATCTCCAGCACATTGCGCCAGTTAGTGCAGCTCACCCAAGGAGCTCGCCCGCATGAGCCTACGGGGGAATCACCCCCATCGAAATTCGCAAAAAATGCTTGATGGTGTGCAGCTGAGCTGCTGTGTCGCTTGGTGTGGATTTTGGTTCTTCTGTTTCCTCTCTGTCCTTCCTGTGTCTTCGGTCATCACTCACCGTGCGGCATGGGCTTTGCTTCGCGCTCATCAGCCACCTGGGGTCGCTTCCAGACCCCTCCAGTTTGCAAGTGTGAGAAGCCAATTGCAGCTTCTAAGTTAACGGTTTGCTCCTATCCGCAAAGCCACCATGTTTTTGTCCGTGTTGCCCTCTTGGTCTTTGTCCTTGTGGATTTCTGCGGTCGTGAGTCTTCATCTTTCAGTGCTCCATGGCACCACCTGTGTTGCGCTGGATTTTTGGGGAATGCCAATTCAGCTATCAAGATGCCTCGAATCATGACCGCTTTGCACCTCATCCAGCGTTGTCGAAAATGTGCTGCGCCTTCGGCCGTACACTATTTTTTCTTTTTCACCACGGGGGTTTTCCCTGTTCGGTTTCATCTTTGTCCTTATTCGCAGTGTCAACACTGTTTTTCATGCCCCAAGCTTCGCCTTTATCCATGGCCGAAATTTGATGCAACTTTAGGATTTCCCGGTGAGGGTCCGTCAGAAGACTCCTTTTGGAAGTTGATTTGTGCCAACATTGGGTCACTCAACACGAACCTTCACTGGCGTTCGTGGCAGGCTCAGACACTTTGTTTGCAGGAAACGAGAATCGGAAAAAAAACGGCATTCGGAATGCCAAGAAAACAGTTGAAACTCAAGGCCTCCAGTTGTTCCATGGGAAGTTACTCCCGGGTTTGCTGTCTTGTCATGGTGTGAAACGCACCCCTCACGGTGGTGTTGCAATCCTGGCACCTAAAGATTTTGGGACCGAGTTTGACCCTAACAGTGATCAGTCCGGATTGTATTTGAAGATCCTGGAAACCAAACGTGCACATGCAGTTTGGGTGCAAGTTTCCAAGAACCTCAAAGTGTTGGTCATTAACATCTACTGTCGAACCGGTGCCTCACAAGACAGAGTGGTCCAACAAACTAATAACGATTTGTTGCAGGACTTGTTCACGTTCGCTTGCCAGTTCGGGTCCATCCCAGTTATCATTGCTGGGGATTTCCAACTTCCCCCGTTGCAATATGATGCGGTTTCCCAAGCGGTTAACTTCCACCAATGGAATGACTCTCTTGCGGTCACCGAAGAACCAGGCATCTTTCGCCCCCTTACGTACTCTGCTGACGGCACGTTTACGGGACCAGGAGACGGGTGCAGTAGCATCCATGGGGTCCTGACAAACGCCACCGCGTCCGCAGCCCTATTTAGAGCAGAGGTCCTTCCGCTGTTGAAAGTTCAACACAGACCCATACAGGTCACGTTTAAGTGGGATCATTTGTGGCAACGAGGCTTCATTTTGTATAAGACTGCGCCTTTATGCCTTCGTGGCCTTAACCAGCATGTACAACCTGATTCTTCTTTGAACCACATTGAGCAATGCCATGACCTGACCATCGATGAATGCTGGAGTCGTGCTAATCACATAGCCATTGATGCACTCCTGGCTCAAGGCGCCTCGTGGGGCCCTGGCCCACGCCAAAGAGGGGAAGCCGTCCAAACAAAATCCAAAGTGATATGCCCTGGTCAGCATCCGAATGGATGTGCTGTGACCAAACGTTCGTCTTGGTTACATAAGGAGGCCTCCGAGAAATCCTCTTTTTTTCATACTGCCCCACTCACTGCAGGACCTCGAAAGGTTATCCAGCAAAGAACAATCCAGAAGGCCTGGAACCGGCTGTTTTGGCTCCAAGCCCCTTGTCTCTGGCCATGGGACCAACAACCCAGCTTGCTCCAGACCCTCCAAGCTCTTCAGTGGGTTCAAGATGCCATTACGATGGACGAAATTAAAATTTTAGCTTCGCAGAATAGCTCGCTGGAAAAACAAAATTCAGAGCAGCGCTCATGCCGGTACTTCCTTCGTGTACCAACACCTCCGGAATCGTGCAACTGATGAGCCACCCAACCTTGTCACTGACAGTGCTGGCAACCTTCTTGTTGAGCCACAAGATGCTATAAGTGAAATTAATAATCAGTGGGACACGGTTTTTAGTGCCAACCAAGGGTATCCTCCGCCACTCCACATGTTAGAGACAGTGTGGCCGCATATCCACCACTGTGGCCATGACTATGATGTCCCAGAGCTTCAAGCCACTGATTTGCACCGCATCATCTCCGCCCGTAGGAAGGATGCCGCACCAGGTTTAGATGGGTGGCGCACATGTGAAATGCAGGCACTACCCATCTCAGCACTGCATGTTTTCGCACACATTTTTCGCCGCCTCGAGATCAGCGATGAACCACTACCCCAAGCATTGGCGATTGCGAAACAAATCATTTTGAACAAGAATGGGAGCTCGGAACCGCTGCAGAAGCGGCTCATAACGATTCTTCCTGTAATTATGTTGGCTTACACAGGAGCGAGGTTCCACCATCTGCGTGAATGGCAGATGTTCGTCATGCCGAAGCAGCTCCAAGGTGGTATCCCGAATCGCAGTATGCCTGCCATTCACACCTCCTTTGCGCTGTGCATCGATAATGCTAAAGATCAAAACATACCACTCTTGGGCGTAAAGATTGACAAGGCTAAGTGCTTCGACAGGATCATCCCTGCGTACGCAGCTGCCTTGATGATTGCTTTTGGCGTCCCAAAGAAAGTTGTCTTGATTTTTTCTAAACTCTATCAACAATTGACCAAACATCTTGCCTTTAAATCGTGGTTTGCCCCAACCGCCACGCATGGCCCCAACGGTGTAGCCCAGGGTTGTTCTCTCTCGTTGATCGCAATCAACGTTCACATGAAGGCATGGGTGCATTTGCTTGAGGCGCTACCCACTGTGACAGCCCAAGCATTCATAGATGATGCATACCTTTGTGCCCACCTGTCCCATGCGGCCGATTTGCAGCAAGCCATTGATATCACAGAGCAATGGGATCTCCTCGTGGGACAAGCCATGAATTGGGGAAAGTGTACCATTTGGGGTACGTCGGGTGAAGCACGCAAAACCGCGAAAAACTTTTTTCCTGCCATGAAATTTGCGTTTGAGGTCGAAGTACTTGGAGTAAACATTAGAACCAGTAACAAACTCTCCATGCACTTCTCTGAGGCCAAGTGTGCGAAGATTTTGGCCGATATCCAAAACATTGCCGCTTTACCTTTGCCAACCTCAATGAAAGCCAAACTTCTCGGAGCGAAGGTCATACCCCAGTGCACATACTGCCCAACCCTCAACCACATCCCAGCCAGGCAGCTGAGTAAACTCCAAGGGGCTATTGCCAACGTTTTCTGGGGTAAGCGACCACATTGGCGATCTAGGTTCCTTGTGTTTGCCCTCCTGACCAAGCCACATGGCGTTGAACCAGTTTGTGCCAGGCACTACAATGTCATTCTTGACACACTCCGGTTTTTGCAGCAGTATCCTGATCAGCACAGCCGCTTTCGTTTCTTGCTGAAACAAGCCACACCCGGAAAACCAACCTTTGCACAAACGGTTAAGCAGGCATTTTGGTTTCACAGCCTTGAGCTCCTGTCGGATGCTACCATTTGCTTTCGCGGCCATCATTTAGCCAATCTGTTTCAGCCAACTACCAAGGATGTCAAGCCAATGCTTAAGCTGTTATGCCAGCAGGCATGTTATGCCCAAGCCTCCTTGCAGCCACGCAAGGAGTTTCGAGCACCAGCCGGAGTCTTAGACCCATACTTGTCCACCATTTTTCTCAAGCGATCCAAGCTTTGCTTTGAAGGAGATGTTCCTGCCGCCTCCTTTTTCGAAGCTCAACTTGTAGGATGCGTCTTGACAAATGACCGCCTTGCAGCGGCACATCTTGTTGAGTCTGCGCAATGTCGCTTTTGTCAACAGGACAAAGAATCCATTCCGCACTTGATTCGTGAATGCAGCCATGTCCAAGCGCTTTGTCCCCAACCGCCAGTGCATGAGCTTGGCCGCAATTTCGAATATCTAGGCATTGTTGAGCACCCATGGTCAGTCCTCGCAAAGCGGTTACAAATTGGTGATCCTGCCCTGTTGCATTTTGCACAGCCAGATAGCAATGCTGCTCCCTGCATCCTTTGGACAGATGGCTCGCTCTTGTGGGCTGAGAATCCCCTTCTTGCTTGTGCTGGCTTTGCCGTAGTAAACCAAGAAAATGAAGTTTGTGCTCAAGGTACAGTAAATCATTGGTTGCTCACAAGCTATTCCGCTGAATTGTGGGCACTGATAGTTGCCTTCAGCATTGCCTCGTCCCCAGTTGAAATCAGGTCGGATTGTCAGACTCTAGTAACACATGTCCAGCACATGATCATGCATGATTGCATTGTTGACACATGGCCGCACTTGCACTGGTGGCATTGTCTATATGATGTTTGGCATACCCGCAGCACTGTGTTTTCCAGGCCGCTAGAGGTCTCCTGGATACCAGCACCCAAGCTTGAACATATCCCCGAACATTTAATAGACCATGACATGGCAGCCGCCAATGGGTCCACCCCACTCGACATCGCTCGTAACCGTAAAGCGGATCATGCCGCCAAAGCACAGGTCTATGGTTCCAGTGCCATTGCCCCTTCCATGTACGAACCGTTATGCCAAGCCGTTCTCAACCGACAGGAATGGCTAACATCGTTGTGTTATACTATGGGCACAACCATGCCTCCGAGACCTGCTGAACCAGATAGTGACCAAGATGAAAGCCATATTCCTGCCGCCCAACAGTTCCCTCGGCTGCCTTGGAATGCAGATGCTGCGTTGTTTACTTGGTGCTTCCACACTCCGTGGCCAGACAACCCAGTCAGTGAATCAGTACTGTCAACTAACGATTGGAAAGCTTTTGGCCACTTCATGCAAAGTCTCAAATGGCGCTCAGAGGAAAGTCTGGCCATCTCACACGCAGAGTTGGCACTGCTTTTTTACCACGATGGTTTCAAGTGCACAGAACTTTCCTCTAATCAGCACTTTACATTTCAGGACTTGATTGTGTGGTTTAAAAAATGCCTCAAAATCTGCCGAAAGCATCTTCCTATTTCGCTTTTTCCAGGGAAGAACGATTCCCGATGGCACAACTCATGGGGGAAGACCATGCCAGCAGGAGCGATTCTCAATGCCGCACCCTTTTTGCCGAACTCCTTCCTGGAGTTCCTCGTTTCGGTTTCACGTAGTGTTGTAAAGGCGAATCTCGATACCTGGGCCTTCTGTGTCTCAACTTTTCCTCGATGATTCTCGCATCTTGTTTGGGTGATCCTTTTGGATCCTTTTTGTTCAGGGTATGCTAGCAAGTGGAATGCTTGCAGCAAAGTCTCACACCGACGTCGTGAGCGCGAGTGGTAGAAGAGGCTTTACACTCCATTTATGAGGGGTGATTCTAATTATTGACTCCAAGTCGCTTCACTGGCTTCACTCCCTTTGGATCCAAAGTGGGTCCGGTTCCAAAGGCTGGTGGATCCGTCCCTGAAACCCCAGTCCCAACCAGAAGCAGCTCGGGTTGTTCCGGCAGTTGAGATCCTGGCTGGGCCCGGGGGAGTGGAGAGGTCTTTTGGCATGCAGCAGCATGACACATGAGATTCGATCACAGGGAAGCTGGCCTTTTTGAACAGGTCTTGTCAAGTATAATCTTGTATATTCAACTGTTCCCTCGTTTGCGACTGTTCTGAACTAAGATGCCAATGCAACATCGCAATTGGATGCACTTGGCCACATGACATGGCCCTGTGTCGGAGATGGGTCATCCAGCTCCATGGTTTGGCCAATTCGTGTTGGCACTACCCCGGTTTGGTCGGTCGGTCGGTCGGTCCAAAGGCGACGTATGGGACCGACCGCAGCCCCAAACATTCCAGACTCCTCGCCGCCTCGCCCGACCCGGCCACTCCCCGGGAGAAGGGTGAAGAAGCAAGAGTCTTTACCAAAGAGAACTGACACACCTTTGTTTGCTTCTTGTGGCAATGGATTTCATCCAAATCATTATGATTCGTAGGATCATGTTTTTCTCCCGCTTGGGGTTGCAGATGAGTGCTGTAGGTGTTGCTCCTGCCAATCCTGAAAGATTGAATACACACAGTCGACGCAAGGAGTAGTTCCAAAGGACTTGGGGTTCCAGCTTTTGGGACCCCTTTCCACCCCTGGACCTCCACATCCTCTTGAACCACCCCTGGGACCCGACCCGGACCCGGAGACCGTGTCCGTCCGCATGGGGCGCATGGCCTCTACTCCGTCAGGAGAGCGAACGTGGCTCGGAGGAATTCAGATCGACCGAGCTGCATCGGTGGGATGAGACGAGCCACGTTCGCATGGCAGCTGCACCAGTCAGAGCTGGCTGCTTGGTGTCCAGTTTTCGAACTGGCCCAGACTGGTCGCCTTTGCTGGCCCAGCTTTTTCCTAGCCGTTTTCTTTTTTAACCATCAACGTCAAATGCATGGCAATGCAGCTGCGTTCCTTTTGCTCCTGGCCCTCCTATATTCTTCAATTACCGCTGCTCTTTATATAGCCCTTCAAAGTTTTCAGCGTCATCACCAATCTGCATCTGCCTGGGACGCCCATGGAAGGCATCTACGGCGACCGCTTGGTTTGCCACGCTGACTTGAAGAAGCTTCGGCACTTGACGGAGAAGATCTCGAAGCAAATGTCACTGGCCATGTGCAGCGTCTCATTGTTCTTTTCTATCATGTTCTATTTGGATTCAATCCCTACACTTAGGCGACATATTTGGGGCAACATTGCATATTTGAGGCCAAGCCCAGCCATGCCCAACCTGGATCAATGAAAACACCGAGGATGAGGATGTATACATTGCATAAATGTATATCCTGTAGTCGACATGTGCAGCTTTTGTAGAACAATAAATCTGTATATAGATGAATCTAATTATATACGCAACAAGCATTTGGTAAATGAAACGGGTGCGATGATCTGACCACATCTGTTTTTTCCAGCCATGCGAAGTTGAGGTTCTCCAAGCACAATTTGCAGAAATATTTTCAAGAGAAGAACCCGGAGCCCATCATTTTTGCCCCCTTCTCGCGGGGCCATCATAACATGGATGATGGAGGCCTGATGTTTTCGCTCTCCCTGCTTCGTTTTCACACTGTGCATTTGTCATGATGGGGATGTTGTTTAATTACTGTTAATTAACAGACCTTACTAATTAGTAGCTATGCTCAACCACCCAACCAATTGCTTGTGCATGCTAATTAGTCCTGTTAGTTTTGTTCCGATTTTTTCTCACATTATTAACATTAATTACGTCAGATACATGGTGAACTCAGCGGCTGATACCCAGACATGACCATAATGTGATGAGACCAGGGCATCACACATCACACCATGACACTAGGTCAAACCCAAGAAAAAATCAATAGGGGATAATAAAACTGTTTTGGGGATTTGGTTAGGTTTGTTCAGCGTGAATCATATGTCAACATTAGGCCCTAATCATTAGGCCTCTGAAAGATTTTTCAACGCTTATATAGCATGTTTGTCGTAGAGTCCAGCTGCCTCACCCACAAGTGAAATGTCAAGCTCCCTCCGTCCAGCTCACTTGGATTGAATCAAGGGATATATCAACGACGCTGCACAAGAACACTATAGGAGTTGTCAGTGAGTTGCGTCTCCCTGTTGGTTGCATATGTTGTTCCCCTTTGATGCTTCCATGAGGGTGCTTTCCTGCCCCCAAAAACGCCAGGCGTCTACGACAAGATCAAGGACATGGAGCGCTTGTCACAGATCCTCCATGAAGCCATGGCCGACTATGAGACTTGGGAGGACTTACTGTAGCAAAAAGCTCAGCAAAACTCAACGACAAACGTGTCCAGAATGACCAAGTGAAAAAACAAGAGAGTTAAACACACATTTTTCAACCAACAGTCGAAACAAGCGTCGTTTGACCGTGAATCTATTTCGGCTATATAGTTGGAAGTTGGAACCCACAAAGGCATATATATATGGATAGAAAAGCATGAGAACAGCCAAGCACCAGCAGATGACTGTGGTCTTTTAACACCAGCTCCGTTCCCCTCCTTGGGGCTTACGGCCAAGAAACAATCCTAAGGATAGCACCTACGCGGCCATGGACTTGGTTCTTTTTGAAGATGCCATGAAGCACGTGGCGCGCATTTGCCGCATCATTTCCAGTCCATCAGGTGCTTGGATGCAAAGAGTTCACTGAGTAAAGGAGCACTTGGTGTTGACTGCTGATGGATTTCTGGAAGCGGACGATTTCGTCTTCACATCCGTGGGCAGTTCTTCTTTCCCCGTAGGCACCCCCTCCTCAAACACCCTTTTATTCTTGGACACTTTGCGAGAATGTTTGGCCTTCTCAGCCCGAGGAGGTGCCCAAATCGGTGATTCTTTTCCCCACGCCGTCGCGTGTGTCAGTGACAGCCAGTGGTGGAGAGGGACGGGGATTCTGTTGGAGTTGGTCCAAATCCCTGTCGCCCAACTGCTGGGAATCCTGGCACGTGGGAGGTCCCGTACGGACCTGGTGCGCTGAACAAGTGGTGGGCCGTCGTGGGGGTCGGTCGAACAGACAAGAAACAGGACCAGGTCAGATTGCTTGAGCCGCCTGGTTGAGAACTTGGAGCATGTGTCAACCTGGTTGATTCGCCCCATTTCTCAGGCCATCCGCTGCTGGTGGGGGTGGGTGGAAGTGGACGTCAGAGCTTGAGCCGCCTCAGTGCCTTCGTGTGCCAACACATGACGTAGCTTGACCTGTCAGAGACGCCAGTGCCCCCTTGGGATCGGACCAGGATGTTGGGGATGTTCATGTGCATCCTGGATGATCCAGGTTTGAGAAAAAAACACACCAGGAGTCACAAAGGGGTGGTGTTTAGTCCCTAAGTGAGTGGATAATGGGCACCCCTAACCTCCATTAAGCACCCCTTTGTGACTGCTGGCATTCTGCTCTTGGAAGGCGAAGGGCGTGCGACCAACTTGTTAGCTGTTTTTGGTTCCTCAGAATTCTTGGCCCAGCGTTTTGCATTTGTTGTGACACCTTTGTTGGTTCCTATGGGGGGAATCAACATGAATGAACTGTTGATCATGCCAAAAACCACACTGGACTCACTACGACTACGAGAACTCACGTTGGCGCCAGACTCATCACGAGTGAACTTGATGGTGCCATCGCCCGCTGCAACCGTCTCAAGCGCCTCGGAGGTTTTTGTTTGGCCACCGCGCAGCGACACGCCCCTTCGCATCGCACGCTGAACCGTTTCAGGTACATGATCGTGATCACAAGCTCTTACAGCCTGCCTGATTTGAAGACAGATCTTCAGTACATGTACAAGAGACTTGGGCCTACTGAGACCATCCCTTGAGGGTGAGCAATGGACGAATTAAGACGAAACCATTATTTTTGGTGTATCATTGCACACCCCTTCAGTTGGGTCCTTGTAAATTTCTCCTCTGGAAACGTTGACAGGGTGGACGACACAAAGGTGCGACAAAGCAAGGACATTTACTTCCTGTACTGGATATATAGATAGTGTTGCGCAATCTAATGATCGCGGATCACCTTGGTTTTGTTTTCGTATCAGACTCTGCCCTGGCCAAGGAGAGCCGGGGAGAAAGATGAGGGTGTCATGTTCCTCTTCACTGACAATCAGATTGCCAACGAGCGCTTCTTCGTTTTTTTCAATGACTTGTTGGCATCAGGCGACCGGAGTGGAAGCAGAGAAAATGGTGAGTTGAGTCCTCTATTCAGGATCTTCAGTGGTAGACAAACAGCAGTGGAATATGGTGAGTGGAATATGGTTCTCCTGTCATTTTCCCTTGCTGGGTCGCAGTCGCAGACACTCCATGTATACAATACATGCCTAAATTGACTCCTAGGCCTTCGAACTTCGAACAGCTTGATTCAGCTTGAGTCAGCTGGCTTTGTGAGGCAGATCACCCTCATGTGAGTCAGTGGTGAACCATCTACTGTATATATTTGACCTTCCAGCTAAATCAAAGGGTAGTACCCTCCTGCACAAGAAGACGGACCCACGCGCCACGGTCGCGTTGGTCGGTCTTCGGAACATGATCGAAACCACCACGGGGTTTTCCACTCTCAGGATGCATGGGATCGGTTGAAGGGCTAAGGATGAATGGAGTTCTTTGGGTTTGTATGGGCCTGAAGGTTCCCGTAGAAGGTTCCATGGAATAGAGGTTCCTGAATTTTCATGGCTTCCTTCATTCTCCGGGATTTCATGGAAGGGTCTGCATGTTTTGTTTATAAGGAAACACCACCAATGTGTTGTGGTCTATGGTCCTTCTTCCAGAACCTCTCCTTGGGAGGTCTCCCTACTCCACACCCACGCGCCGGAGATTCCCGGTGTAAGGGGCCAGTAAGCTGACTGGTGCGACTCGCAGGGAATCAGGGAATGAGCCCCCAATAGAGATTCTATTGGATCCAGCCACCCTCATTCCCTGCGAGTCGCACCAGTCAGTAAGGAACTGCTTCCCAGCTGCTTCCATCGGGCCAGCTGCTTCCCCCGCCGTCTTCTTCGCACACACCTCGCAGGCGAGATCACCGACTTGTATCCCAGTGAGGACAAGGAGCCTTTAACTGTGAGGATGTGAAGGGTTGCTGACTTGAAGTCTGTGTATGTTTGTTGATTTGGAACCATGTTGGGCCGTTTGGGCGCTGACCTGCGAAGGCAGTCTTGGTGCACCTCCATGGGTTTTTGGGATGTTCTTTGGGGTTCTTCTGCAGCCAGCGTAGCAATGAGGAAGACATGCCACAACTCATGAACAGTTGCTCCAGTGTGGTGGGATTCCGCAGCTACATCTCCCCGTTCCTTTTTGCTTGTCACCTGTTGCGCATGTCGCTAGCCGCTATGGTCGGCTGTCATTGGCTGGGGTTAAGCAACGTTGGTTTGGAAAAACATAGCTGGAACAACTCAGACTCAGTAGAATATCGTCTAGCACATGATTATGAGTTGTGCTTGTTTCCATATGTTTCCATCCAGGTCCTGAGGGGTGCCCCGCAATAAATCATCATCTGAGGATAGCATTCGAAATGCAGTGCGTAGTGCTGCCAAGGGCCTTGGCGACTTGCCAGCATTTGACTGTGACAACATCGAAGTCCATCAAAGATGGGATTCTCCCCTACCTTTCCATGAACCATCCCTATGAACAATGGCGGCTTTGTTGGGGGCTCCAGATCGAAGACAGAAGGCGTGCTTCCTTAGCTTGACCATTTTTTGATGCTGGTTTCACAAGGGCACTTCTCAACCCAGCGAGATGCACGCAGATGGCCACGCAAAACGTAGAAAGACGATGAGACCACTCGGCCGGCGACTGCCCTGGTGCCACTTTGAGAGGGCTGTGACTGTACTATCAGCCCATACCCAAAATCAGAGAAAGAAAGGGAGACAGATACCTTAGGACCCCCTTATCCCATTCATACGCAGCCTGAGGAACCCTGAGGTGTTGTAAGGGGTCTTGTTTTTCTTGAGACCCATTGTTGATCATGTTCCTTTAGACTGGGGCATCATCAAGAATCAAGAGGTTGTCAAACACCCAATATCACCCAGTGGTTGTTTGACCAGCCCAACTAAGGCATTGTGGATACACCTGAGAGCCTTGGCAGAATCAACGTCCCTGGTCAAGATTTATGAAATAATGATAAATAAGGTTACAGTACTCAATGTTACAGTATATAATTTTTGTTGTAATATATGTAACACATATATATATATACATACAACAGTTTGTGTTATTCGAGCATCTACCTGCTTGCCCAAACGCTGGCTCAGTTGTCCTGCCGCAGCATGGGTGCAACAGAAAAGAGTCCCTTATTTCAGTACCAGGTGGATGTTGTTTTATCAGCTACAACTTAAATGCGCATTTAAGTTGTCAGGGTGTATGGTAGGGGTATATAGCTGATTTGGTGGTGGTTGTGCTGATTGAGCAGTAGTAGAACTGTTTCACTCAGCTTTGCTGTTTTGTTCGCCAACCATCCCCACCCGCCAGCGGCCAAACCGTCTGGATTTCACAGGAACCGACGCACGGCGACCCCAAGGAAGGGACTGTACCCCAGGTTTGGTCCCAGGTCACTCTTCGGTTTGTTGTATGGTTTAAATATTGGGTTTGTCCCATCACCCGTAACAGCTGGCAAACAATGATCAACTAGAACTATACGTTAGTTATGATACTGTATATGTTAGAAAAGCCTTTGCTAACCATCATCAGCCACTGGTTGAAAGTTTAAACATGTGTTTTTGGATGATCATACCTGCAGAGTGTTGCACAATCTTCAGCCAGCCTTGATCGTGTAGAGTTGGCTTCCTTGATGCGACTCACAATGCTTAGCAATGCCAAGCATGGTCAGTCACAGTGGGCGTATGGTCATAGTCATAGTCACTACTGTATGATCTGTATGTGAGGGGAGGGTGTGCCTCATGAGTGCTCCGTGCAGTTGAAGCAGAACCAGGCCGAAAGCCGGGTCTGCCGTCCGGTGGCCGGAAGTGGATGTTAAAAAACCTGCTTGGGTAGTACCTAGGCATTCCATGTATGGTATACGGTATATGGCATATTATATTATGTATATGTGCCCACATTGACCCCCTGCAAAACCACCCCACTGTAAGCAAATAGGTCATGTTCATCCCATGTCGGACATGCCATCCGCGTTGGCCCGCCGCGTCCGCGCCGCTGCCGCGGTTCCATTCGGCGGTTCGACGGTCGGACGTGCAAGGAACTTGTGGGCCTTCTACATCTCCCGTGTGCGTCACCTGGATGGCACCGTGAGCTGTTCGTTTGGGGTTCCACTAAGCAGAACCCGGGAGTCTCATCAGAGGTGGGTTCATCAATGTTCAGAACTCCAAGTTCCACTAGCCTTGCTGATTTTTTTCTGCATGGAGTGTCATAGAGTCATCCATGAGCGCAGCAACGTACAGTAACCTTGCATAGAACGGCCCTTTGTCTCTTACCCGTCCTCCACTGTTGCAGGGCTATTAGGGCAGTCCCCACCATACTTTTCGCCTTTGATTTTGAGAGGGACCTCCCAAAATCCGTGAAGCATCCTGCTTTCCATTGGCTTTCCATGGGCAATCCACTGGGAACTACTTAGGTAAGAACCTTCACATGTCGCTCTGCTTCTCTCCCGTGGGTGATGGCCTTTGGAGCCGCGCACGGCGCTTCCCAGCCCTGGTGAATTGCACCACCATTGATTGGCTCCTGGGCGCGACCGGCGGAACCGGATCCGACCGGAACCGCGTGGGTTGCGCCGACCTGGGTTGACCTAGAGACTGAGGTAAGGTATGACATCTATGACAGGACAGGTCTATAGTGGCAGATTTACTTCAATTTGGGTGGTAGATTCCGGTAGATGTAGGATGATGTAGGCATATTCAATACATGGAGTGGTTCACCCTTCCTGACCCACTGCAACTAATTTGCCATGGGGAAAGGGGCACCTACATAAGGTGTAAATATGTATAAATATAGATAGTTATAAATATGTATAATATATATTATATGCATGTCACAGGCATGTGGTTTATATACATACACATATATTCCTGTCACTTATTTGCCCAAGGATCCCACTTGCCCTTCGGTCAAGGCGTTTGCTTTTTTGTCGTTTGGACGTGTATGTGGGGGATGCAATTGTTGTACAGCGGCACAGGTGACTGGACATAGTATGTGTATCCGATTGTGGAGGTTGGGCAGTGGGGAAGTGAAATTTATTGTTCTTTGAAAAAAACATATGTTTTTCGGTATGTTTTGACCCATGAGGAGCAGATCCCTTGAAACAAATAACATCGAACACATCGGCTACTTTTTTGCTATGGCTTCCTACTGAACCGAAATCGTGGAAGAGAGGTTGCAAACAAAAAGTTATGTTTCTGCATGAGGGAACTTGGGGGGTGAGACTATTCCAGGCTTCTTAGAACCTGCCGATGGGGGAGAGACACACTGAACACAGGAAATCAGATGAAGTAAGGCCACTTGTTTCCCTGGAAGCAATGCACAATCGATGAGGTCACATGGAGCCAATGTCAAGAAAACGCCACAAGAATCAGACCCCAGACCATCCATGTGTGGAAGAGTTCTTTGCATTAGGGTGCAATGGGGTAAATGTATGATGAGGCCATAAGGTAATATATATATATGCATATATAACGATTCCATACCATGGAGTGTTGACGTGCCTTTCGGATTGCAGGTTCCAACCCTGGCCAGAGGATGCGCTCCTGAACGTCGCGCACAAGCCGCTGGGAAACTGTCCCCGTTCGGTGCGGAGGACCCATCGAAGGGGCCTCGGTGCACACCTGAAGGAGTGTTCAAAGTGCTTAATGGACTCCTCAAGCGTTAGTGGGTAGGGATTGCTGCTTGGATGTGTTTTTTACTAGAGAGATGCCCTCGCCTTGGCTGGGTAGAGTAGGTTCTTTTTTTCCATACCAACCGGGGCTTGGTCAAGTGATCTACCGAGAAGGTGCCAGTTCCCTCCTAAACTTTGTTGCGAGCGAGGCATTCCTTCTCCATGGTTTCATGATCCCCTGGGTGTGTGAAGCGGCTTCGCGTTGTTAAGCGGCGTGCCCCTACAGCCGCTTGGAAGAGAGCACGCCCCTCCGTTGGGCTGATTTCCTGAAAAAACCGTTTTCCTGTCCCTTCCACTTCTGTCGGTGTTGCACCCAGAGAACCAGTCCGTCAGGTCCAGTCCGGTCCGTCCAGTTCGACCGGTCCGCGGTGTCCGTGCAGCGGTCAGGTTTCTGATGAAGCTCGAAGCCTTGGGCCCTCCGGACGATCCCCATCGACAAGCGATCATCGACTTCTTCCCCTACAGCACCCTGCCTCGGACGCGGAACGAGACACGAGGAACGTCAAGAGGCCGACACCCCCCCCACCCTCCACCCTGGGGGTGTTAAGGGATGCTTTTGGATCCTCAGGGGTGAAGGGGGTGTTAAGGGATCTCTTATGATATCTTACTTTATTTATAAAAAACGACCACTCTGACCTTGGGTCCTGGCAATGGTACTTGCATCTCGTAGCTATTTCAAGCTATTTCATGTATGTCGTTCTATTTAAGGGTTTCAAGGGGATAGGTTTGATTGAAGATTAGGGACTTCGACCCACAGTCGCGCCTGAGCAGTTGCGCGATGTTGTTGTGAGAGTAAAGATATTTGTGGTGTTAAGTTTAGACTCTTCGACGCTTTTGCTATTAAATAAGCTCTAGGAGCAAGAACGCTACTAGGGGCTCGTGGCATCGCTACTAGGAGCAAGGACGCTACTAGGGGCTCCTGGCCTTACTGCTAGGAACAAGGACGCTACTAGCTGCGTGGTGGGTGAAAGGATTAGTGCACCTCAACTCGCAAACGTCCCAAAAGCCTCCAGAGTAGGGCCGACCCATCAGTGGATAACCTTCCCAACAATTTTTTTGGAAAAGAGGTGAGATTGGGACCACAAAGCAGGGAGCTCCTGATCAGCTCTGGCTTTTGGGTGCCCAGCTGGAGCTGCTCCTTGCGTGTTTGAAGCTGGTGGTATTTTACAAAGCCTTCTGGAACACGACCTATCAAGAACTGACGCTGAGAATGGCGGGTCTTGGACCCGGTTTTGCTTTGGATTATTCATGATTTATAGTATTTGTAATGTTCCCTGTTCCCTGTGGGTCAGCCCCCTTCTGGGGAAGATTTGTTTATGGATTCCTTGGCTTGGACCGCCTCAGAACCTCCACCTCGCCCACGAACCACGCCGCGGTGAAGGACGCGCTTGTGGTCCGAGGCTTCGACGCGGTGAATGAGATTTCCCACAGCTTCATCCGCGACGAGAAGCGCTTCGCATACACGACACCCAAAAGTTCCTGGCCGTGCCAGGGAGACGGGGTTTTGTGGAGGAGGTGCATCCAAAAATTCATAAAACCTGAGTGACCCTTGTCTTAGAGCACCAAGCACCCCAAATATGGTCCTTTCGTGTCCAATCAGGGGTCCAATGGATTCTATAGGTATATATTATATTAATGTTATATGATATGTAAAAACACCTGGAAACCCAAACAACCATAAATGCGATCCTTTACATCTAGGAAATGGCTGTTTGCGGAAACGATCCATTTATTATAGTGAACTGCCAACACTTAGAATATGGACTAATTGATACTTTTGAAATGATATTTCATATTAACTTTTTTATGTATATATTTTCTGTACTTGAGGATATTCTAAGTGCAAGCCTTTGCAGTGCAGATAGAATATACAAATAGAAGATCACATGAAGACATGTTCAGATGGTTTGAAGGTGTCAAGATGAAACAAAGCAATGACATAATCATGTTTGCATGCAACTGTGCGGCAGTTTGAGTCATCAAGATGATGACAAAACAACAACACGCTATGGACGCACGTGTAGCCATGTCTTCAGAACTGACCAACCATATATGTATGCACACACACATGCGCCGGAGCATGTGTGGCAGCAATGTACTGGCATACAACCAGAGATGCATCTATGCAGCACACACACATGCATAGTATATATATACTATACTATACATTGCATGTTTGGTATAAACTCTGTTTCTTCTTGACCTGCACCCTGCTGCCATGTCGGGGTGGTACCTATGCACTAACATTTCAAGTGCAGTGGATGCTTATGATGCGATGGGTGTGGTGCCGGGGCCTGGTGATGCAGGATGCACTGCAGCTCAGAGGATCATGAAGCTTTCCGCTGTACCAGGGTCGATCATCCAAGAGTGCTACGATCGTACTCTGGCATCTATCGATACCAATTCCGCTGACGCTGACAGAGTTGAGGCGGCATACTCTTCCTTGATGGGGGACTCAAGGAAGTCATATGATGCAAAGCTTTTGACGGACATGTTTGTGCCTGGTATGAATTTATATTCTATCTGCACGTTTTTGAATAGGTTTTCCTTTTGGGCGTGTCTAGATATATATATATATATAGAGAGAGAGCTTCATTCTATAGAGACTGCAAATTCGATGACTCTGCTATAGGCTAAATCAGCGCTTGGTCCGCAAGAACTTGCCCGTCAGAGAAAACGGCAGATGCCAGATGAGAGCACACAGCCGCCGTTACCAGCACCTATGGATCCGCCGCCATCACCAAAGAATGATGATGATGACGACGACAAGGCTTGATGCCAAACCTAATTTTGCCGGTGCATAATTTCTATATATATATATAGATTATATATAAATGCATATAACAAAGAGTTGAGTAGATATAATATAGAAACACTAGAATAAATTTGCAACAAATCATGCCGGCAGGAGCCACTTCCAAAGGGCATGACCAGCTTCAAGAAGCACATCCGTGTGAATTGTAGCTTCACTGGTTGCTCAAGAAATTTTCAGTTCAATGTCTACGGGGACTACCATCTAGCTTTGAAGGCAGCATTGTCCTATGATAAACGAGCGACAGCTATTTTGGTGGACTTTGATTCCTACAAACGCAAGCCAGCAGAACGGCAAGGCCTCTTGGACCAGCACGGGGCCAAGGGATTTACTAAGAAGAGCATTGGTATTCAACGTGTTGCACTTCAGCGTTCACTGGACAATGGTGATTCTTCTTCCGTGGAAGCTGGTATCATCACCGACATGTGCAAGGACACCCTTGACCAAAGCTTGCTGGACAAATCATCGATCCAATATTCGGACTCTAGCTTCAAGGCAATCTTCCAGGGCCAACAGCAGAAGCTGGAGCAATGCTTCAAATCTTTTAAAGATGCATCATCTTGGATTCAGCAAATGGACAAGGCCGATAAGGACCCGCTTGGTTGCAACTGTTTGTTCACACGTGTGGATGATTTAACAATTACGGATAAGCATTGTGTATATTCACATTATTTCTGGATGTGCCAGCTCAGTTGGCAGCCAGGATATGCAGATAGAATATGATGCTTGCTATTGGCCCAACTCATAAGATAAATCTTCAATCAAACAAGCCATGATAAGCAGCACGCATACATACAAACGTACATACGATCCACTATGTATGGTGAACTTTGCTCATCAATTTTATCAATGACAGGAACTAGTCCAATGAAGCATTTTAGTTTGCTGCTCATTCATAGTCACAGCAATATATAATATATACACGGGGAATGTGCACATAGAATGTGCTTCCATGGGTTGGTTGGTCGGCCACACATTGCACATGAAAACTTTAAATAACTAACAAATAAAGACGCTGCAATTTATACCATTTACATGGCAAACGCTGTGCCGCCATGGAGAAGAGAACCACAAGAGCGATTGTCCGACATCCAACTGGAATGCCTCAACCGGCTATTGCGTGAGTCTTTGGGTCAGCCAGCGCAGCACCAACAGGCAACCTCAGCTACATCAACGGGACCTTCTGTGCAGTCAGGGGCAGCAGATGCAGGACTGGATCAGTCTGCGCATCCCCTACCGGCAACACTGTATTCATCAATCCAGCCATGTGGACCTTCACCTGCACCATCAACGGCATCCTTTGCTGGACAACATGAAACCGCTGCAAAAAAGGATCAAGCAGCTGATGAAGCAAAGCATGAAGGCACAGCGGGGGGCTTGGATCCTGAGAACCCTCAACCCGAAGCAGCAAGCATGGAAGTAGAAGCCCCAACAGAGGGAGCAGCTCGCGAAGCAGCTGATGAAGCAAAGCCTGAAACAACTATTACAAGCCAGCCTGAACCAAACGCAGCTGTTGACCAGAACCGCAAGCGGTATGGACGGTGGAGCCCAGACATTACAAACCCAAAAGAGGTTGAATTGCGCCGCATAAAGGATCTAAAAAACCAAAGAGAAATCAAAAGAAAAACACTAAAGGGACTGTATAGCAAATCAAAGAAAAACCAACCAGACGCATGAATCTTGCATTGAAAAAGGTGCTAGTATTGCTGGCTGTGCGGGTAGATAGCCAGCATTGCTGGCTGCATGTGTACTTGAACAAACCTGTAAATGCACATACATATATATATATATATATTCAAATACAAATCTGAGAAGGACCCGCTTGGTTTCTCTTGGGGTCTGTACTATCTATATACCATTAATCCACTATAATGCTTTGCACACTGCTGCACAATAGGGTTCAGGTTTCAAAGCCGCGGTTAACAGCACATGTGCCCAAAATGACCATTAGATAGGTACAAGTAGATATATATATATATATACATACGCACAAGTGCCAAATGCAAACAAAAACTCCAAAAAGCAACCAAATCTAATCACCTATTGTAGAAGTTTTTGTGGCTGGATTGCTTCCAATCATAGGTAGTGCGCGAAGCTGCCAAAGTGAACTGGCTTTGATTTGTAGTTTGGCCATCCCGCCATGGACAGCCCAGCCGCTCCAGACACCTACATCATTACCTCAGATGAGGAGACGGGGAATTGGGTGGCCACACCAATTCCAAACAGTGCTGGGGGCCGGGAGCGCTATGCTTTTGTCATCAAGAAGGAGAAAAAACTTGGCCGCAACATCATTGATAGGCCAATCTCATCTTGGAAGGCCAGCGCGGAGTGGAAGACAGACTTTGACGCTGAAGTGAGCAACCACTGTATGCTCTGGCTGGAGTATGTTGAGACTTCTCGTTCCAGGTCCATCAAACCACTGAGCAGGAACCACTTTGTGTATGACAAGATGATGCAGTCCGGCTGGAAGATCAAGCATGGGAAATTCTGTATTCCCTAGGTAGCTTGAGATTAAGGTACAGTAGAAGAATTAGAATAGTGATATTGTACAGCAAGGCATGTCACAATTCAAGACATTTGCGTGAAGATGGGAAAATGGAGTGTGGGCCAGCTCTATTAGTAGCGCCACGCACCCTGGGATGAGTGTAATTGTTTTTGGACGAGGCCATTCAAAAAGCAATCCCATGAATGCAGATAGAATACAGTTTAACATTCTCATGTTCTAGGTACATATATATATATATATTTATATATATATATATGTAATTATTGATATTGGGCCTGGAGGTAGGTTTCATATTCTCATATGTTCATTTGGCACTCTCCATCAGCTTGGAAAGCTTCAGTCTACAATACTACGGATCTTCAGCAGGGGGTAGGCCGCTAGCAAGTAGCTTCCTAGTAGCTTGCTTCAGTAGTTCCTAGCATATATTTTTGTTTGTACATATGTATGTATGTTTTTGTACGGGGCCATTCAAAAAGCAATCTCATGAATGCAGATAGAATATGGTTTCATGATTCATATTATCATGTTCTAGGTATATATATATAGGCATATGTAAGTATTGATATAGGACCTCTTTGGGGTAGAAAGCCCGCGACAGATTCTTTTGACACCGCAGGACGGTTCTCTTGGGAAATCATTGAAGTCTGTGGCAGCAAAATGCAAGGACGCATGCGCAGCAAAGGCAATGATCTCATCACTTTCCAAGATCTCCACCCAGGATGACCTACAGAACATTGCCAATGAGATGGCCAAAGAGAGCAAGGCCAACAAGGTTGTGGAAGCCGAAGATGTGACTGCGGCCTTTCTTGAACCTGAAGCATATCATGGTCCTGTACCTTTGGCAAGCCAATATTTTGTCTACCGAGGTCTAGTGCAAGCATTGGTGGGGAGGAAAATCGTGAGTGCATCAAAGGATGTGGGCATCATGGCCGGCTCCAATGACATTGTCCATGAGGTATGCATCGCTTCCGAAGTTAAGAACGCATTATGTCACCCGGAATTGATGGACCGCTGGACAAATCAAAACTTTGAGCTGATGGGTTTGGTCGTTTGGGATGCATGCAAAGACCATGATCATGACAAATACAAGGAGGACATGGCATTGCTGATGTCAAAGCAGGCCAGCAAACCTTTGCTTTTGTTGATTTGTCATTCAG